GGTGCCGATGAAGAAACAATTCCATTTGTATGAACACCAGCCGACAACACTGGAGGCTCAAAAGTACATCAATAAGTCCTCCAAATTGAAATAAGTCCTCCAAATTGAAAATAAGTCTAACATTCATATTCAATGGTAAGTCAAGGTGATAGACATTAAGTCCAAGCTTTTGAAGAATATGAAAAGGGCCAGTGACTCGGACATGTAACTTTTTAAAAGAATTTTTTTGATAACATTCACGTGCCCATGAACCATGACATGGTCAAACACATTAAATTCTTTATTCCTACAGTGAACATTTGTAGTCAATTCCTACGGTGAACATCAGCAACAGTCATATATTAGCATGTAGGTCACATAATTGTTGGACAAAAGTATCTGTAGATTCGAAAGGATTAGAATCAAGAGGTAAAGGCAATAAGTCAATAGATTGTCGAAGAGCATGGCCGTAAACAATTTAAAAAGGGCATTTACCAATCAACCTATTCACGGAGTTACTATAGGCAAATTCAATAATGGTCAACAACAAATCCCAATTTCTTGTTCTCTCACCCCTAGACACCTAAGCAAATCTTTCAAACTTTAATTGACAACCTGACCATTAGTTTGGAGATGAAAAGTAAAAAAAAAAAAAAAAAACTTGAGGTTAACCCCAAAGAGCTTCCGAAGTATCGTCCAAAAATAACTCACAAACTTGGCATCCCTATTAGGCACAAAGGAAATGAGCAATGGAGTCAAATGACCTCTCTAAAGAACAACTTTGCCACGTGTAAGGCATCCGTGGATTTAGTGCAAGTAATGAAATGTGTTATCTTAGAAAATCGATCTACGACCACGAAAATGGAATCGTGAACTCGAAGTGTTTTAAGCAATCCAATCCATACTAAGATCTTCCCATGATATGTGAGGAAATGGTAATGGTGTACAACCCAGTTTTATTTCTTAGTCTTTGCTCTAATACTATCCTAGCAACATCATGTCTCAAAGTAGGCCAATAAAATCTACTTGTTCCATAAATTTCCTTGTTCCACGCCATGAGTCTTTGTATTTCTGCCTACAAAAAGACATCCGCAATTTAAATGAAATGCGAACAAAAAAGAAAAGCAAAGGAGTGTGATCTGGAAGATCAACACATTGATATATTAGGTTTCTGAAGAACTTCTATTTTATATATAATTTTGTCTCCTTTAATATTTTGTTAATTTCACAACATTGGGGCAATGCTGCTGTTGTTGAAACCTTTACGTCTAGTAAACCTGTACCTTCAAAAATTTCTTGGGTAAACCTATAATTTTCTAAACTACTAGAGTTGTCCCACCATTTCTGAAACTGATGAGGCTGTCCTGTAATATCTGAAACTGGTGGAGGCAGTCTTGTAATTGCTGTAACCAATGGGAGCATTCTTGTAATTGCTGAAACCGATGACACGATCCTTCAATTGGTGATTCTGGAACTCCTCTTTTTTTTTTTTATTTTATTATTTATTTTTATTTTTTTTGGGGGGGGGGGACGGGAAGGGTTGGATTTGGGTCAAAATTAACCAATAAAAATCTGTAAAGTGGGTCAATTAGTAACCTGATTAAAAATCTGGAAAGTGGATCAATGAATAAACTTACTGGAAAACTAGATAGGGGTCAATGAATAACCCGACTGGAAAATTGGATATGGGTCAATGAATATCCTGACTGGAAACTCAATATGGGTCCATAATAACCCGTCTATAACTGAATATGGGTCAAGGAATAACCCGACTAAAAGCTGAATATGGGTCAATAAATAACCCAAAATCAGTGTCTTCTTCTTCCGCCGATTGTGGGTTGCAAACAATAGCTTTCCAATATTCCACACGGTGAAAGCAGTGCAGGGTGTGGGACACAAGGATATACAACAACAAAGGTTCTCCCAACTGAGAATGATGTCGATGGTGACTCTGGTGGCCTGAAACAATGAAGACTCCACAACAGGTTGTAGAATCGACGATCATGGTCTCCTGTGAGTAAGTTTGTCGGAAAAAAGGTCTCAGATCTTCCCATCACGAGTAAATTCCAAACAACAAATTTGGTGCTTTGGGGCCTTCTTCTTCCTCGCGATTATTCTGATTGAGTTTGATTTTTTCCCCTGGTGGGATCAAGCTGAAAGCTGTGGTGGGTGAGGGGGATGTCGAAGCTGGGAACTAGGTTAATATGGCTTGGGTTTTATGTGACTACATAACAATGTGCGGACTTGGGTTTAATGTGATGATTTGCTATTGAGGTTGATTTGGAATGTGAGCTTTTGCAGGGAAGATGGTGAAGAACAGTAGGTGGTGACGAACAACTGTGAGCAACAGATGGTTTGCACGGATTGAATTTGAGCTCTGATACCAATTTGATGAACATTGGAAGAAGAAATTGGGACAAAAAGAGAAGAAATAAATTGGGTAGGAAAATATTGCAATTCTATTCAATAATTCAAATCTAATACAATGTGTACATTCATCCCCTTTTATAATGACAACCAAACAACTAGACTAAAAGTCCTAAAATGATACTATTATTCATAACATCTATCAATCAATAAATTTAAAAATTAAAATAAATTTCAAGATAATACCCAAAAATACATTACCCAAAATCTACATTTACATCTATTGTAACAGAAGATAATTGGATTCCAATCATGTGGTTGACCAAAACCAAACAAATTGTTTACGTTAGAACTTTTCAGAATCCAAATTGTTGGGGGTAAGGAGAGGAAGGATAACACTTTCTCGAAACCCAAATTTGGATATTAATGCACTAGCAATGAACTCGTCCGATGTTTAGAATTTTCAAACTCTTCCAACCATCAACCCACCCACCCAACCCCCCCCCCCCCCGCCCGCCTCAACTATAATAGTGTTAAATAACCATACAATAGTGTGTTGATAGATATAGTAGGATTGGTCTATTGGAGAACCCCACACATAGAAAAAATTCAATTCAACTGAACTCAATAGAGCCTTGTCCCAATATTTTTTGAGTCAACTACATAAACCATGTTTCACCACTGTGTTCCGTTAAGAGTCATTTTTTTTTATTCTACCATAAGTCATCATATCTTTCTTTACTATTTCATTTAAAATTAATTTTGGGTTGTCCTTTACCTCTTGGTTTACCGTCAATAGTTACCATATCAATATTTCTTATCGGTGTCGTAGTAGACCGTTTATAAATATGTTCAAACCACCTATGCAGATTATCCGTTAATTTATATCCTATATGCGCTTCCTCTAGTTTTTCACGTCAATAATTCATTCCTAATTCTATTCTTCCTAGTTTTTACCACACATCCATTTTAACATTAGATTTAAAAAGGGCATGCATTAGATTTCATTTATAAGGTTTACATTTTCAATATGATTAGCGAAAACGTCAGTTTTGTATGTCAAATCATACAATTTTTTTCAATGGCCCCCAAAGATAAATGGTCAAGATGAATCATGAAACGAACCAAAAGATATATATTGACTGGTGCACCATATTTATAAAAAAAGAGTAATGGTGGAATATACCTGGTTTCCCATCCTCAAAAAATTGCAGCACGCGAGGGTCTGATTTCCCAAAGTCTACCTCCTACCACCATTATTGTCTCATCCCCGCCACCACCACCTCCACCTGCCTCCCCTCTCCACCGTCTATTCTAACTATCAGACACCAAATCCCTCAAACTGCCAAGCCATCGATCTTCGCCTGCAAATCAAACGTCTACAATTCCTTTCGTCAAACACGTCGGTTGGGGAGGCTACGGGGTAGGGATCTTGAGAGATAGGGAGAGAAGGGGAAGGGAAGGGTTGCAGGGTGGGGGATCTAGAGAGAGAAAGTAAGAAGGGGGAAGGGGCAAAAAGTGGGAGAAATCCAAAGAGAAAAGGGGGAAGAGGAGGTAATATAGAGAGAAAAAGGAAAGGGGAAGGGGTGGACTATGGAGTGGGGTTGTGGGACTTGGGGGAGAGCGATAGAGTAAGGGAAGGGGGAAAGAAAGCATGAAGAAACAGGCAAGAGTGAAAATTTGGGAACAAACTCTTACTGTTTGATAAAAACCATGATGCAATGAAAGAATTTTATCTTCGAGAGTTGAAAATTCTTAAATCTCTCGAGCGGCAAAATACCGTTCGTCTTATACCCTCTATTTCTTTTGTGGGATGCTCCAAAATTTAAGCAATATCAAACTCTCTCAAATTAAGTTTCGGTTAGAGGTTTCTTAAAGGTGAGTTTTGAAACTTAGTAAAAGTTAACTTTATAAACGAAAAATTTGTGCCACAATGTAAATGCATAAAAGTACACTTTTCTTAATATAATTAAGATTCCAATCAGGGACGGACGGACGGAGTGAAAATAGCAGCACATCATTAGAATTATGACTCTTTTGATATATTTAACCAAGGATCAAAATTTCATTTCAAAACGGTAAAAATATTTTCGTTTCCAAGTAAATTGAAACAAATAAGTGATTGACTCGAAAGTCCAATACTTCGAGATGTTCCTAAATGTTTTGAAGTGTTTCAACATATTTCGGTCTATTTTCACCAATATTTCAAAATGTTCCAAATTGTTTCAAAATATTTGGAAATAATTTCTACAAAAATTTATCTGTTTCCATTCTATCTCCAAAACATTCCAATTTCTTGGGTGACTGAAACATTACACCAAAACTAAATTTTAATGCTTGATTTCAACAAGAAAATATACTACACTTCCACTCTTTCCGTGCAATGCATATTCATAGCAGTTTTGACACAATGAAAAGATGGTCGGAAGTGAACAACATACACAATTCTAAATGTATAGTCTACGCAACCATTCTAAAAGATTCATCTTTAAAATGGCAAGCATGCCTATACTACACAATTTTTATTTCAGTTTTTTCTTATCTATTTTAGTTATATTGACCGTTACACTGAAAACAGCAGACTTAAACAGCTGATAAATAACAGAGCTACATACCTTGATAGTTGCTCCAGACTCACTTCTGATCTTTGAAATGTTGGAGCCACACCTCCCAATCAAGCCACCAACCAATGATTCAGTGACCATCATCTCCAAAGTTGCATATTCAGCTGCAAGATTGATTGTCCTAAAGATGATTTCGTTGCAAAATATATGACGATTTCATACAGCAGCAGCATGCAGCTATACAAAAATGCAATTATCATGATCTGCAAAGCATTTGAAAACCTGAAGTTGGATCAACATGTTGTTGAGGTGGCCAATTAAAGCCCATATTATACGTCGGGTTGATGGAAATTACTTGTTTTGACGGGTTATCCCTACACAAACCAAGTTGATATGCAAATTAGCAAAAACAAAGTTCAAAAAATTGAAGAGAATAAGGAAGACAAAATTCAGTGATGATAACTAGAACTTATTAAAAGACCTTAGTTGACATCCAATCTCCACCAAAGCTCGCAGAACTGCAGGAACATCACCAGATATCTGCATTTGCGGTAACAAAATTAATAATATAAACGATGTAAGATTACTAAATGAAGCTCATTCCGCACAAAAACTTCTTGATCCAATGTTTCATCCATTAATCACCAGAATTCCCTCAAAGTTTGGCAAGCTTTCCAATTAAAGATTGAAAGCAACAATACGAATGCTGACCAACACACACTCAAACCACACTTACACATGAAGCCACCAGCAAAATCAACATTTGTATTTCCTTCCAACCCGACAACAATATTGTTTCAGACATGGAAAAACATTAAAAGACGTGGAGGTGATCAACCCGTGAAATTTTGGTCCATAAAGAACTACAATTAGTGAGTTTAATCATGGCTCTACTTTTTAATTGAACTGTTGAAAATTTCTAGTCTTAAGAAGCAAAGTGAACCTAAATGTAATTGTGAACCTCAAATAATCAAGACACTCATCAACTGAATCCCTCCACTATGTCAATATGCTGCCAGGACTTACAAATGCTGTTCACACATAAGGTCATGATGGTTGCTTCCACAAATTTCAAGTACAAAAAGGCAAATAATCTTTTGAACAGATTGTGGTCATGCAATGAAAAGTGGACCACTAATGTACTCAAGTAGTCATAGATTAACCGGATTTTTCAACTGTGGCAATATCTTTGTAAGTTGTATATTCTACGTTCCACCTTCCATGTTGCAACCAACCAAAAATATTTGCACAAGATAGAACTCTCACATTTAGTTTAACAACAATATCATTACCCTGTCAACAAATTGTAATTACCCCCACATTTTTTGTTTAACCTAGTATCGTTGTGTATCATATCCCACCTCATTTTTGTTATGTATAATAATTGTTGCCTATCTTATGCCAACCTTCAAGCTACTTACATATGCATCACTGTATAACTAAGATCAGCTCAGTATTATCTATATCATCACATTCTATGCATTGCATACTGGCATCATGTCCAATGATAATATTTTCCCGATAAGAAACAACAATTTATGAATAATCAAGAGAAATCATGTCTAATGCTAATTTGACAAACAGCATTAAAGCTAATAGCTAATAAATAAACATCAGATGATACATTCCGAATATATAATACTTACTTAAAGCACCATTCAATCATTCATTTCCTACAAATATGTAGGGGCAAAAAAAACATAGTATGAAGACAATAAATCAGAATTTAAACTTCATTTTTCCTCCAGTCAGAGAATGACAGCAACCACCACATCACCTGTATTACTCGATCTGACTCATAAGCAGACGAACACAAAGGCAACTGATTTTTAGCAAGAACTGTGATGGTGGCTCCAGAGGAATTCCTCAGTTTCTCAATGTTCTGACCACACACTCCAATCAAACCACCAGCCTGGGAACCAGCAATCAGAAATCTTATTGTATTTGCTGCAACATGTCCAGCACCCACTTTCAAAGCCTCGACACTGCCATCATCATTCTATAATAGAGAAGAAAAAAGTCATTGTACCAGTGCCTTTACAAGGTAATAGCTCACCATTTCCTCAACAACATAGCGAATGCGTGTAATGCAATATAAACTCTCAATAGACCATGTAATATTTTGAGGCTATCAAATGCTAAAGGAAGTTTTTTGCTTCCCAACAATTAGATCTAAACTTTATGCAAAGACCCTGCTTGCGATCTCATATTCTAATCCTCCATCCCCCTAGTTATTCACTTGGCAATGTTTTAAAGAATTTAGAACAGTTCAAGGCTATCAGCATCTTTGGCCTTCCTTGTGTCAATAGGTTGTTGCTTTGTACAATTACCTTTCTAAAAGAGGCTGATGCATGGCTGTCTATTAAAAAGTTACTATATAGAACCCAAAACAAGTACCAACACCTAAAAATGTTTTCTCCATGCATAAAAAGAAGGATCATTAGTATTCTTTTTATGTATCTACTCAACAACTTATTTACTTTCTGCATTTTCCCATTTCAACTCAGGTCAACATGCATAGGTGACAAGGACGCATTTGTGATATTTTTTTTACCTCAATAAAAATCTATACTACTAATAAAGGGTGAGGGTGGGGTTGGTGTCCACCCAAGAAATTGTGTATGATACCCTTCCTTTTTTCCACTTTAATCACAAATGATTTTTTAATTGCATTATCAACTGCACTTGACCACTCATACCTCCCAAAACCACCTCTAGATTTATATAGGTTAATTTCTTCCCACTCTTTCTTCTTCTTTATATCTGCACATGGATACCATGTGTGCACGACCCCTATTATGAAAGAAAACAACAATGAGAGGGAACAACAGAAAACAAAAGTAGCAACAAATCAATTAGACAATTAAGTGCCTAACATAAAAGGCATATCACTTCCTTGGCTAGGAAGTCAGTTGGAGATTTCACATAATTCGACATGCTTAATCTTCTTAAAGAAGGAGCTTGCAATTGGAACCTAATTGTAAGGGCAAGAGAATAACCCTTCCTTCACGACCAAACCCACCCCCACACACCCAAAAAAGGAAAAACTAAGTAAACATGTAAAGATACCAGCCAAGCGGTCTATGCCAGTCAAACAATTATTTAACCATGTGGAGGAAGAAATGATGTATGTATGTTTGTCTCACATTAAAAAAGTCATTTATATGGCAAGCCCAAGCACCTCGGTACTCCACGAGGCCTGGCAACCTCTGGAGCTTGAAGTGCACAACGGACCTGTTTATCATATGTGAAAGTCAAATATTGGATTAATTATCTTGATATGACTAGAAAACCATCAGAATGTTACTAACTCTTAAGACTTACAAAAATAAAAAGAGGGTAGAATGTAAACCAGACCAAGGTTGCCCCGGAAAAATGCACAACTATTATTTGGAAAAAATTTGTGCCACCTCAACTCGAAATAAATTCCACAATCAAAACAGTCTTTACACAATTTATTGATTCTTATTTCTATGCGCTTCTACCACAAGAATGTTCTCGAAATAAAATTGTTAAAAAAGGCAGAATCAACAATTTTAGTCCTAGTAAACACAAGGAAAAAGAAAGAACACAACAAATTACACAAAACCTAACCTTTGATTTGAGGACTACTATAATTTACATTAATCCTTGTACAGTCTATGAAAAGTGTTTGGGTTACTCTATGAAATACACATAATGTTTAAGTAACACGGCTATACAATCATTTTACGAGTTCAACAAAACAAGTGGCATCAAATATACTAGTATACTACATAGACCAAAAACATGTGGAAAATTCACCACAATAAAGGTATATATTTTAAAAGAGTGCAGGAAAGGGCTCCTTTAGGTAACAGAAAGGCACAAGGATACATATGGACATCATGAGAAATACAAGTACAAAAGCTTAGACTAGTCCTTTAAATATAGATATAAACTCAAAGAATCCCACCATTAAATTAACTAAGACTCTCAAACATTGAAACATAACAGAAAACATGTTGTGAATTCCTAATCTAGATAACCTGGTCATTTGATTCCCATACATTGAATCCATGGCTTGGAATGCATTATTGGGCACTTTGAAATATTTAGATCATCCAAATGCCTAACTAAAAACATAGTATGTTTTCCTCTTTCTCCCTCTAATGTTCCCCTAATGAAAAGACCCTAAGAATAAATAAAATCAAGTGAAACCTAACTTCTAATAAGGTTGACGATGACCAAACAACTATTCCAGACACATCAGACATCCTTGAGATTCAAAACAAAAAAGGTCATTGCTCTCAAATAGGTTCTTCTGATCCATTCCTTCAAAACCTTCCAAAGCGAGCACATAGACACCATCATGTCTACTTTTGATCTAGGCAAAACCAGGTAATACCAAATGAAAGAGATAGAAACTATCCACCGCTTGCAACACAAAAAAGCTTGCTGTGACATACTCATACTACATAAAATTGTACCCATGTCAATTGAGAACAACTTTAAAAGAAATGCATTACTGTACTGGAATGCATTACATTGTTGTGATACTTTAGTTGCATTATAGCTTCATATAGTTGTGTTGCCTTTAGAACAAGACTGGCTATTTGATGAAGGGCATTCTCTGCATCAGAAAAGGTGTGGTCACTGTCTTTAGAACTTATGATGATTACTCGCTCTTCGTGTCGCTGCAAAACATCAAAAGGTTGAAAAAATTTACAATTTTACAATGCTCAATTTGCAAATCATACCACCAAACAGGAGAGAGAGAGAGAGAGAGACGTAGCCATTCCTTGATTTACATTTCTTGAGCCTAATATCACCTCGGGCCTTAGCTGTTGAAAAAGAATGTGAAAACATACATGCTTATTTTTATACTTCTAGCACTAAACATAACTAAAAAGGTGCATCAGTGGACTCTTGATAGTTGAAAACTTAATCATTATCATATCAAATCTTACTAAAAACACAATATAGGGCTTCACTGGTCTACACTGGACACTCCATCATCCATATCACATGCAATCAAGTCCACTGAAACATAACAATCACAATTCCAAAATATTCTGAATCACTTTAATCCATTGTAAGAGAACATATTGACTTCAATAACAAGATACAAACTCAACAATATGGGTTAAAATAGATTATAATCCCAACTCTATTCCTACCATTTGTTTGGCCACCTTATGGAAGCAAACAATCAAAACCCTATTTTCTTTTCTTCTCACACCACATAATTCTCTGTATCTAAACAGAAATTTGTCAGTATCTAGAATGTTTTTTCATCTTTTTATATGGTATTCTTCCCTTTCCAACCCAAGAACAAGATTTTCTGTTCAAATTGTTTCCTTTTATTATCCAAGAAATCAAACAAATAGTTCTAATTTAAATCACGCATTCTTCTCTATTGGGACAATTTCCAGCAACCAAACAACAGAACCAATTATCTTTTCTCACACCACACTTTCAAAGAAACTAAACAGAAGAGCAACAACATTATATTTTACATATTATTTTACAACTTTTTATCCTACACCAACAACGCTTCATTCTGTTTTCGTTTATTTTCCTCAGCAACCAAACAAATCATTAATATCAAATTATATTATGTTTTCCTTCCAAAATTTTCTAGGAAAACCAAACAACATACACGAAACTTCTAATAATTCTACTCACCGCGATTGCATCGGCAACTTTGATGGTGGCTTTGTTCTCTTCACGAATCTTCTGAATACGAGTCCCTGCCTTACCAATAACCTTCCCGATCTGCCTCGATGGCACGACGATTCTGAATACTATGTCTTGCGCCACTTGCAACCGCTTCGAAGGCGGCACATCCACAATGGTTCCCTCCGCCGCCGACGCGTCTCCATCGTCACGCCGACGTTTCAAGGTGGCGAATCTGTTCGTATCTTCCCCAACCGGTGGACCACTAGCCGCCGGTGTAGGGTTTTGCAAAGTTTGACCTTGCTAAGCCATCTCTGACATAGAAAGGGAAGTTATGACACGTTATCGGTCTCTATAATCTGGGGTTTTGTCTTTTGTGGCTTGTTTGGAAGTGAAAGTACGGGTTTACTCTTTGTTAATGATAACCAAGGTATCATCGATAATGTGTCCTTACGGTGTTTTTGGGTAACGGGTCGGATAGAATTTTTTTTTTATATTTAAATTCATTCAAGTCAAATTCACTCGTTCATTTTAAAATTCTAATTCACTTTAAAATCATTCGCTTTAAAATTTTAATCTAAAATTATATCCAATTCTAACCTTTATTTGAAAAACAAATATATAATTCAATAGGTCCCATAAATTACACAAATAATTTTGTAGTAGTTTATTATTTTACCCATGACTTTGTTTATTCCAATCTAATTATATCCTATGTTTGGTTAACTCACCTAAACCTAATAAAATTATATAATTTTTTAAATATACATAAAAACATATAAAAATAAGGAAAGTTAAATATATATAATTTTTTTTTTTTGTAATTTTTTTTCAAACAAATCAACACTTTATTATATTTCTTAAAAATTGATTACAATGGGAAAATGACAAACAACCTTGCCATAAAACAATGTGATAAAGCAACCAAAACAATTTTTTTTTTTTAAAGAAAAAAAGGTATTTTATTGAATAAATATCATAAATTACAAGAATCAAAAACATAAACATTCTGTTTGAACAAAAATGTAGAAAACTGCTACAAGAACAAAATTTTCTATTTTTATTTACAAGAGAAAGGACAAAAAATTAGTCTGTCATCTTCGGTTTTAGCTCTTGCAATATACAACCACCATCTCCATCCAGCATATCAGCAACAATCCAGTCATCAGCTTCATTTATACCAGCACACCATATCAGCACAGACTACTTCACATAACAGAACACAATTGCTCAACTTACTGCAGCATAGCAGAAATTGCCTACATCACAAAAAAAACTCAGCCTTTATCATCAAAAATAACCATTCTCTTCTTGCGTACAACCGACAAACCTATCTGATCTTGCATAAGCCTTCATTTCACTGAACTGGGCAAAGTAGCAGAAACAGAAAAAACAGATGAAAAGTCATCATCCACTGCTCTGTTAGCTAGACTGTCAGCCACAAAATTGGCTTCTCTGTATATGTGTCTTATCGGGATATCAAATGTACCAATCCTCTCTTTAATCTAAGCCACAAATTTACCTAACACAGATTCAACATGTGACAACATCAGATCATACAGGTGGGATATCATTGTACAGTGTACCATGTGAACTCATGGATCCAAGAAAACCTGTGATGTCAAAAAATTGATAAATAACATTTCCAAACAAAGTTGTAATTATGGCAGCCACTTTTTAGGAGACCTATTGTATAATTGAAGGTCCTAGTAAGACATTTAAGAAGTTTTTCAATTGAAAATATCTATTGACTCATGTACTGGTACAACCTAGAAAATGGTAAAATTTAGAGGAATTACACAATATAAATACCATGCTACCTACAATTGTTCCGATTGGCCAAAGCAAAGTCATCTCATTTGTCAATATACCAAAAGATCTCAAACACTCATTTTATCCCAGTAAACATCAATGCCTCTTGGTTCTCCACCCACAAAAGAAACCCTTCAACTCATTCGAAAAAGAACCCCAAGAAGACCCAGGAAAAGGAAACTGATACAACAAACTTTAACACCACCCAAATCTCCAGTAGATCTTTCAAAAGCCCCCTCATATGTGTGGTGTGATATTATTTACACAATCAAATTATCACAAAGATAACTTTTCCTGGATTTTTCCAAATATATTTAAAAAATATATGTAGAATAAATCAAAAAGGTCGCCAAAAAGCTTTGAATACCATATAGTTATATACCAATTTCCATACTCTCTATGACATATGAAATTATGAAGGGAAATACATAGGAAATGACATAAAAGCATACATTCAATTGCTCACAACTCAACATAAAAATAAAATAAGCACTTTGAAAATCAACTGAAACCAAGCGAGGCGTGTATGTAAGAATGCCCCTGCCCAAGGTGATCAAATAAGTAATAATAATATAAGCACAATGTCTGAACATAATGTTGACAAGTTAAAACTAATAAAAGCAAGTCATTTACTGGGAGAAAAAGACAATTCAATGTAAGTTGCAGATTGTATTTATAAACAGCTAGCTAATTGTCCACTGTTAAACAGTTGTGAAGAGCCAATTTCTATATGGACCAAAAGTTCTCAAAGCTTTGAGCCTTCGCACTATCTGAGTAGCAAAATTCGGTGGTAGATAACATGCTCAGGCACAATGGATAAATTTATCATAAGCACACATGCCACAAATAGAGTTAATCAATGATTCCTTTCTCCAAATTATAAGCAGCTTCTCACAGTGCAAGTTGCATAACATTTCAACTGGTAGAAGAGGTGATTAACTAACACTCTGGAAAATTAACAAACTAGATATTTTATGATGCTCAAAATGTTACAAGTATCAACATATCCACAACCTAATTAGGCTCAAAGATCATAGAAGCATAGGAATACTATAAGACATTTTCTTTAGATCAAATCCTAGTTCCACCAAGTTCAGTCCACATTTTATGCCATCATCTACAAGATACATGGTATTCAAATGAAGGTAGGAATCTTTCATTAAAGCATTGACGAAAAAAATTACAAAATTAAAAAGTATGGCAATTTTGTTTTAAAAGAAATGATTAGATTATGTCACCTGTAGTGTTTCACCAGAACGGTAGAGCACATCCATATCAAGATAGTGATTCTTAAACACTTCATTGCTCTGAGGGTCCTCAGCCATTAACAAGTTCCTAATTGAGTTTGACTCAATCAATATCCTGTAAATCCATCAAACCATACTGCTCCACCATTTTAAGCCCATACATCAGCGCTCTAAATTCAAATCTAAATATGTCCGTCAAACTCAGATCCAGACCTGTTTGTCAAATAGAGGGTGAACAAAAGCAGATCTGATCTTCGGTGTGTGTTCTTCGTTCTGTCCAGAGAGAGAGAGAGAGAGAGAGACATAATTATAGAGATAGAGAGAACGATGAGAAACTTACCTCAAGAAGAAGTTGTGTTCTTCGTTCTATCCAGTTATGTCGTCTTCTTCGTTGACTCTGTGAAGAAGCTCTCACCTACAGATGCAGAAAATTGGAGGACCTCTTCTTCTTCGCTGGACAGAACGTGGAGAAAGAGAAAGAGAAAGGGGCAAATACGTAGGGTAACCAATTGCTTGGGTTTGTAACCCGGGGGGGGGTGGCTGGGTTACGTAAGACCGGTGTGTGAGGGTTAACATTCTACTGTCGCACCAGGTCAAGCGATGACCCGGGATTTGTAGTCAATCTCAAAAATGCTTCCCAAACAACGGTTATATGGATCCCACTCTTATGTTATCCTATCCAACTAGTGGATAACCTCCTTTATCTCACTATCCAAACACCACCTTTGAGGACAAGTAACGTCGATTTTGTTATTTGGTCTCGTGTCGTTTAAGTTTTAATAAAAAATTTAAATCTATATAATAAAGTATATTATAATTCAAAATAAAAAATAAACAAAATAACTTTTATTATTCGCAATTAAAATCGTTTTAAATTTTACTTTAAAGTTAATATAACAACTAATATTAACACCATAAATTTAATAGAAAAAATAGGTCCCTAAGAGTGTATTTTGAGTAATTTTTTAGAAGTACTTTTAAAAAATTTTCTCATAAATCCTTTAAAAAAAATAAGTGATTGAAACTGCCCCACCACTACCTCTACCTCTACCACCCCCACTGCTAATGTCATCGCCACTACTACCACGGCCACCACCGTCGTAGTTGTCACCACCGTTGCCACTAACCCCCCCCACCGCCACCACCATCACCTTCAACACGGTCAGTGTCACCTACCACAACCATCACCGTCTCCTACCATTACCAATATCGCCCACCACCTCTCACCTCCGCTGTAAAATGATGTTTAAATTCATTTATCTTTTCATTATATTTGTGATTTGATTTTAAATATGAATATAAATATATTTATTGTTTACCATTTTTTTATTATTTTATGCCTTCAGACACAGATAATAACTAGTCATATGATATTTTGTCATTTATGTTTTTTTTTAACGAGATTATGTACTAATAACCTTGACATTTCAAATAGTACACAAATTATACATGTTATTTATAAATTATATTCAAATCTCTTATTATAATATTTAGACCTTTTCAAATTTAAAATATTATACTTAAATAAAAAATACTTCAATTAAAGATAAAATATTAAATATTTTAAATTTTAAAATTAAAATTCATATATTTATTATGACATTTATTAAAATAAAAATCTATTTTTTTAAATAATAATTAGTATATAATTATACAATTAGGGCCTCTTTGTTTTAGGTGTAAGAGTAGTGGTATAAGGAAAATAATATGTGAGGCCTACCTTTTACCTTGTTTGTTTGATATTTTTTAACTCGGTATTAATTTTTGGGTCATAGTACTGACCCTGTGTGGACAGTAACTCTTATGTCTTTGTATACGATGTTAAGCAATACCACCGATCCGGTGATATAATATTCTCAGTACAAATTTTATGGAGCAATAATAGAGTAAAAAGACTTAAATGCCCTTATGTACAATGCTCCGTATAAAACCCGGTTACAATTTTTGACTTTTTAGAAGGTTACAATTGTCTTTTTATATTGAGTAGTTTCAATTTTTAACTTTTTTAAGTAGGTATTACACAGACAATGTTTTGTGACAAACAAATAAGGGAAAATATGAGATTATAATTTAAGACTGAGTATAATATACCATTAAATCGAAATGAAATGAATATAAAAACTTATACCTCAAACAAACAAGTCCTTAGTATATAATAAGGGTCTAAGTGTAATCCTCCCTTAAAATTACCCCCTTAGTATACAATTAGAGCTAAGTGTAATCCTTCCTTAAAATTATCCCTTATGCTCCGTTTACTACAATAAAAAAGTGGAAAGATAAAAAGTTGGAATAATGGAAAGTTGGAGGGATAAATAAAACATCATATTTGGTAAGGAAGGAAAAGTATTACAGATGGAAAAGTGGATGAATTAAATTTTTTTCTAACTTACCAAAATCAATCCCTCCAAATTCAGAAGGAAAGTGGATAAAAAGTTAATTATATTATGTTGAGATGTATCTTATTTGTTTATATATATTTTTATATATACATATATTATGTATACATTAATTTCATATAAAAATACAACGGTAAAATATGTATGTGTACATATATTTTAAAAATAAATTTTAAAATAAAACAAAAAATAAAAAATAAAAACAAAAAATTTAAATTAACTAATTTTTTTTTTTTTCATCTTAACTAAGGGTAAAAAATTTTCGATTCAACACGATGACACAACTCGAATTCGATACAAAAATAAATAGGTCAACTTACAACTCGACACGACACAATTAATTAAATGAGTTAAATTATGTTTAACTAATATTCAACACAAACAAACAATAACTTAACATAACTCGAATGACATCTCTAATCTTAGCTATTACAAAAAAAAAAAATTAAATCAAACACATAAAAAAGTAAATGTATGTTTATTATTTTCCATCCTTAAAAATAAACAATATATCCCTCTCTTACGTTTCATTTACCTACTTTCTATTCCATCCACCTGCCCAACGGAGCATTAGTAGCGGTGGGTAGTGTACGCATTTCGGTCAATATTTTCCCGGTGAAACCAACTTAGTTACACCGCCACTCTGCCTCTCTACACCACTCTTTCCCGCCACTTTTCCTCCGCCATAACCGAAAGCTCCATAACCTTCTACAAAATAGCCGTCAGGTACACTCTTCTTTAACGTTCTCAAAATCCTTCAATAAAATTCCCAGGTATCACCTCATCAATGAATTTGAAATTTTCAACATAAGTATATGCACTGATCACAGAGATATTAATGGTTTGTTGCCTGTGAATAGGTTCTTTTTTGATCGAAAGATTCGCGATTTTTTCTATGCGGAATTGCTAGTGGCTTTAAAGATCATGGGTCGTCATAGAAATGGGGAACGATACACAACAACTACACTATGGATTACCCTCTAGGTTTTCATAGAATGACAAATTGTCTTCATCTTTTTATTATGAAAGACAAGTAGCCTCCATATTCATTGAATATCTTGTCATTTACTTTTTATTAACCAATATGTCTAGGTTTCTATATTGATCTTAATTTGTGAGAAGTATTATATGTCTTATGGGGACAAACTATGGGGCCGAAAAATTGAAAAAAGTTATGATTCCATCGGACTCAATGAGATCAAAGGTACGATTCAATATGATTTAAAAAAGTTGGGATTGATCCCTAAATTTCGATCCTAATTGATCCAATTGATTCATAACTTGACCCAATTGAATTGTAACTCCTGCCACGCATTGTATGGAATTTTTACATCAGTTTTTTTTCTTTTTTTCTGTTGTGTAATAGCAAAAATGATTTATTGTCAATATTTTGAGCATCCTCAAACAATTGTCTGTGGGGTAGAGATGAAAGTCCGATTGTGATGATACAGTGCTGAAGAGACGCGGGGTTTATACAACTGTTGTTTTAAGAAGATATACAGCTCAATTTCACTAAGCCTTATTGCAAATACTTGGAATTGACTAACGAGGTAGGATATATCTGAGACATAAGGGAAACTTTTCTCATAGGAAAAAAGAAATATAAGATGAATTTATTGTTATTGTAAGTTACAATAGCCGGAAACTACCTTATCCAATAATGTCATGCAAACAAAAAATCGCTTTAGGGTTACTTAAACATATCTTTTTGTTTTTTCAAACATGCAATGGTTTTGATGACATTCAGTCAGTGTATATGAGATATACGAATATCATCAATTACCGATCCTTTTATTTGAATTCACATTGATCACATTTCTCATGCTCTCTGGTTTTGCATATACTTCTTAGGGACAGAGATTTTTATATTGCATCTGGTGTGTTGCTAATGAGACTACATGCGGTTTTTCTCATGATGATCAGAAAACTTTTGCACCGCCTTTGAGTGTCAAAGATGACTTTTCTTTTTCAGCTTCTGATCACACTATTGAGACATCAGATAAAAAGTTGTTGACATCGGATATTGATGTGGCTGTGGCTAAAGAGGAGAAACCAAAGATCTATATTCGTCTCCGTACAAAGAAAAAGTCTGAGGAGGTTCAACATGATGGAAAGACAGGTACAGTCCTTAGAAAAGGGGAAGAACTGGGGGCAAAAACTTGGAATTTGAGGCCTACAAGCCAGCAGATAGAAATGTGGGAAAATCTGCAGCTGGCGGGTCGTCACAGGAGAACAAATCTCTATTGCCTCGGGCAACTGGAGCTGGTTGCAAATCGACTGCTAATAAGAAGGAGAAGGTGCCAAAGTTCTCTATTGCTCTTTCTCCAGAGGAGATAGAAGAGGACATTTTTGCAATGACTGGGTCAAAGCCTTGTCAGAAGCCAAAGAAGAGAGGAAAGGCAGTTCAGAAACAGCTTGATGTAAGGACTTATTGTTCTATGCTGAATTTCACCCTCTGATGCAGTTGCTATGGTTTGGTGTCTTACCTAATGATAGTTGTTTGTGATATTTTTGCAGAATGTGTTTCCTGGTTTGTGGTTGGGGTTGATAACTCCTAGTACATACAAAGTCTCTGAAGCTCCTCCATAGGTGATGTTTCTTTCTGTTTATGTAATTGAATATCTATTGTTAAGGGCTAGGACTCATGGAGAAAATGATTATGCTGCTTGCAGGGTTAGATAAAATTGTCGGGGATGGTATTCCTTTTGAGTGTTGCCTTGAAGTTTGTGGTCTCATGACTTCCAATTTCTGTGATGTCAAATGAAGGTACTACTGACTACAAACCTGCAGAGGTGAAAGGGAAAGAATTTTACCCATTCTGTGATGAGCTCAATGAATTGGCAGAAGTTTTTAATTAAAGTTGTTGCATATGTTCAATGTACTATCCAAGCGCCTTATAGAAGTCTGTTATGTTCTACTTGGTAGTGCAAATGGATTGTTACTTTTGAATATGCTCAAAAGGCAGTGCAAAAAATTACAATAGAAATGATGTGGGAGCCATGCACAGTTGAGATTGATTGTTGAGGTTGCATCTTTACTTATCTAGCAAACTACTTCCTTGCACTTTCTGCGATTGACATGTTAGTTTATTTTGCTGGTTCTAGGGCACTGAGATAATTTTTGTGAAGACTCTTAATGTTAGATCGGTTCAGTCAATTCATTTATTCCGTACTTTTCTGTTGATGTTTACTTTGCCAACTTTAATGAAGTAGTAGTGTTTCCTGATCTTGCCTATGTCGATCAGTATTCTTGCCTAGCTGTTATTTCCATGTGATCTTAATGGCCAGCATCACTTTTATGAAATGACGATGGTTTTGTTTCTCACATAAATGGTGCTTTTGAACCACACACTTCAACATTACATCTTGGGAAACCTGCTGGTGTGATTTACCAACAAAGGAAACTATTTTCTCATGCTTACCTTAAGAGGAACGAAGAGTTTGGGAGCTTACAGGGCAAAAGAATTAGAATTTTATCATTTTCGGAAATTATTAGAAAAAGGGCTTCATTTGACTAAAAATTTGTAAATGTTTCAAGTGACAGGACCAGGTAATCGAACTGCATAATAGAATATTTCTTTTCCCTCCTTTTTTACAAGCAACAAATGTGTCTATTGTGAAAGAAAAACGGCGGATTAGTGACACAGGATACGTGAAGGACACGATGTATCAGTTAACAATCAACACCTAAAATCATATCCCTGGAAAGCTGATTTAACAATCCGTGAGCTTATTTTGAAGAAAAGAATTTGTACGCATGCAGCTTTCTGTTTTGAGCAACATGGTCTAATTGCTGTTTTTCTTGGCTATTTGAGAAACCTTATGAAGGGTCTTCATGTTCAGTTTAATGTAGTTATTCAAAATCTAATGTCTAAAATAAGTTTTGCTGAATGATTAAGTAACACGGATGATCTCAACTGCTGATAATTTTTTGAACAGTCTCAATTTTATGAGATCACGTGTTCCAGGAATAGAGTTCAATTTTCTGAGATCAATGTTAGTAACAAATGGTACTGAATTTGCATGCGTTCCAGGAATAGAGTTTTGAAACTTTATCAGCTGCCTGAGTATGATGATTTTCCTAGAAAGACATGAAGATGGTTTCCCTTTTCTAACATCTGTACAGATTTTTTGAATGAGACAATACAATGTGGTTGAATTTCTAGACACCCGCCCCTCAAAGCTCCCAATTAATTATCAAAAGTTTGCTATAGGGTACTAGAGCAAGGGACATAATCCTAGTACAGGGTATCTTTTGATGAACCACACACAAGAACATATTCCTGATAATGTCTTTCTAGCAATCAATAGAAGATGAAAAAATTGACTCCATGCACCAAAAAAAAATAATAATTAAAAAAGAATGGCAATAGATCCATAATCAAAACTTCGATTTCTCACCCTCAGAAGCATTCCCATTCTACTCTCCCCGAAGACCACACACAAGAATGGGCAACTTCCTACATTTCCCTGTCCTCCTCCCCTCCAAGCTGCTGCTGCTGCATAAGATCAGCTCTTGCTCGGATGGATCACAGCACTAATCCAGGTCAAGGGCAAGCACCCAAATTCTCTAGCCACTCCAAAATGAAGCAACAAATGGTCAACAGTCTCTCTCACTACCTTATAGTCGCAGCACCAATTAACAAGTTTTAAGCACCAAGTGGTCAACATTCTCTCTTGCTTCCTTATACATGAAGCACAAATGAACAAGAATTTTCCCCCAACTAAGATTTGTCTCATTGAAATAGCTTCCAAAGCTCTGTTCCCTCTTGAAAGACACCTTCTTCAGAGCTTTCATCTGCCAAATACCTCTAGGGAAACACACAGATGAAATACAGAATGAATTCATTGTAAACCGTTTTTGGACGCCTTTCATCTGTTCCCACGCTCCCCCTCACTCATATGACAACCATACATGAAATTCTGTAGAGTCCACCTCCTCATATTGCAAAGTTCATTGGAATCTCGTGGTCCAAACTACTCCCCATCATGAAATCTGCTATCATGGCCTCTCTATTCATGTTAATCCTGAACAAATTTGGATTTAACTCCATGAATTCCCTGTTCGCACCCGAAACATCTTTATTCTTTCCAGGAATGGACTTGCTGGGTTTTATTTCCTTCTAATAATGTAAAACCAACCCCACAAAGGATATTTCCTGTCAGCGCTGAAGTTTTAAGTGCGACAATCATTCTCATGTAATTCAATAGTTTTAGATATAGGGAGGGGAACTGATTTAAAAAATGTTGCATTTGTGTTTTTCATTGTCAAATGATGCTCTTCTGGCAGAGCATATCTTACATTGAGTAAAGACAAGTTAAGCTTCTATGTGCTTGGTTCTTCCATCTTATAAGCAATCTCTACTTGAGTCATCATATATTGGGTTGTCATACCTTGATCTTTTATTAGGTATTAGAGTGTTTCTTAGCTAATTGAGTGAGATTGAACAGCACAAGTTGGTAGCCAACCTCAAGTGGCATCTAACTTAGCTAATCATGAGCCAAGCTTGAGTACTTTTAGTGTGCCCTAAGAGTCGCAATAATAGTTCAAGGACTAATAGATATTATGTGGGCTCGTTGGCTGTTGATGTTCATGATTGATGAAGATATTGGACTTTGCTATTAATTCAGATTACTAAAAAACATAGTGTTTTAGATATTCTCTAATTCTGCATTAAGGTTATGAATAATAGGAAGATCTAAATTAATATCTTGTGGTCTTACCTTATATAGTTATATGGGTGTAATTGTATGTGCGGCACCAAAAAAGAAAATGCGGCATTGCAGCTTGGTGGCTAGTTGACATTAGGCAGTATAGTTTATTTATCCTAATGTACTGTAAATTTAGTAGCACAATTGAAACAATCGTTCTTGTTTATTTAAATATGATTTTTATTCTTTATTTTCTCTAGTTGGAAATTGGAATTGGTTTCTGGTGTTTTTCTGAGAAGAATTGTGTAGTTGTTTCTGTTACAATTCATATAACAAGTTAAAAACCACAGTGCTTGCTTATTGGGCAACCAAAAAAACTGCCATGAAAGTTGGTATCCAATAGGTTGTCTCTTTTACTTTCTGCGAGCTTTCATTATCAACTCACTTATGTTACTTATCTCAATTGTAGAACAAATTATGTACCAATATTTGTGACTCTGGCTGCCTAGCTGCATTGTCTGTTCTGTTTGAGTACTTGAGGTTGTGTAAATCTATGTAATATGTTACCTTTTGAGGAAAGTGGAAATAGGTCTAGAGTTACCAGAAGTTGCGTATGCCAGAGTTGACCAGTGTTGGTGGCCCTAATTAAAGCATAGAGCTTCACTTGATGTATTTAACTTGTTTTTGATTGGTGAATAGAAAACAAAATGTTTCTTCCCAGATTATCTGAGTTCCTTGGGCTTCTCTTTCTTTGTGGTAGAGGCCAAGAGCAATGATTCAAGAGTTAATTCAAGGTGCAGAGGAGTGGAATTAAAGAAACTGCACATTTATGGTATGTAACAGTATAAGATTTTACCGAAACTACTGTATTTTTTGATTTTCTTCTGAAAAGATAAAACCCCATTCAATGTAATACATGATTGTTAATTGTTCATTGAATGTGATGTAATACTTGATGGAGGGAGCCATCTGTGTCTCAGATCGAAGAAGGTTTCAATGCCACAATTGTCATTAAAGTGATAAGATACTGGCTTCTTTATGATGGGAGACGTAAATAAGTTTAGGAATTTACCTACACTTCACTGCCTTATAGTATTGGACCAAATTGTCAGAGTCAGAATTTTCTTGAAATTTGACAGTCGAAGATTCGAAGTCAAAATCCACAATAAAATAGCTTTTACCCGATACATATTACCTATTCCTTTTTCTCCTAGACACTCAGTGTATCTTTCGATTGAAAATTCTGGGGGGAGAAAAAACACTCAAAATAAATTTGATGAAGAGTTCTGTTATCTTATTATAGTACACCGTCAGCCAATTAGCTATAGTACTTTAGTCCACAACCTTGACAAAGTGAGGCATAGAATTTTAAACTACATTACCACAGTGGAGTTATGTTTTTTGGATCTAAACCATTTATCCCCATGCTTAGGCCGAGAAACACATTATCTCCCTAACGTATATAGTTAAGCTCATGACCTCCTTGTGTGTTTTTGGAACAGAGTGAAATGACTCAGCTTCATTAATGTAAAAATGAATTAACAATACTATCGTTATCTTCCTCTCATCTCTTCTTCCTTTGTTTTCGTCCTTTTCCTTACTATCTTCTTCTTGTTTCTCTCTCCTTTCAGTGACTTTTTTTTTCTATGTATGTCCTCTGTGCATTCATTCTGCCATGACTTGTCCTGACCAGAACTTGTACTTGACGGCACTGGTTTGGTTGGGCTCAGATGATAAATTTGGGTGGTTTCCTTATTCTGTAAATACTTTCTAGCAATTCCTTATCCAAGTTCCAATCTGAATATAAGATGCCTTGGAATGCATTGATCAGCATGAGTTTTGTGACTCACTTCCAAGTTCGCGGCTCTGCACCAACCAAATCATTTACAATATAATAAGACAGATAACTTCCTTCTGTGAGTTCTAAAAGGTATCTCTGTGAATAGGGTAAAACTTGGACATAGAATTGTCTGTGTTAGCCATTCGGTTTTCAATGAGTAATCTTTTTCTCCTCTTCTCTCTCTCTCTCCCCCCCCCCCTTTCTATCTAGCTATTTTCACACACACTCGCATACCCCCAAACCCAAAACCCACGGCCAAATGATTGAAGCACCTGCACTTACACATTCTGATTCTGCCATTTGTATGTATAAAGGTCAATATACCATACTTGAGCACTGGTTATGCCGTGGCAGACCTAGTCCTCTTCTTCTTCTGCAATGGGACTGGTTCCTTTTCTCCTCCTTTCTTTTTCTCTTCATTCAAATATCCATTTTTTGTATTTGTGTGTGTTGGGGGGATGCTCTATTCAGTTGGAAATCAATTTTTGGATGGAAAATTTTTCCTCCCATGCCCTGAATACTTTTCTTGTGCTTCTTGTACTTTCTGTCAATTTGGATGGACAGTCAACCGTATCACTTTGGTCCAAAAATGTGAGAGCTACGAGCCTTTCAATCGTTTTGGGGGTAAATCGTTTTTGGATCTATCTACTGGAGAATAAAAGCAATTTACCACCGTAATGGAGTAAGCTGACTCCTTGGTATCTACTGTATGCCAAGTTAGAATAGGAATTTAGTAGGCAAGTTTCTAATTGAAGTGTATTGTCAAGCGTCTTATCAAGCTGCGAGTGCTATTTTAGAAATTAATCACGCCACTTAATGACAGAGGGAACATTAGAGATGCACTTTTAACAAATCTCTTTAACCTAGCTAAACTACTCTCAATTTTCTTCTGTTGCCGTCAGAACAAAAGAATTTGCATTTGTACTTTTTTTGCTTGTTACATGTGTTTAAGAACTGCACGTGTTCTTTCTTGCGTCTTACATGTATTTCATAACTCTTTGGGTTCTTGTACGTTGCATGTGTTTGTTTCTTGGTGGAACTGACATGCGTACACAAGGGCTTATATATGTTCTTTTTTGTTGCAACTTATATCTGTTCAATCACTGCTTGTGTTCTTTTCTTGGCGTGACTCGCGTGTTCAAGGACTTGTATTTGTTCTTTTCTTAGTTGTGACCTACATATGTTCTGCATAATTCTAACGGTTACATTAGACTTCATCATGGCACACTTTATTTGATAACTTGCCAATCCATACAGGAATTCAGGAAACCAAACTTTCAGCAACAATTTTCAGTTCACTGCATGCGTTGGGAGTTTAGCCATATTGATATCCGACCTAGCAGGTGGCTTGAAATTTCAAATGTCAATCAAAAAGGGAACTCGTTAGCTCATGTATACCCTCAACTAGGCAACTTCAACAGGAGGTGTACAACGATTGCTGGATCCTCCCACTTATTTTCTCCAGCTTGTGGAGGTTGTTGTTCATCCAATATGATTCCGTTGGAAGAAATAATAAATCGTTTGGTAACGCTTTCTGGAAGTACTGTTTTGCTTTTTTGTTTTTTATTTTGCTTCTTTTAGGGGTTTTTTTGACCTTTTGCTTTATGATTTTTCTTTATTGGGGCTTCCTCCATTTTTCTGACGTTAATCACATTTATTGTAGTATACATGTACGCGTATACTAGTGTATTTGTTATACACTAAAATGTATCCAGAATACGTTTGTGGAATTATAATTAAACATGCTTTTACTTTATTAATGAAATTGTTGTCACTAAAGAAAATTACTTAAAACAGTGTTACTAAACTTTACCCAAGTGTATTTCAAAAGGGGTCATTATATTTAATGTAAACATGAGGATTACCTTAGGCATTTACAATTTCAATTTTTTGGTATAGGGGAGGATTGCTATAACTGGTGTAGTAGAGTTGCTCACTTTTACTGCGCTTTTTCACCTTCCATTAGTGTGCAGGATTTAGTTATCTTCATATGGTAAATATTCAATGCAATGCAGCGGTCCAAACCAAACCACCAAAGAGAAGAAGAAGTTTTACTTCTGGTTGTACCCCTCTGGAACGATTCGTCGAAAAGTGGGAATAATCGTTGCATCCACATAAAAAAGTGTCAAAGTGGGAGTCGGGTCACACACAAGAAGGAGTGTTTTTGGTGTTTTGTTTCTTTGGGCTAGGCCTAACTGAAGTCACTTCTTTTCTAGTCTTTAGTCTTGACTCTGAGTCCACAACTTCGATTTCATAAGAGAAGGGCTTGTTTCATAAGATCGGCTACTTTTTCTCTGCAAGGCCATCGGAACACTTGCTGTGGCAGAAATGAATGTTTGGTAGAGTGAAGTTTTGTATCTCTTAAGGAAGAATTTCAATGCTAGCTGTGTAGAAATGTTCGAGGGCAAACAATTGTGTAGATGAGTGAATTTTCATTATCTGACAATAATATCACGTTACCATTTGATATTGTATAGATAGGTCGATATTCATTATCTAGCTGCGATAAAACATTATCATTGATATCATGGTTCAATAAGAAGATACACTTTTACTCTATAGGCATACATATGATAGTACCTCATACATTTCTGGTCTTATTGTAGAAGTATGATCTTTATGTATTGATATGATTATTAGATGTTTCTATTCTATTGAGTATAGGTAAAAGGCCTGTGTTATTCTTCTGGCTTGTACTTCCCCAAAACTGTGTGCAAGATACACAATAGTATTTACTATTTCAATATTAGAAGACCACTGCACAATAAGTACAGAAAAATATTACGATATCGAAAGGTTATTTTTGATATTGTATTAGTTGTTATTATGAAATAAAGGTAATGTTACTATTAAATTGGATCGAACTAGTTTTTTGATAGTGTCAATGGTTTGACTTTTGACAAAAAAAATAACGGAAGTTAACATCAGAGTTACATTGTAACATTTTTGATATATTAAGATGCAATGCGAAAAATTTAATCTTTGAGGATGTAAAATGAGAATTTTGAAATTTTTTACTGTACAAAGTGCGAGAAGTCCTAATATTTTCAGACTCAGTAACATAATCATTTAATAGCATAAAAAAAAGGAATTGGAATAATGTTTGACACTTATAATACATTTAATAATTTTTTGTTTGTTGGTATTGATGAGAATATGACACCCCCTTCTACATTTATTGGATATTAATAATGGAATGACAAACTTTGCCTGTGTTATAACACAACATTACATGTAATTAGTCATCAATAATAATTAAAAAATAATAATGATAATGACTTAGCATGAATTGGATTGATGACTAAAATTAAATGACATGTTGTGATCTATAAATACACAAAAATTAGGTTAGTATGCAACAATATAAGAGAAAAATGGTTCAAATACATTTTAAGAATAGATTACTTAATTTTAGATTGTTCATTCTATATTGATAAAAGATTTACTTAAAATTATTGAAAACTTATTGGGTTTTTAATATGTGATTTAACGTTGAATTATAAGAGTGGATTTTTTTTTTTTTTCAGATATCCCGATTGTCTGAGTAGATCACCATCATGTACCAAACTAATGTTAAACATTGTATAAAATTATCTTTCCACACAAGTAAGTGAATCTATGAACGGTGATTTTAAGGAGCGATATTTTATCGAATATTCAAATCTTTGAGATTGACCTGATTGATAAGAGTTATATACTTAGGGTTTGAACCCAATAACAAAAGGTGGATATTACTAAACCGTGCATGCCAAGTTTGAATCAAACCATCACCCTTTAGTATCCAAAATAGAAAGAAAAAAAAAACAATTGGACTGGTCTGGTTGAATGTATTTACAACATGGTCAAACTAGTTCCATATTTTTATTTTTTGATTTTATTCACCCTTTAAAAAAGGTAAAATATACTTTGACTATTAAAACTATGGACTAAATTTCACTTTATCCCTTAAACTATTGAATTTTTTACATAGTTTCTTCAATTATTTGGATTATTTCACATCGCCTCAATCACAAATGTCCATTTTTTTTGGCACAAATATTGCCAACGTATCAAGATAAAATGAAAAAAATACATCGTTCAAAAGATAAAATAAAGTAATTTTTCATTAAATATGTCATAAACATTAATAATTAAAGTGATGTAAAACTAATTAAATAGTTAACATTACAATGTGAAGAATATGATAGTTCATAGGACAATGTAAAAAATATTTTTGACATATTATGATTCCTTTGGAGGTTGAGTGGCTTATAATATTCCATTTAAGGTCCTCTCGGACTCCCACGCGTTTATTAATAAGTAGGGTTTGATTAAGGGGGATTCACATTTCTCTCATTGACAGATTTTGTATTTACTAAATTTGATTATGATTTAAGTCGGTCTTTGAGAGTATCTACAGTTTCTCATCGTCTAGGTTTCCCTGATAGGCTTCCCTCATGAGTTTGGACAACGGCAATAACACCCAAACAAGAGTTCCACCTTGGTTACCCCTTAACCCTTTTTTATGACCCAAAAAAAACAGCCTAATGAATGTATCCATCTATGATTTGAAAAATTCATCTAATCGAAACATATACATGGATGAAATGGGGGTGGAAAATGGAAATATAATTTGTCCTTTAAAAAAATAGAGAAATAATTTAGAAAATAGAGGAGATATCGAAGGGTAAAATTGGCAAAAGAAATAAGACCTGCCGTGTTCATTCCAGACTCACCAAACACCGTATAACCGCCCTGGTGGTGTATTTTACACATCCCATACCCTCCTCGTCACTTCACCTCCGAACACCATTCTCTCTCTCTCTCTCTCTCTCTCTCTCTCTAGATTGTTTCTTTCTCCACAATTCTCTAGTTCTAGCGTTTCAATTCTTTGTTATCTCAATCATACGGCATTCAAATCACACAAAAATAATCTGTTTTAGACAGAGAAACTCTCCATCTCCTTCTCCTATCTCTCTCTCTGCGCGCTACAATGAAGCTTCGCAGGCGATTAAATACAGAGAAATCTCTAATGTATATCAGCTCGTTTTTTCTCGTGATTTCTGAAAATTTGGTTCTCTTTTGTTGATTGCGTAGCTTTTGATTTTCTTTTTATCTGAAAGTTCTGTGAACGATCGGAGGAGAGACAAAACTCTAATCGGGCAATCGATCGGTGTAAATTGACGGAGAGAAACAAAAGTTTTTTTGGCTCTGAATAACAGAAGAGAAGAGGGTAAGAGAAAGAGCATGGCATCGCCAGTTCCTGCAAAGTCTCAAACTCTGCACAACTTCACTTTGCCCTACCAATGGAAGAAAAACCATACCAACAATCACCATCGCGGCCGCACCAAACTCGCTGATTCTTCACCACAAACATCTTCACCGTCCGATTCGGCGCCGCCGCTGCCGCGACTGTCTCCAAAGCATGATTCGGCTCCACGCCAATCTCCGATGCGCGATTCTGCGCCACTTGGCCGATCTCCGGTGCGTGAGTGGGGTCTACGCCAGTCTCCGATGCGCGATTCAGTACCGCGTCAATCTCCGATGCGTGAATCGGTACCGCGTCAATCTCCGATGCGTGAATCGGTACGGCGACAGTCCCCTTTCCGTGAATCCGCCTCCGAATCAGACTCTGGCTATACTATCCCGATGAAGAAGAAAATCGTTACTGAAAGCCGGAAAAATTCGAGACCAGAGGGCGTCGTTAAAAATGGGCTTTTTGTTTCTTCTTCTGATCAAAAAGTCGAAAGTTCGAAGAAATCGTCTACAGTGTCAGACATCAATGGGGTTAGAGGAAAAGAAGTCAGATCATCGAGGATCTATATACGTTTCAAAAAGACCAAGCCCGATGAAGCCGTAGAAGATGGGGGTAAAGTTATTGAGGTTGTTCAAGATGAGGAGAAGATTGATGAGGTTAGAGACGAGGGAAAAACAATTGGGGCTGAAGGAGAAGTGGAAGAACCGATGCCCAAGACATGGAATTTAAGGCCAAGAAAGCCTATATGCAAGCCGCTGAACATCAATGGAGGAACATCAAAATTTGGTGGATCTTCGGTGCAAGAGAATAAAGCCCAATTGCATCAGGTGAACTCAGATCGGTTGGAATCAGAAGGGAATGGTTCAGAAAAAAAGGAGAAGAAGCAGAAGTTCTCTATTTCTCTTTCACGGGAAGAGATTGAAGAGGATATCTTTATTCTGACTGGATCGAAGCCAGCAAGGAGGCCGAAGAAGAGAGCAAGGAATGCCCAGAAAGCAGTAGATGTAATAACCCATTTCTTTTTCGTCCACAATTTTCAGTCTTTGATGTAAGTTAGGTGCTTGGTTTCTTTCCTGTCATTGATATGGTACTGAGATTTGCTGTGTTTGATAATTTTTTGCAGAATGTACTCCCTGGTATGTGGTTGGCGTCAGTGACCCCGGATTCATACAAAGTCGAAAATCCTTCGAAGGTATAGTTTTTCCTTGTACAAGTGATTCAAAATTTTATTTTGTGCTTTGTGGGCGATTTGATTTGTGGGTTTGAGATGATGAATATATTCTATTGCAGGGTTAAATAAGTCTGTGACGGCTATCCTTCAAGTGTTTTGTGGAAGTTTCAAGGTCAATAACTTCCAAATTTTGTGATTCCATTTGAAGGTATTAGTAGCTATATTTCTGTAAAGATGACAGAGAAATTAAGTATTACTTTTTGCTCTCCTTCTATCTATTTTGGGATGGAGCTTCACTTAGTTGGATGAAGAGGTTTTTGTTTCTCTGTGTTAACATTTTAAATAGTTTGCGATGTACATAAGAATTATCTTTCGATTTATTAGAGGTTCATTTGCAATATCTTTAATGTGTTACTTGTTAGTTCCTAGTTCCTATGTGTTGTGTCTTGTTTGCCAAATGCTCTGAAGATGCAGTGCAAGAACTTTGTTGTGTGAACCCCAAGTAGCTGGGATACCATGGTCAATAGCAATTATATGTGTCATGTTTGCTTGAAAAATTTATCAGCCAATATTTTTGATGATCATATTAGTCTAGTTATCCGGATTTTGATCACTGTCAGAACTTGTGAGAGCCCTTTGCGTTATATGGTTTCATTTTAGTACAAAAGATTCACCAATTATATGTAGAGGTTGTGGTCACTGTAATAATAGATTTTATTGATCATGTTTCCTGCATACATAATTATTCTTGGTGAATTATTCTTTTCGAATTCATGGGCTAGTTGCAGACAATAATGTAATTAGTGCTGATGAATTATTCTTTCCAAATATGTAATCTCAGTAGCTAATAGCTAACAATTATACTGTAGAGTGTTTTGTGAGATCATATGTATGAAAGTAGTAACTTCTATATTCAACCATTTGTAGAGTGTTGTGAGATCATATGTATGAAAGCAGTAACCATTAGATTCAACCATAATTGTCTTTTTACTTTAAGAGTGCAACCATTTTTGTTCATGGTTCAAGGTCCATTGACTTGGAGGGTTATGAGATACATCGGTCGTGCAGATAATACGCCTTATGTTGAACATGACTAAAGATTCAGATCATATCGTGACTTCATGGAATTGTATCAGGCGATTCGATAATGATAACTCGGCAACTGGAGATTAAGTCGGATACAACTTGGATGAGTCGTGCGAGATTTAGAGTTTACACGTATCGTGTAATAGTAGCCGACTCGGCCAAATCTTTGAGCCATGCTTTTGTTCATGATGTACACTTTTAGGGAACTTTTATTGCATGATTATGGAATTGAGCAGGAGCACCTCCTCCATAAGTAGTAGGAAGGTGGTTTTACGCTAGCTGTTGTATGTTTCTGGGAAAAAATGCAGTTAAATGCCCTAATTGATCCAGAAAGCAGCAAGCCCACCTTGGATTTTACTGATGCAACCACCTGTACCAGATAAAGGTTTAGTGAGACCAAAAAACTGGTCATGTCCATGCATTAGCGTAGCCTTGTCCATGCCTGAAAACTCTTCTGGATATTGAAATCGAGGAAAACCTCATCATGGTCAAAAATATTTTGGGGTGACGTCAGTTGAATGGCTGACGATCAAAGCATTAGCAATGAGCACGTGAAGAGTAAAGCTTGTTGGCTACAATGGGCTGTTTAGAGTTGGCTGAAATAAGTTGATTTTATGGCTTTTGAAATAAAATAAGTACGTCCGTTTGGACTTCGGCTTTTGGATCAGTTTATGCAGTAAATTTTTGAACCCAAAAAAGTTTGTTTAGACTAATTTAAGAAGTTGATTTTATGAATTTTTTTTTTTGGGACTTTTTGGAGTTTGGTCGCGGGTTTTATACATAATTTTTTAGTTTTCTATATTTATAAAATATTATTAGTCATGATAAAAAATTTAAAATTCATATTTTGAGAACTATTATATATAACTGATATATATATGTGTAATTACTTTTTTATTGACATAAAAAGCCCAAAAAATTAAAAAGTCATTTTAAATGGATTTTAGTTTTTCAAAGAACACTCTAAACGATTTTGGAATTTTTTTTGTAACTTTTTACTTTTCTACAAAAGTTTTTTAAAAATAAAATCAGCTGTCCAAAATTGTTTACCAAATCTTATATCTCAAGTGATGTAATAAAATTTGATGCATTGAATTTTTGGTAGAGTTAGTAGATCCCACTAATCCAACCACTTACGTTAATTTGTGATATAAAATTTGATAAACATAACATTACTCATTTTTTAAACTACAACTTTTCACCTAAAAAAAAGGTAGCCCCAAGCATGCCAATATCTAAATCTCCTTGTAAATATGTATCATGGTTCATTTAGGGGCTGGATATGCAAAAGTCTCTTCTGGTTCCATGGGTGATTGAATTAGGATGCAATTTTAAACAAGAAAACCTAAATTCTTATATTGGTGCTAATTTGTGGTGTTATGTTTTAAAAAACAAAATTAAGGTAAGAGCACACCTTTTTTTTTTTTTTTTGGGTACCAATTCTAGATACCAATTTTCTTATTGAAAAAATTATCGACGTGCTATTGTTAGTTATTTTTCTGCGCTTACATTCATTTTCTCACGTTGAATCAAAAACAATTGTGTAAAATCATTTCCAAATAAGCAGTACAATGCCTTCCAAATTTCCAAATTATTTAGCTTCAGAAATGAGTTATAAATGTCAACTTGGTCGTTAAATTTAAATCAATGTAAAAAATTACTAAGTTATGATCGGTAATACTTTTAACTACTTTTTTTAAAAAAAATTCTCTCTTTTTTTACACCCGAACTACTTTAAACATGACTAGGTGCGCATACACACGACATTCATGTGCATTATTACCATAGAATGAGATTAGAGAGAGAGAGAGAGATAAGGTGAAAATGCCAACAAAAGATAAAAATTTATGAATAATTATAAATAATTAAAGGGTAAGACATATTTTATAACGAGAACACTAAAGTTCTCTTGTCCCTTCATTAATAAGATAGATATGCGTGATAATTGAACTAAACTACTCAAATTCGGTTCAAATTCATTTAAATAATTTTTTAAATTCATTTAAAAAAACGAATTTCAGAGACACGGGTCGAGCCTAAGAATAGATAGGCTTTATTCTATTTGCCGGCCCAAGCCCATCTCATGTACCTAACGCATGGACCAAATCAAGTGCATTTTTGTAACTTCAACGTCCACTTTGAACTTAAGAGAAAATTGGGAATGTGGGCTATTTAGTGGGCACATCGTGGCAAGTAACCGCCTTAACCGTCACTACACCCCCAAAAAACGCACACAGATAACAAATAGAGAGCGAAAAAAAAAGTAGAAAGTTGTAGAGAGAGAATCTAGTGAAGTTTTTGAAAGATTTGGGTCGTGAAATTTTGGTGATCAGAGTTTGAAAACCTGCGGAAAATAGTTGGGTATAGATAGAGAGGTGTTTGTGTGTGTGAATGAATGAATATGAAGAGATTAGAAAGGGCCATGGAAGAGATGAAGAAAGGACCATGGAAGGCAGAGGAGGATGAGGTGTTGATAAACCATGTGAATAAGTATGGTCCAAGAGACTGGAGCTCCATTCGATCCAAAGGCCTCTTGCAGAGGACTGGAAAATCTTGTCGTCTTCGTTGGGTTAATAAACTCAGACCCAACTTGAAAAAGTATGCTTCTTTGCCTTCATTGTTGTTTCTTTGTGTGTGTGTGTGAGAGGGAGAGAGATTAGGTGTCTGTGTATAGAGATTCGATTTTGGATGATGGGTTTCTTCATATATATATATAATGTTAGTGGGATGTCTGTGTGTGTAGATATGGAGTTACTCATTTATGTATTTGTATGGTGTCTGAAGGAGATGTTGATGATGGGTTTCTTCATATGCTCTCTCTCTCTCTATATATATATATCTATCTATCTGTGTGTGTCTGTGTGTGTGTGTGATCTTTGATGGAGAATTTGACTTTGGGGCACCGTTTTAACAACTGATATTGCCTTTTTTTCCTCTCATGTCACTGCCTCTGTTTGTATATGTTGTAAATATTGTGTGTGTGTGTGTGTGTTTGGGTGGTTGATATTTGATTCACTTATTTATGCTCTCTCTCTCTCTCTCTCTCTCTCTCTACAGTGGAGTAAAGTTCTCAGCGGAGGAGGAGAGGACAGTGATAGAACTGCAAGCGCAATTTGGGAACAAATGGGCAAGAATTGCAACATATTTGCCAGGAAGAACAGACAACGATGTGAAGAATTTCTGGAGCAGTAGGCGAAAGAGATTGGCTAGGATTCTTCAGACACCAACTCCACCACCCAACTCACAAAAAAACACCATGGAAGGCCCTGCTCTCCGTGATGTTCCTTCTCTGGAGGTAAGATTCTTGGTCTACTCCATGTAATTTTCAGCAAGTATTGAATTTGTATTTCTCGAGGATTTCCATTTTTGTGGGCATATATTGTTGTATTTACACTCTTAATTCCCATTTTTATTGTTGTGACGGACCCACGATTTGAGTACTGAGGTAGACAATAAAGTAACAAGAAATAAATAAGGCACACTACACTCTATAACCTTTCACCCCATCTATATGCCCTAGAAATATGCACTTTCTTGCCTTCGACTCAAGTTTACCGTCATTCACATGGCCATAAGAAGAACAACCGAACACTTTAAGGTGCTCAGGCTTGGTGATATGGGACTATTCTTAGAAGGTCTGGATATTTATATTGAAGCATAATAATGATGTTTTTGTTCAGTTCAAATAATAAAAGGCTATGATCGTGAAGCAGATAGATAAACAGATCAAACGTTTGCAAACTGACAATGGCATGTGGTATCAAAAGCCAAGGACTTGTCGCCACTTTTTTCAACATTTATGCCTTTAACATGAAGGATTAATCTCACTCTATATGTAACAGGCAACCAATTAAGTAATACCAACATAAATAGGTCAAGTTGATGAACCAAAATAGCACGACCAATATGACACGAGATGAAGATAACAGAAATTAAAATGACACGATCCATGACACAACTCGACTTACACCCTTTACGCCAATAGTCACTTATATTCATGTTTTCTTTCCAATTCTCCTGCATTTCCTTTCTGTCTTATACAATTTCAGGCACCCAAGTTCAGTTCATCAACAGATGAAGAATCATCTTCTAAAACACAATCTTGCTCATCACCCTACATTGAGAACTTGGCAACAATCAGAATGGTACCATTGCCAGAACTATTAAACCCCAACTTGCTTAATTTTGAACAGAACCAGCTTCGAGTCGAGTTCATCCCTACCGAGAAGAACCCGTGCAATGACTCACAACTCCAACTGTCATTCCCTAACATTCCACAGCCACAATCAGAACTTGCACTCCCAGTAGAAAGCCAAGAATTCATCGGTAGGCTCGGGAATTCGGACTTCCTGGATTGGTTTGGAGGGCATACCAATGCTTCTGAACTTGGTGATGACGCACAAATACCAATTGTTTTGCCATGTTTTGGACAAGGAAATTGCCAGAATGGTGAAGAGAGAGAAAATGGCAACTCTGTCACCACCCCAGATAGCTTCATTGATGACTTCCCAATGGACATGTTTGATCAACTTGAACCTCTACCAAGCCCATCAGAGTGGTGATTGATCTGTGGAGAAAGGGTTTCCCATGTGGGTTTTAGAAGGATTCATCTGTTAGCTTCTTTTAGCTTCAAATTTGAGGCATTCTTGTGGTAGTTATTACTGTTCTTTGTACTAAGCCAAACTCTAAATTTCCAAAGTTTGCAGGTAACTTAATTTACTCTATGCTAATCTATTTTATGAATAGTATTCCTCATTGATTGATGTATGAAATTATTTGTTATGGACTAAACAATTGAGACCCATATATACTCTTCTGTCAAATTTTCATGCTTTATAATGTTGCTGCTAAGAAGGAAGGGGGTCTTTGAAGCAAAGGTAAAAAAATTTTATTGTAATTTGAAGGTCACAAGTTTGAATTGCAAAAATAATTTCTCAGCTTCTAAGGTAAGGCTAAGTATACTCTTTTTTGAAATGATGCTACTAGTCTTACCAATTAGGGGACATCATACTTTCCCTTGCACTTAGATACACCATTTTTCTTTTTAATAAGGGGTTAGATGGGTTTAATCTTGGAATCTATTTGGTTTTGAGCAATGCTACATACATTTAAAATGTTGACTTAATTTATTAACTTGATCAATTACTATCTAACTGAACCCTTAGATAAGTGAGTCAGATTGACAAAGTTAATAAGACCCACTCATCCAAAGGATGATATACATTTCAGTTATAATTTTTTAAGTTTCATTTGAATTGTATAATTGCTAAACTACTATATTTACCAAATTTCACTTCCACACTGATTTATCTCATCAAGAACCATCAGATATTATTAGGACTCGATTGTCTTTCTACTAGCCTGGAAAGAACATTGTCATTAATGCCATCTAAGTGGGATAAGTCTACCCCATTAAGAGGGTAGAGAAAATTGGGTTGATATATATAACCCACTGAAATATTTTCTAAAAAAAACTTATTTCTCCTTCAAAGAAACATTACAAGGGATTAAATTCTGGTATTCGAAATGAATATATAGATAGGTCACTTTATATATCGCCTTAGTATTGTACAAGTCGCTCCTGCAAACACAATTTTCTACACTGAATAAACCTTTTATGCCGAAGTACAAATTTCATCTTGCCTTTGGAAAGTATCATATAAAATCGATAAGATGTACAACTCTGCATATTTCTATCAGAGAGAGTACAATAAAATGATTGAAAAAAGGAGAACAGCCATTGATACAAGCCTTTCTTGGCATTGTTAGACACTAATTGGTACAAGTATGCATCTTTAAATGACATTGTTACATTTTTACCTGCATTTCTCAAACACCTACGAAGCTGTAGATTCACATTGATGAGATCTGCAGGCTTCAAAAGGGTGCCTGCCCAAGGCAATGAATCTGCCTGAAGGATTGAATCATCTTGTTCAGCATTTGGCCGAAAGCACAAGCAGGCCCAAAACCCTTCGGGCTGACTGTCTCGAGCCACAGATATACAACATGCTCTCTATCTCTGCACTCTAATGATGGGTAAATTCACAAGGAGTCTTCTATGTCATCTGGTACATGCAACTTCTCAATGGCAGCCTGTTCGAAATATGGGAGATGAGAAGCGCTGAAATAGCTAAACTCTGCTCCTTGTGGAGAAGAACAATTTAAAAAAAAAAAACTGTTTTTATTTCTTTGTGGGGTTTTGTTTTGGGTGGTGGTGGTGGGTTGTGTGTGTGTGTTGGGGGGGGGGGGGGGCACTTTCTTATGCACAAAGGGAGTCATTTAGGCAGCTCAGTAACATTGTGTTACAGTAATGGGAAACATAAAGGTCCATGCCACCACTAATATTTTGTGGGGAAGAGGAATGCTACCATTCTCAATGCTCAGCATCTGGTATGTGGGCCGAATAAATGAATATGTTCATAGTTACTAAATTTCAAAACTCTAAACTAATAAAAATTATCTTTTCTAATAAATATGCAGAAAAATGTATCTTACAATCCATGCCTAATCCAATACGCAAAGAAGATGAATGAGAGAGAAGCCAATCACCTTGATGGTGGCGACATCTGTGGCAGATGGTTTCAAATCCAAAGCTAATCCAAAGTGAAGCATGGCTTTGTCATACATGTTATGCCGTTTATAAATTTTACCCATCAAAGCATAGATGCTACTTTCACGAGGGGCATATTCTTTAAGTTCCTCTAGGACTTCCAAGGCTCCATCAAAATTTTCCAAGCTCACAAGTATGTTGGCCTTCTGATACATAGGGAGGGGATTCTTCTTATCTGCTGAAATAGCCTTCTCCATCATCTCCAATGCTAACTTGTTTTTCTGTCAAATATTAAGTTAATGGATGACTGGAAAAATCGTATAAGAAAATATTTATTTCCAGTACTAGAAAACCACAATAAGTGATCCAACCTTCAAGGCGTGCAAAGCAGTTCCAAGGTAAGACATTATAACAGAAGAATGTGGATTAATTTGAAAAGCCATTCGGAAGTGATGCTCTGAGAACTCAAATTTCTCTTGGCGAAGGTAGACCATTCCAAGGCCATACCAAGCATTATAATGTCTTGCATCAACCCGAAGGGCACTCTGGTAGCTCTTAATTCCATTCTCAAAATCCTCTAAGGCCACATATCTGTATAAATATAAAATACCCAAAAGTAGAATTAGATACAAAATGACATTTTGTTTAGTTCAGAAGTCCTTCCAAAGAAAATATAATTTCATGTATTGCTTCAATAAACGAGAAAGGTAATGTAGCTTACTCATGACCGCAAAGAGTATGGGCATATACAAATCTTGAATTAAGTTGGATGGCTCGCTGGAAGTTTTTAAGTGCAGTTTCATGGTCTTTTTGCAAGCTAAAGCAATTTCCCATAGCACACCTGAAATATCCATTTAATAGTTAGTTATTATACAAGGAACAAAGTGGTAATTCAAAAAAAAAAAAAAGAAGTTATTGTCCTCTGAAAAGCCCTCGTAGCATCAACCCATCATGCCTGTGAGGAAACAACCATGCCAATAGGAACCGCAATTAACTGACAAGGCAAACATATGCTGAAAGGTCCCTCACACAATGTGTGGCAGCAAGTCAGGGAAAGAATCACTGTCTAATACAGACGGGAAGAATCTAACAGTGTCCAACATTCAAAATTCCTGAGCTCCATACAGACTAATAAAACATTTTGGATTGGCTCAATACATCCCTAATCGGAAAAGCAAGACTTTGCAGGGCACAAGAGCCAGGAAAAAACAAAAATTCAGCACCACAAAACCCTACCACATGCATGCAAGGCATTTAAGTTCTAAAACTAAATATGTTGAACTGCCAAAAAGGGAAAGCACTGGATGTAACAGTCTCTGAGAAGTTATCTGGAAGTACAGACCTAATCATAACTCACTAAAGTTGCACCTAAGCAAACTTAGCAGAATGAAATATTTACAAAGCCCGATTAAAGCAAATACAAAGATTGTCAAAGTTACCAAGATTGAGGAGCTAAGCGGTCAGTTGATATTAGCTGCTGAGCCAGGTAACTTAACTTCATATCCTCCTTCAAATGCTGTAACATATAAGAAAATTAGACTTCCAGATGAAATCAAAGTATTATGGAATAGGACCAAAAGGGAGAGGAAGAAAACATGATGACTAGCTATGCTTCAATAACAACAATGACAAAAGATTAACATTCAGGATCCAACACAGGCAATGGCAGGCAAGAACAAACTTTCAGTCAGGACACCAGTTAACATACAACTTTCCCAAACCTCCCCCCCCCCCCAAAAAAAAAAAAAAAAAAAAAACCCCAAAGAAGACAAAGAACGAGAAAAAAAAATGACAACAAGGGGGGCTTAAATATGTTTCACCTCTTTGTGGTTTTGGCTAGTCACACTTTACCTCCTTTTAGTTCAGAGGCTTTTGACCAAACTGAAACTGTAACTCCGTTAACAAAAACACCAAAGTGTAACTATAATTCCATTACTGCAAAAATGACAATTGTAGCCCTCTATTTAATTAACCTCCACCTTACTCTCAAACTCTGACTGAATGGAGAGAGAGAGAGAGAGTCCATCTAAGTCAGTGTAAAACAGTGATAATTCAAATATATACAGGGAGAAAGAGGGGGGAGACAGGATCCAAATCAAAAATGCATTGGGGAGATTCTCTACACCAAAAAATGAGAGGTGATGGGTTTTATTGGTAGGTTCCCCCCCCCCTTCTCTCTCTACACCAAAAAAGAATGCTTGAGAAAAGAGGCGGTTGGGTTTATCTATATCATGGGTCCAGGGCCTCGCCTCTCAACTAGGATGCCCACAGTTCAAACCCTCAATCAAGGTGAGGTACATATGTGGTAGCAAAGGTCTAACCCTTACCATATCTAAGCCTTTCACTCAATGGCCACAAGCCACTAAACAGCTCTCATCCACCTTCCACTTAATAGTAGGCTAGAGATGTCAATGTGAACCTAGTACAGCTGTAAAGGACCAAAAATAAATGCTTATTCATAAAATGACATTTACACTGCTTGAAAAAGGGGAGAGGGGTAGGGAGGAAAAACTGCTGCACTCTACACATGATGCATTCTGACATGTTAGGCATCATAACAGTTGTTCTAATAATGAAAACAAACAATTAAATAATCTTCCAATAAAGAAGAAAACTCACATATAACACTGTAGAATATATATCCATTCCTTCTATATTATGAGGAGAGGCCAGACGGGCAAGACTGAAGGCATGATCGGCTTCTAGATAATCAACAGATTCAAAGTACATTTTCCCAACCTGTGTTTGAATTTTCCCATAATGGCGCCACGTCAGAGATATTAAATGAATTTTCAGTATAAATGTTGTGGATGAAATGCATGGCATCACCACTTTGTGGCACCCAATAGATGACAAGGTCACTTGCATTTAGTATCCAAATTTATTAGACTCAAAATTCAAGAAAAAAGGGAGAAATGGTCCCTTAAATTATGGAAATCAATTCATTCAAGCCTAATTCTATTCTGGAACTATTCCACTAGGAAGTAACAGTAACTACAGGAATAATCCAGCATTGTTATCAATATTGAAATGAATACCTTGAAAACTTGAAAATCAGCAGTTTTGAGTATTTCTGGGGTAATCAAATCAATGTAGTTCAACCATTATACGACATTGACCACGTAGTAATGAAACCCTTAGATTAAAGACCCCCAAGTCATGTGCCCGTTACAGTACATTATGACCATATAGTCAAAGTGATGACTCAAAAGGCAAATGATTAGCACAGCAACAGAACAAAATACATCCACTCAATAAATTACAAGAAATTTGAAATAAAAGGTTACCTGTGAAAGCACCCAGCCAGTATTATAATGCTTATGTGGAAGTTTCAGATAAACCTCCAGTGCATCCTGTACAAGCAAGAAAAATGACATATCAAAACGCAAATGTAGGCAACAAGAAAAATATATTTGGTTTTCCCAAAAATCATATGTAATACCTGGCACCTGTACATGCAGGAAAGTCTATAGCCTTCCCCAAGAATTCTCAAGAGGGCCAATATTTCTGAAGCACCACTTGAGACTCTTGAGCCACTAACAATAACCCCACCTGCAGGCATGGTTTGACCTTCTTGCTCAAGAGATCTAGCATCACCAGAGGGAGATGAACTTGATGTGGTGGTGATATTTGAACGAGAATCGTCATAAACTTCATGCCGAATCCCTACAAATGATGACAACGTTTAGTCTTTCTGATTTGGATAGTCACTGGGCGGCAATACGCAGAGAACAGATCAGGACAATCAAATTAGTAATAAATTTTCTTGAATTGTTCAGGAAATAATATTCTTTCAACAAATGCCAATCAAACAACTAATCACTATTAGGTGTGACCAATTCCCGTGAATGAAACCATGCCATGATAAATCTTATACATAACAAGAAACAGAAAATAAATGCGACTTCATCTTCTTAATAAACTCATACAGGAGATGACGAAATAAACTAATAGGACTTTTCTGTGAGCAGATGAACTAGTACTTGCATCGGTCAAGGAAGAAATTCATTCAGTCTGTGTCACAAGGGAGATTTTCTTATATAAGACACCAATAGAAAGCTCAAGACAACTTCCTACAGATAATAACGCAACTTAGTTTAAATGCTCAACGGGAGATGCACAGCAGCAAACCTTTTGTCCTTCATTTGATTCAATTGTAGACGAAAATTTAGGGAATATGCATTAGAAATATAGATGACCACACCAAAAAGAAATCTACGAAAGATAACACTTCTGATATCTCCTTCTTAATAGTAGTTGTACCGCTTTTTCTCAGGCCACAAGGACCAATAATGTATGATGAGAACATGCAATAAAATATCACTGCTCACAAATTAGAATTTCAAGGCCTAGTAAATGCAACACGAAAGTGAAGTTCAAACATTGTCAGTTTCATTATTATTCAAAAAGTGTCGTGCTAGGCTGGACTACTAGGGACTCTGACCTGCAAATTGTTTGGTCCTTTTTATAGATCACACAAGTAACCATTGCAACTTGTCGATTTTTCCTATTTATTAAACCATCCAGTGGTCAAAAGTTGCAAAAAATAGGACAAATGGCTAATATGATTCATCACCTTCATCAAAACCTTCATTAGCCGAAGACTGCCCCTTACGAACTGTCACAGAACGAAATGCCACAGAGCTTAACTTGGAACTGCCAAGGTATTTAGAGGAGTGGCTATTTCCATTTCCAGCTACTGTTGTGGAACTTATATTCAACAGAGCCCCTGCTTCTCCAGCAAGCCTTGTGCTTCGTCGAGGGCCAGAATCAGAAAACAACCTCCCAGATATCTGAAAGCAAAAGACATCAACACAACTCGGAAAAAGAAAAGCACAAGCAGTCCATATATACTCAGCTCATGGGTATAAACTAGTTGCACCAACACATGTAACCAGAAAACAAGCAAGGGATAGAGTCGCGTTGTAACAATGAAATACACAAGATAGGCCCAAAATGATGAGATCACCTAGAAATAACGAAGGAGACATAAACTGTGACTGACAAGTTACAACAACAGTTCATGTCAGAGGACAGGCTGAAAAAAACCAGAAGATCAATATGTAAGTCCAACCAACAACCCGTATAAGAATGAAAATAAATGACACCACCAAAAAACTGAACAATGAGAAAACAACGAGCCTAATATGGTACGCAGTGACCCACCTTCAAGATGTTGTCTGCTTTGAGGTAGGCCCATACGGCCTTTAGAAGAATCTTATGATGATGATCCAAAGCTCACATTCATAAGGCACTTCATATTCTTTGCCAAACAATGTGGGACAAAGTACATAGCCTAGATACCATTACCTCACCTCATCCATGTTGGCCCCAAGCCTCATGAATCTAGGTTGTTGAATATTGGTCACCACAGAGGTAAGGGGCGGGGAGGGGAATTATGATTGTGAAGATGTCTTGAAATAGATATAAAACAATAATAGCAAAGCAAATACACATCCATACAAATAAAAGAAGATAAGTTTATAACCTTTCTTAGTTTTCCCTCATCCACGAACTTTCTTCGAGGGGCCTGAATTGTACTGTTCACAGTTGACTTCGGGGAGCTATCAACACCAGATGCATTTGGATGTGGGCCATTTGGCTGCATGTTTCTACATAAAGGAGGTGGAGCAACACCTGACGACTGCATGATATTAAAGAGCTAAGACCAAGACTTAGAAAGGAAAAAGAAATACATATAGCATGTTCTTTAAAAGCACAAGTGAATTAAGTCCAAAATCTTTGCTCTGAAAATAGAATCTAATTCAAAGGTATACTGCCACATTTAGGAAAGCAATATTTTTAAGACTAAACTTTATGATTTATTTTGAACAACAAATCAGTCATGCAAAAGAGAGTAATTAACAGGAGAACTTTCCAAAATAAGAAAACAGATCAATCAATCCATAATCTAATAGCAAGGAAGAACAAACTTTTGTTTTTCTATCACATCTCTAAGAATGAGCAAGAACAGATGTGAACAATGCAAAATTACCAAGTGGAATGAAAGGAGATTCAACAAGGAGGGTATTAAATAGAGTGCATCATAGTCCTGTAAGCAGAGTTGAACTTACTAGCATTCCTGGTATGTTGAATTAGGGGGAAGATGAGATTGATGCAGATAATAGCAGGATAGAATTGAACCCAGAGTGCAGGGAGATAGGTTATGTTTGCCACCACAAGTTCCACTAAATGCTATTTAAAAAGTAAAGCGCCATTGCCTAGTGCAAAAATAATATTTTCATGCTAACAATTATGAGGACGTGGGGTCAAAACTGAGGCCAACCGCTTTATGCAAATAATAGGTTTATACCCAATTCACCTCCTCCCAACGTTCTCAATTATTGGAGACAAAACAATGTAATAACCTTTTAACTATGAAAAAAAAAAAAGATAGGTCTTCTACTTAAATACTGATGTGAAGGCGAACCAAGATTCAGGTTGCGACTTGAACCTAAATCTGTGGAGTGTAAGTAATGCCTAGTCTGGAAAGCCTCCAGTGCTTGTTTCTTGCTCATCATTGAAGAATGGGAAAAGCTGAGTTGGACAGATATCAAAGCTCACAAAAAAAGGAACAAACAAAACAATAATTGCTCAACAGAACCATTTCAGCTGCATGTTGAACGGGACTTACCGAGAAGCCTATCTTTCAACTTAGACAACTGATAGATATAGCTAGGGAGAAAAGCAGATGTGACAAACGTTACTATATTGGATCATGAAAAATACTAAAATAGAAAGAGTAGACAAGGTGTAAAGGAGTCGCAAAATGCTACTGAAGCATTACTAAAGATGGTGTGCAAACTACTGATTCTTATAAAAGCAGTTCAGTTCAGACTAAAAAATTAAACTTAATATGATTCTTGTACTTCATAGGTTAACCAAATGATAAAACAATGCCAAGATAAGTGATAAAATGAACGAAAAGGATATAGCCAAGTAAAAAATTCCCAAGCAAGTTGGTTGCTCTTGAACAATAAAAAAAACAGCCAATATCACATTGCATTAGAAGCAACCTTCCACATAATAGTAATAGGGGGAGAAAAAAACAAGCACTTCACTCATAAACAACAGCTTAACGAAGCATAGGCGAAACAGAAAGGCCATTTACCTGTGCAGCAATTGGTGAAGGAGTATTATAGAATGATATATTAGCAAGACCACCATTTTGAGGCTGACTAGTAGCTCCTCCAGATAGAACTGTTCCATGATAGTTTCCAGGTACATCCCTTGGGATATTTCCATGCATATGTTTTGACTGCCTAGGAATGACATCTTCAGCGCCAGCGCTCCTACTCGAAACTAAATTCTGATCCTCACAGCATGTCTGCAAGCTTTGGGAAACTAATCCATGATGTAAAGGTTGCTTTTGAATGCAAAGAGAAGCTGCTTCGCCAAAAACTACAGTAGCCTCATTGGCAACCCCTGGACAAATAAAAAAAACCTCTGAATTCTAGATGGAATATACAAGCTCATAACAGTGAGGTTGAGTAGAAACTAGTCAGCTGCAAAGTGTTATGGTGACCACTAAATCCACTGTTGAGCACTTAGAAAACTGTAAAGCTAAATGGCAAAGCCAAATCCAATGAACACTAGGCACACTGAACAGAAACTAGTCGGAAAAAAAAGACAAAGAAGACCAGAACAAGTACAATGATATGCAACATGAGGAACTGAACATGTGATTAAGTGGAGACCAATAAACCCCCCTCCAATATTTGAATGCACTTTTGAACAACTTACATTTAGGGTAATGGGTGGAGAATGGTGAGAGGAGGGGTGAAGGAGGTGAGGAGGTAAGGGATGCATCACATTAAAATAATACCATCATCATCAGAATCTGTAGTTACTCTACCCTAACTTTTCCAAAATTTTAAGCCATGAAAGTATGGAGCAAGGGAAACCATTTCAGTATAACGAATGAACTTACTTGGAACTATACGAAAACTAATGGGTGAGTAAAATTGGATTTGATTTTGCAACAAACTTGTGCACCCAAATCAATTTGAATTTCAGTCCAAATCCGAAAGCAGTTAAAATCTTATGACGACGTTATCCCAAAAAGCATAATCTAACTTGTCGCATATTCTGCACATGAGGAATTTAAAACCATGTTGAAAGTGTTTCACACAAACCTAATAGACATAGTTCTTCATAGGCAACCCACAGTAAAGGATTCAAGGATAAAGCCTGATTGAAGTGATGAACAGCATTTTTCCTTCTATCAGTGTACCTGGAAAATGCATAAGATTTCCAAATGGAACAAAATTTTCAGCAACAATAAGGAAAATGATTGAATACAAGAACTCCAAACATTTGGTGAGCACCAACGTGACATGACGATATCAATGGGACACAGCAACCAGGAATTGAGGCATTCTATCCAAAAAAAAAGAGAATACAAATCGTCAATTAACGACATCAGCTAATATTGAATCAGAAATTGCAACCACCATGACACTCTCAAACGTGTATATACTAAGGGCATCAATTGAGATTGTTCTAATGTTAATTGTCCTAACAAATTTAGTAATTCCCTTTCTTCTGAAAGATTGGAAGAGTGCAATTGCAGAATTAGTTTTGCTCCTTTCTCACCTAGGCAGTGAACAAGTTGAGGGCCTTTTTTGGGGTCGGAGAGGTGTACCAAATTATTGGTGTGCTCTTATGGAGTACATTATTGAGACATTAATATCCTTGGAGGAATACCTCAACCCAGTTTCATAATTAACTACAGTAATCTACTTGCAATGGCATAGACTAGTTACAGAGTACCCTCACCAGAAGGATAATGCATTATGCAAAGAGACTTGAAAAAGGAATAGGGACACAAAAAAAAGTGCAACAAAACCTGTAAATAAGCCCAAGAAGATAATGACCAGTGGCACCATTTGGAACCTGTGTAATAGATACCAAAAACAATGAGAAACTCCGAAACAAATCAAGAAGCATGCCCACTAGTACAGACCAAAAGTCAACCCTACTTATGCTATCTATCATAGAAACATAATTTTCCATTATGTTATTTAAAGTTGATTCTTTCACAATAACTGCCTGAGATAACACTTAGCAAATATTCTATATTGGCACCTCTGTGCTAGGCTCATTAGGCGGACATAATGCTGCTTCTGCTTCATTAAGAAGATCCATCTGAAAGCATGATAGTGCAAACAAGTAGCGAGATTGAGCCATTTGTGTTCCTTCAGACAATGATTAGAAAAAAAAGAAAACAAGTTAACAATGAGCATCCCTTTAAACAAAATGTGATAAAATCAACATTATAATCTTTAAAGGGGTAGTGCACAGAGTGAAGACTAACAGAGCAACACTTCAAGACATTAAGATTATGAGGTCAGAAACAGTTGAAACAAGAAAATAACATATAGTACGTACCCTTTAAAAGATGGTATGCAGAATAAGCTTGATTGTTGTGCAAGTAACAGCCAGCTAAAAGTTGCAAATTTGTCTGCATTTGATATAGGAAAACACTGTGTCAACTAAAACTATAGAAAGCATGAAAACGGCAGACAGATTCCACATGCTCAAAATAGGAAGAAAATAATCAGACGTGATCAGGGTAGGCCATTAAAGAAGCTGGAACATCATTGAAATGTGTTAGAGACGAGGATGGTATGCCCCACTACAAGCAAGACAAAGCATTGTGGCAAAAAGAGATGGCAAGCATACAATGAAAACTTGGAGAACATGTCAAGTGCAGTGCCAATTCAAACAGTTTCACTATCCACTATGATCCATGACCCCAACTTACTATTTAAAACTATGAGATACGAAACACAGTTCCAATCCTTCGCATTTTTCCCAATTCAGGAAACCATCCAATCCATTCCTTATAACCAGACACCGCCCACAATTTCTTTCATGTTTTATTTTAATTTGAATGATCTGATAATCACACACCGCCCACAATGTCTTACCGTTGATTTGACAATGGTTCAAGCATTTCTAGTGGGCACAAAGCTCACATTGCAACGACTATAAATCAAACTTAACTAAAATATCCTTTTTGCATTGAACTCTACAACTCACTGCGCACAAAACAATTAAACCAAATTCCCTTTCCTACTCTTAAGTACTCAAATCTGAAATGTATCCTAAGGTAACCATAACATAATGTGGTAATTTAAAAACAAAAAGGTTTGGTATTTGAATTCGAAGAAGTATCCCTCTAAACAAAACAAAACAAAACCTTCAAGAAGTGACATCGATCTTAACGATTGACAGTGCGAGTAAGAAAGCAAATAACCTCTGTGGGAAACTCGGCGCAGAGACGCTCGCACATGAAAATGGCGTTTCGGTACATGAAGTGCCGAAGACTGTTCCGTACACAGTCGGTGAGTATGGCCTCCATGGCTTCTTCTGCTCCACTCGGAGAGAGAGAGAGAGCGCGCTTCGATTCGAACCAGTTTGAGTCGAGAGAGAGGAGGGTTTTCTGGTGCGTTTTGGGGGATTTTGGATTGTTACGGGCGCCACGTGATATTTCAATTCAAAAAACAGTGTCACGTGACTTGTGGCGAAGAAATCCATTAAGATTAGCACAGTTTGAAATCCTCTGGATCCGGGTCGGGCCCGGGTACTTCTACTCATAAAAATAAAAATAAAATAATAATAATAGGAGCGCTTGCTTGCACTCGACATGCGTGTATGTCATTGCATAAAAGTGAGATATGGAATATTACAACTAGATATAAAAACATAAAAAAAAATGTATGAGTGATTATAAGTGGTTAAAGGTTAATATAGGTATTTCAAAATGAGGGAATCAATTCTATTTTTCTCCTTAATTAATCGTATAGATAATAAAAAACAACCGTTCTTCAATTTGTATTTGAATTATTTATAATTGAGTTCAATTCTTGAACGTGAATTTCAATCCATAAATGACCCTTGAATTAGTTTTTAAAACATATCACTTGTGAAATATAGATTGTTAAACTTGGGCGGATGACCCATCTTGTTCAAAAAAAAATAAAAAATTCAAGAAGACTGCTCATTGAAAGTAGATTAATTCCTTAACGAAGAAAAATGTGTGACTAAAAATTAGTTCATACATCAATTTCTCCTTTAATTTAACTATTTATCTTTAAATTTCACAAATCCAAAGGTTTGTTGGAGATATGGGAAACAAATATGTGAGAATAAGAAGATTTTTTTTTGGGGGCGGTGTGGGGGGGGGGTAGTTTTAGGTGTTTTATGATAAGCTTTCTCCTACAAATTCGACTTCTCAAGATAATTCATATCCATCTGCTGCTACTAATCCATATCCATCTGTTGTTACTGATCTATATCCATCTGATGCTGATGCTACTCTATCTTCTGTTGAGCTATTTGATCATCCACTTGATTTATATCCACATGATAAATATCATTAGTTTATATTTTGTATTATATATCTTAATATTTTATGTTCATATTTTGTATAATCTTCATGTACCTTGTATCATTATATAACTGGGAATAGCAATACGGTTTGGTCATCGAGTACCAAAACCCATTTAAATATTTTTCAAACACTTTCATTTTAAGCATTTAAGAGTGAGATCTTATTCAATACATTTTCTTATCAATTATGTTATTGGCAAATTATTCATCATTCATTCTTAGAGTATGACCATGGAAGGGGAATTGTGAGATTTGGGAAGAAGGGTAAACTAAGTCCAAATTACATTAGACTATTTGATATTCTTAAGCGAATTAAGTCTGTGGCATACCGTTTGGCATTACCATTAGATTTATCACGGTTACATTATGTGTTACAGGTGTCGATGCTTTTGAAGTATATATTCGAGTTTTCTCATGTTTTGACAGCGAAGCCTATTGAGTTGAAATAAAATTTAACCTATATTGAATTGTCAATTCAAATTCTAGATCGCAAGGAGCAAGTATTGCGCACAAAGACCTTTCCCCTAGTTAAAGTCGATCCAATGAATCAAATTAACTCATTGAAAAATTTATTCCACAAAAAAATTAGCCGCTCAAAATTTGACCCTTGTCTCCGACATGGAATGACCTCTAATACAACACTATGTTGTGTTTTCTTATTTCTCATTATTCTCCAATATCACATTATGTTTATTCATTTTGCATCTAGAATTATGAAGTATTGCAAAATTAGAATTTCAATACTTGGCTATTTCTTTTTTAGGTGGGTATTCGAAAAAATTTCAATAGTACAAAATGCACAAAATTATGGATTTTTTAATTTGCTCACTTATTTTATCAATTCGGTGATGGTAAATACTATTTTTAGAAAAATATTTCTACATGACTTGCAGCATTATACATTTGGAGTTGAGCTCCAACGATCTCATTTTGTTCTACACCAACAAGAAAAAAAACAAATTTTTCATCAACAATTATAAAAAGATTATACTATACAAAGTATCCTGGTCAATCTATAGAAAACATCTAACTTTCCAATCCAATAAGCCTTAAACAAAACCCAAATACTAGTATCGGCATGATAAATTATTTTTGATATCGTACTTATATTTTTTAATAATTGATAAAAATACGACACATGTATTTTTTTATTTTATAATTTTTTAAATTATTAATACAGATTATTTAATTTAAAATTGATGGGGGGAGATGAATGGGCCTGGGTCCCGCAGCCTTGCTTCAGTTGCAAGGGAAATCAGTCAGCCAGCGCGGTAGGCCTACCGCCACCAAATGCCGTCTCTCTCTCCCCCCTACAAACAGTTACCCTGCCCGTAAATCAACCAAACTCGTATCCACGGTTAGATTCTTCCGCTGAACGTCTCAGATCTCTCCATGACCTCAGCCCTAGCTGCCCTATGTTCAAATTTCAAAATATTTTTTGTTTTCGCAGCATTCGGTCACTCACAGTTGACACCAAAATTGAAAACAGTCAAAAAAATTTCCATACGATCTATCCTGGCAAGCCCAATCAGATTGTATCGTCACTCGTTTACCTCACCTGCATGAATCTTGATCACAACTCCTTTTCGTCTTTCTTTCGGAAGACCACACAGAAGAAAACCCTCGTACGAGTCGTGAGATAAGTGGAGAGAGCTGATGCTCATTTATTTTCTCTCTCAGAACTCTCTCTCTCGACGCTTTCTCGCTCTAGTAACCCTCTCAAGGTACCATGATCTGTGTTTGTACAAGTATGTATTTACGTTGCTGATTGTTTGATTAGGCTGCAATTAATGAACTTCAAGTGGGTTGAAAATTTCAGATTTTTTGTTTTCCTTATAGAATTTTGTTAATATTTTTTGATTTCGTAATTAGGTTGGGAGGGTTGGATCTATGCCCTTTTTGTTTTCTTCTCCGAGCTGTACTTTATTTTGCTCCTTCTTATGGTTGTGCTTGCCAAAATATTTAATTTTGTTTTTTTTGTTGCAGTTTTATTCCCAATAGAAATATGGTTTCTTATTATGGAATTTTCATGTGAAGTACTTGATAATTATTTAGTATGTAGATGGGATTGGACGATGCTGGTAAGTTGGGTGAGGCATGTGGGTTTTGATTTTAAAGTTGAGCTTTTGGGTATATACCTATTAGTAGGAAAAAGAAGTGATGAATTTTTGGGTATAAATGGAATGGGAAAGCAAAGTGGCAATGGTTGCTACTTAGAGAGTAGTACTCTAGGGGTTCTGTGTATGATTATTTGTCTGCGCACACATATGCTGTTTTGAGTATGATGAGCTTAATTTAGGAGTAGCTAAAAAAGTATAGAATGGCGAATTTCCAATTGGGTTACTGCACGTGTTAATTCAGTGCTGAATGTAGTGAGTGGATAGGCTTATGGAGTTGTACAGAAGATTTGAGGTTCTGAGATTGGTAGTGGATGAGATTGCATTCTTCAAGAGTCATATCCTGTGTGCAGATGATGCTCTTTTCATTATGGATAAGTTTGCGAAGGAACCTTCGACCCATTTGCATATTGCCTTCAGGCTTTTTTTGTTGGGGTTTTAATTGTGTAACTGTATCTAGTGATGTTAGCTCATGATGTGGTTTATTATGCAGGGAAATTCCCTAAATATTCCTTCATAAATGTGGTTTTGAACAATTCAGTGGTGAATATTTTTTTGGGTGAAGTTTAATCCACATTTGGATTCAGATTCATTATTTTAGTTTTCTTTTTGATAGCATTTGCATTATTTTTATGAATTTGAAACATAATTTACTGTTTTTTAATAGCATTTGTGATGTGCTACTATTGTACTTCCAAACATTCTGGTTTGCTTCATTCTAATGGTCATATGAAACACATAATTTTACCGATACTTGCATTATTAGGTTAATATCACCTTCCCCTCTTTTTACCTTTTCTAAAATATGTTGCATACTAACAGGGTTCAATGCTTGGACCTGTATTGCAGTTGCAGTATTGAAATACTTCCATCATGTTTGGTCGTGTTCCAAAAAGAAGCGATAACACCAAGTACTATCACGTTCTTGGTGTTTCAAAAAGTGCAAGTCAAGACGAACTCAAGAAGGCATATAGGAAAGCTGCGATGAAGAATCATCCTGACAAAGGTGGAGACCCTGACAAGGTGAATTCTTTGTAGTGTGATATTGACCATGTGCGTGTTTTACACAACATGCTGGGAAATGTTGCATTTCATATGCAAATGGTTAGGTAAAGGGAAGCCTTGGGGATTGTGGCTCTTCCTATGAAACTGAAACGTCGGCAAGGCCACGATGCAGGATCTTATGCAAAGTTATATTCCTCTTTTAACACTTCTTTCTGTTATTATGAATCAGTTCAAGGAGTTGTCTGAAGCATATGAAGTTTTAAGCGACCCTGAAAAAAGAGATGTTTATGATCAATATGGTGAAGATGCCCTTAAGGAGGGAATGGGTGGGGGCAGTGCTGCTCATAATCCATTTGATATATTTGAATCCTTCTTTGGTGGAGGTTTTGGTGGTGAGCGTGCAATCTTATAATCTTTTTTCAGTTATATTTTTGCTTGATTTTTCATCTTATATCGATGAATGGAATAATCAATTTATTAGTTATGCCAACTCCTAATTTTGTAGGTGGTGGTAGTTCAAGGGGTAGGAAGAAACAAGGTGAAGATGTAGTGCACACTCTGAAGGTTTCATTGGAGGACTTGTACAATGACACAACTAAGAAACTCTCTCTTTCCAGGAATATCTTGTGCCCTAAATGTAAAGGGTATATCTTCTGTCTCATAAATATAAAAATGTATATGTGTGTATGTGTTTTTATATATTTAATTGTTTCAGTTACTTAAAGTTAGTAACTTAACGATATATGGCTGTATGGTGCTCGCCATCCTTTTCTGTTGAAAAGTGATCTATTAGATGAATGAAGCAGGCAATGCAGTCAACTGTGTAGCGTGACTCAAACATAGAACCATAGGAAACATCTAAATTACTTATAAAGGAGGGGCCGAGGGGGTAGGGTTTGGTGTCCACTCGTGAACTGTCTATACTGCCTTTTGTTCTTTCCCAAATAATCACTCATCACTAGGGACTTTAACTCCACTTAACGACCTCCACTCATTAATTCCACTTAAAAAATTTCACTTACCCTTTATTTCTTTCCAATAACTACCCATAATCATATTCACACGGGTGCAGGGCCATCTAGTTTGATTGGAACTTTAGTGTAAGAGAAAATGTAATAGTTCCTAAAGTTGATCCATTTTTAGCTTGGAATTTGAGTTCACCTTTGTTTTTAGACCCCATATATGTGCCCTTGCAATGGCTCAAGTGGAGGGTAGTGTAATGGAGCCTAATTCGAGTGGAGGTGTTGGTTTGCTTCATTACTGGTAGTTAAGAGAGTGCTATATGAGGAGCTTGTTCATGGGTATTAAAATCCTAAGCCAAAGGATTTAGTTCCAAATTCACAGAGGCCTTGACAAAGGGGTTTACATGAGAAGAAGGTTTGGCCTGGGTCTAGAACTAAGCATGAAAGGGAAATGTGAACAACCTTAAGTAGATTGGTAGAGGCAACCTTGAACTTTTTTACTTCACAAGGATAAGGATTTCTCGAATGGAATTGTTTCATGCTTTTAGCCAGCTAAACCTTCTGGAAAAGCAAAATGATATACACTTATGAAGTGGAGCACCAATGTGTCATTTACCCCAATGTATCCGTGTCCAACACCTCTGGGATGCAGACACTTGTCGAATACGCAAAAATCAGTGTCTGAATATTTTGTTATTATTTTGAATATCGGACATGCCCTGGACACTTTGGGACACATTTGGATACAGTTTTCTCCTGCCAGTTATATAGTAACTCGTATTTTTTTATGATTTGCTGGTTGGTCGATGAAGCAATGAACCAATGATGGTGGCAGCTACAAAGATTCCAACAATGAAGACGAAGACCATCACATATAGCACTGACGATTTAGCAAGACATTCAAGAGAGATGAAAGACAATCATTTTTACAGAGAAGAGAGAGAGGGAGATGTTGCAAATGTTTTTACAAAAAAGAGAGAGACACGTGTGTGTGTGTGTGTGAGAGAGAGAGAGAGAGAGAGAGAGAAGTCTATTGACCATTTTTTGGGAAGGTAGAAGTCTAATGATTTACTCAACCGGCAAAACATTGTTTTTTCTTTTAGAAAGCCATGTGGCATTCCATGATTGCTTCTTATCTATTTATCCTCTTGGAATGATCAAATTTAACCAGAATTTAAGTTTTATGGGTTTTTTTGGGCCAATAAAATTTATGGGTTAGTTTAATTTGGGCTGAATGCATATATATCTGATGCCCAATATGTGATACCAGATTTACTTATGTATTTGGGTGAAAATAATTTTAAGTCCAAATTTGTGAATCAAGGTCATAAAAAATATGTATCAAGTCAATTTTTTAAGAATTCAGTGTCATATATATATGTTTATTCAACCTGTCCTTGTCCGTCTTTTTTAAAAATTTCTGTGTCCGTGTCTATGTCTGTGCTTCTTAGATATATACGATACATCTCTACAAATATGCATCAAGACCTTGGAGAGTGCAAAAAGTGCCCACTGACCGTGAATCCATGACAAAACATCCTTTTATTTGAATCAAAGGAGTAGGAGTGAGTTTATTTCACCATTATATGATGGACAACAGAACTGTTGATATGGTTGATTTACCGAGACTGGATGCAGTCTTGCCATTCTTGGTTTAAAGTGGTCTCTGGAAGCTTCATTGCATTGTTATATTAAAAAAGGGTTGATTGCTTGGCCCAGGTGCGGCAAGGCTCAAGCTTTTTTTATTTTAGTAGAATGAACCTTAGCAGGTAAATGGTACCTAGTGACTCCTATTTGTACTTATTGGAGTGGTAAGGCAATACAATTGTTACATTGCAAGTCTTGTTGGGTTTGAACTTACGCTTGCCTTCTGATTGACCAGATAGAAACAGGAATACATAGGAACGTCAGGGCAAGGCATTGGTCGAGGGACCCTTCACAGCCCTGCTCCTTCATTACCTTTTGCCATGTTCATCTCTTGTTCTTGTTCGTCTGAGGCCAAAATTTGGTGGTGTATATTTGTGTCTGAGTTTTGAAATGCATTGCTATATATCAGGAAAGGTTCAAAGAGTGGGGCATCTGGTAGATGTTATGGATGCCAAGGTACTGGAATGAGGATTACAACACGGCAGATTGGACCAGGCATGATTCAGCAGATGCAGCATGTGTGTCCTGAATGCAGAGGCTCAGGTGCTTCCTCAAACACACTCATTGTTGTTTTGGTTCTATGGGTTATCTTTTTTTTTCCCCAGGAAAAAATCCTTTGATGGATCTTTGTTAATATAGGAGAGGTCATCAGTGAGAGAGATAAATGTTCACAGTGCAAAGGAAACAAGGTTTCACAAGGAAAGAAAGTGCTGGAAGTGCATGTTGAGAAAGGGATGCAGCATGGGCAGAAGATTGTGTTCAAGGGTGAAGCTGATGAAGCTGTAAGTGTTTTTTATTTCTACGGTCAGGATTGGTTTTTTTTTTTTTTGTGCTCCATCCTATCATATTAACCCTTCTTGGCATTTGTGATTAGTATTTGACTGGAAAAAATGATTTTTTCATCAACATCAATCTCAAGGAAAATTTTCCTAAATTCTCCATAAATTTTCAACCATTTATGCTGGATTGTATAGTAGTTTATATAATAGTATTGGGACGAAAGATGATATTGATCATCTTTTAATTGTCCTTCATTTAAAGAGCGTTACAAAGCAGGCATTGTTCTGTCATTTAGTTGGTTCAAGTTTGCTGTAGCTATGCAAACACAGTTGTAAAGGTATGAATAGAAGTGTGCTGGGTCTGGGACTTGATGCGGACTGTGAAAAAGGCAGTTCAATTTATTGTTTTACCCCAACCCTTCGGGTGGGGTTGTGTTGGTGAGGGCAGGGAGGAGCCATTGTATTTTTATTTTGTGAATCGTTTGGTTTCGATTACTGAATGACATGTTTGAACTCTTTTCTATCTTTTTGATGTTGGCAGCCTGATACTGTTACAGGAGACATTGTTATCATATTGCAACAGAAGGAGCACCCCAAGTTCAAGCGGAAGTTTGATGATCTTTATGTAGAACACCCCCTCAATTTAACAGAAGCTCTTTGCGGTTTTCAGTTTGTCCTCACTCATCTTGATGGCAGGCAGCTTCTCATCAAATCAAACCCTGGAGAGGTTATTAAGCCTGGTAAAACTAGGAACCTGCCAGAGTTTCCATTTCAATTTGCTATTATGAGAACTTCTGTTCCATGTTTGGTCATTTATTCTTTCTAATGCAGATCAGTACAAGGCAATTAATGACGAGGGCATGCCACAGCACCAGAGGCAGTTCATGAAAGGCCGGCTATTTATCCATTTCAGTGTGGTATTCCCTGAGTCAGGGGTTCTGTCTCCTGACAAGTGCCTATCATTGGAGGACATACTGCTGCCTACGCCAGGCAAGCTCAAAAAAGATGTGGCCCTGGATGACTGTGAGGAAACCATTTTGCATGACGTCAACATTGAGGAAGAAATGAGGCGGAAAGAGCAGCAACGACAGCAGGAGGCTTACGACGAAGATGATGATGATGTGGCACCTCGTGTTGCATGTAACCAGCAATAAGGCATTGATTAGTCATCAAATTCCAGTATTCACCGAGTCATCCAATATCTGTGCTGCGTGGTTATGCCTTTTGACTTGAAATTTTGCTTCTAGCTATCATTTGTCTGGCTTTGCAGTTCTCTTTGCTTGCTTCTGTTTAGTTAAAATGTTATGTTATCTAAGATATAAGACATTTGAGTGTTCCATTGCTGTCATAGTTTCTTATATCGATGTATTCGTTTCTCCTCAAATATGTGTATTTAGGTATTCATTTTGGTTTAACATGGTGGTTCATTTGTTTTTGTTGTTATGATACTGTTTATATTGATGAATGGTTTGCTCTGTTGAATGGAAGTTCTATTGCAAGCATAAAGAATCACTCTCTTCAAAACATGGGCACCACACCAACTGGTCATCCCTCACCTAGCTTTCCACTGTCTTCCTTTTCATGTTACTGGTCCTGTAGGCTGTAGCTTTAAGAATTATTATGGTTATGAGTAGATCTGTCGATGGATCGAATTTGAATTAAAATCTAATTAGTTGAATGTGAATTAATATATTTTACCGATAATCTGCAATCGAATTAGATATCTTATATTTCACAGATTTAGATTTAGATATACCTGTATCAAATTTAATTATAATCTGATTCAAATTATTTATATGTTTCTATATAAATATTAAAAAATTAGTTAAAGTTTAGATATAATTGGTTAAAATTTAGTTAAATCAAAATTTTGAATCGAATTCTGAATTCCTAATGAATTCGAATATAAATCATAAAAATAAAATCCGTCAAATTATCGGATCAGATTTAAATCATCTTTCCGAAAATCATATTCGAATGCCAATAAGTTAAAATCCAATCCAAATCTAATTAATTCATTGACAAACCTAGTTATGCCTAGGTACTAATTAATTGTCTACATTTTTATTGTTTCTATAGCAATGAAAATTCGTTTTTATTACCATGGAATGTTTAATCCTTGTTCTATATTGCTCTGGAAGGCTAAAGGAGGAAAAAAGAAGTAATAATAATAAGAAACAAATACAAAAATGCTAGGAGAAAATATCCCTTGATTTCCAAATAAATACATACTGGCTAAGGCTCTGATATTGAATCAAGAGTATGTATATGAATGTACTATCTATCTAAATATATACATAACTGATCATCTCCAGGTACATTGGATCATTGAGACTTGCATTAATAATTCATCAACAGTACTTCACAAGACAACAAAAAAAACTGATTCAACATGTCCCTGTATAAATGTACAAGAAAATCACATGATCTGAAATTCAATCTATACACCAGACAGCAGCCAACTCAAATCCCTGGCACAAGTGATTAAATTTGTTCAATCATAGAACTTTGAGCTCAATGTACTGGACAGTTGTGGAGGCTTTAGCATCAAAAAATTTTATTCATTACATGGTCAGCCAGCCTCCATGGTCTAGCACTGGATACGATTCCGACAATCCCAGATCAATATATTGAAAGGATCCAACACCAAGCAGTTGCTGGAGAAACAAACTTCACAAATTCTCTAACCTAATGAAACATATGTGAAATCAACAACCTAGAATCAGAACCTGCAAGTCCACGCCGATCTGTAATGGTAGAAAGGGGAGAGGTCAGGAACTTCCACAATTCCCGGCCCATGATTCTTTTCCTGGCAATTCTCGTTAAATAACAATACATGAGAACATGTGGGGCACCCAATTCTGCAAGGTTCTGGTAGTCTACACCTGCGATGGTCCAAGTGTTTGCTGCCAGAAAGCACAATGTAATTTACTCAAATTTCTGGTCAGATGTAAATAGGTTTTACATCGTTTGCCCCAAAAGTTGTTGCACAGACTGGGCACTTCCGATGACGGCTCCCAATTATTCTTTGAACGCAAGGGTTGCAAAACAGGTGGTAACATTTTGCAATAACAACCTGAAGAGCAAAACATTTATAAGAATATTAAAGGCTCCAAAAGCAAAATTAAAATATTAGAAAACTGAATTTCTCCCTTCTTTGTGCACTGAATGCAATAAACGTGGTTATGCACCTAAAACAAATTAGTCACTTGATCCTCAATAACAAAAGGATGGCATGATATTCAATGTCCAGCAGACAATTGAAATACCATTCTCTTGTGGTATCCTATTCTTGACACAAAAAAATGCCATTAAACACAATGATCCAAAGGCACAGAGGGCTCCAAACATATTAAACAATATAGAAACTCAAATCCATTGGCATGAGATATAACGCTAAAGAGAATAAAAAATACATAAAAAATTAAGTAGTCAGTTACATGGATATAATTATCAGCTATACTGTACCTGAAGACTTGTCTATCTGAAGTAATTTATCATGTTTCTATTTCACTATTTTTCCTTCATTGTTCTCTCTTCATTCTCTCAAAATTGTCATTTCTAACGATATAGAGTAATTACTCATCAACTATGCAACCTGGTCATAAAAAAGGCAGAATCAACCTCAAATGGAAATGAAAAAAGATCTTCAGGAGAAGAGATGGCTATGCTTATAAAAACTAAGTTCTCATGCAAAAGATCATGGAGATGGTAAAAAAAGAGTTTGCCCATAAAGTTGATTCTCTCCATTAATATGGCAAAGACATGAAGACTTCTTAGATAGTAATTGGGGGAGCAGGTCTGAGGGAGGGTATGACGCTTGCTCAGATTCAAATAGAAGGCAACAAATTGAATCTCAATAGTTAAGTTGGGCTCTACTGGATCAGAAGATATGGCAATTTCACTTGTGTTCATTTGTTGAGAGAGAGAGAGAGAGATTAGATGAATCTCTCTTTTTTTTTTTTTTTTTATAGGAAACAATAATATCGTTGAACATAAAAATAAATCAAAAAACAAGTCGATGGCGGACAAGTAGTCCAAACCAACGACAAGTCAACACAAAAATACATTAGAAAAGGAAAATAAAGAACACCAACTACATTGCACATGAAGCTGTCCAGCTCAAAGTAATTCAAAAAAGTGGAATACCATTAAGGTGCTGATTGATAGTGGGAGGGATATGGGATGGATACACAGAGAAGTAGGGTAAATTGGCGGAGGTGGTGAAGATATTTGTCATTTTGTTTAATTCATTCATTTATTTATTTTTTGTTGGGGGAATATATATCCAATACATTGGTTGAGGGAATATGTTGGCAGTCAGTAGGGTAGATTTGCCCTTCTTTTTGTCATTAAGGGTTAAAACAGCATTATTAATAAAAACGGGTAAAACTTAATCCTGACAGATAAATGCGACCAGCTCAACAGTTTTGACAAGGAAAGGCTAATGGATTTTTTTTTTTTTTGGCAGTTTTGACAGAAACAACTGCTTCTACCAAAGTAGCTTCATATGATTCAATCTGAGAAAGATTGAAGGCCAAAAACTGGTAAATTAATTAGAACTGGGCAGATTCATCCACTAAATAACGTTCATGTCGATCCCCTAACTACCGTAGTCCTTCATGAATATATTTTCCTACTTCCCTCGCCTCTCCCTTAACATCATTTCCGTAACATAAAGTCATAATATAAATTTCACGTGAAGGTCGGCAGGCACGGAATTTGAAAGTAGCATATCTATCTTATCACATTCAAATATGGAAAGTATTATATGCACTAATTCATCGCAAAACCACATGAAGCTTAATACTAGATGCAATAGGAAATCTCCAAATACAAGCATGCACCTTGAGTAAATGCATATTAATACAATGAATTTTCAAGAAAATCCACTATTTGAATCAAGAAGACCATCCAATAATGCTCCTCGAAATGACAAATTAAATTTGCTGACCAAAAAATAAACAAATAGCAAACTAAATTCATATTTTTAAGCTACAAATTAGGAAATCCCAAACCAGGTTGAAGTAACAATCGCCAGAGAATGATGCAAGGATTTTCATCCATCTTAGCATCTAATTGTCCCATTCGGGTGAGAAGTTGCTATGACATCCATATACGCCGTTACAAAAGACATCAAACATCACTCTTTTTACAAAAGTGATAAAAGAATTAAATATGGCATTGTAAATCATAGAATGGTAACATTAAATATCCAAAGTACAATAGATCAATAGATCCATAGTTATAAATGCCTTAATGAAGGTTACTAAAATGATTCTGGTTCAGATCCTGCTGAAGTTGAAAATATGGCAACATGAAACTTCTCCTCAGATGGTAAGTCCCTTATTGGAAGCTTCCCAAAATTATTGAAGGAAATACACCATGAAATTCCACAATTGTAAAATTAACAATTTTATCTCAACAATAATAATGGAACCCTTCATGTTTAAGTTCTCCATTCACTTTTTTATTGCTATATCCTTTGGCACGCCCAATGAGGGGGTTCTATCACCTTCTACACATGGCTGACAGCTCCATTCATACAATCATTTAACTATTGTATTCAATAACTGAGTAATTTATATTAATTAACGCTTATTGGGAAGAGCTTCACACTTCGGTAAAGTTGATCCATTGTAACTTGGGCATGCAAGTTGCGAAAACTATCTCCTCAAGCCCTTGGGGAGTGGAGGGAAAGGTAAACTGCATACGTCTCACCCTCCCCAGGCTGTGCCACAGACCGTGGCGCACATCATGCACAGTTCTAACTTTTTCCATATTAATTTATATTTTTAGGAATCAACTTTCTTCCAGGTAAATAACTACGAACTCTACTGCAACTTATTTAATAATCATTTCAAAAGTCCTATGGTATTATCATTATTCGAATCGAAAGGTATGTATAAATGGATAAAAATGCCACGAAAATAATTAGAATAAACATTTTAGTAACATGGGAATTTACTAACTTTTGGATGACTGAGATTAGACTAATATGGTTTATCTTCTCAGTTAAGAAACTGCATTAGCCATTACAATGCGTACTCATGTATTTTCTCACTAACAATAACAGTGAAGAAATTTAAGACCCCAAAATTAATAAATAATCTTTCGATCTCCATTAATAAGTAGAAGGCCAACTGTATATTGTCTTTCCAAAATTATACTTGCACCTAGGAGGTGAGAAGGGCATCTGCAAACCAGGGTAAAACATCAATATAAAACAAAAAAGTTACCTCTTTTCGACGGTCAAGGCAAATACTGCACTTGAGTATTTCACTGTATTCTCTAAGTTCCTGCTGAAGCTTGTTAACTATAGATGATCCCTCTGTGTGCGACCTTAGTTGTGAATCCTTTCTCCTCAAAACTTCTAAATCCTCTTGTCCCCTTTTCCTCTCAAACCTGATGAAAACAAATAGATGGGATCACATCACTACTCATCAGCCAAACGAAAGCAAAGGGAATACATTTTCAATCACCTTTCTTTCTCAAGTTCTATCTGCAGCTCCACAAGACTCACTCGACTTGTGTTGACTTTGGACTGGGATTCTTCCAGTGACTCCCTCAGTTGCTCGGATGATTTTCTCACATCTAACAGTTTCCTTTGGAAATTTTCCAAAGTAACTGAACTTTGAATCCCATCTCCTACAAGTTTCTGAACTTGATCTGAGGACATCTTCAACTGCAAAGAATGAGCATGTGATTTAATATTTGTTAGGCTAAAAACATACTCGATTATTAAACCCATCATAAAACTACCTGATCTTCAATTCTTGCAGCTTTCATGTTGAAAAAATCAACCGATGCAGCAGCTTGCTGAATTGCTCTCTCCATGGTTTGTTTCTCCATGCGTAGAGCATCCTGCAGCTGTCTTGCTCGCACTCCCTCTAAAACAAGCTGAAACAGGACGCCAAAACCAGTGCATCACATTCTGGGGATAATTATCGATAAGAATGCAAGTTATCTTGTTGAAAGTTGTACAAATGAGCAAGGGAATGAAAGCATGAACAAGTGTTGCAAAGGACATTTCATTTATTATATGGGTATTGCAGTAGTATGCTTCTATTACACAGATGTGAAGACCAAAATTATTGGAAGACCAAAATTTGCCAATAGTGAAACTATACAATTGGTCTTGTGAACTGAACAAATTCATCATCACAAAATTCATTTGAAATGTGCGCATTATATACGCATAACCCACCAACTGATATCTAGTCTAGGGGCACAACTTTGAAGGCTTGAAGCATAACCAGAGTGTTCCCTTAAAATGTTAAAAAATGACCATTAAAATCAAGGTTGAAATAATTATATGTGAAGTCTTGAAGGCTGTTCATAGATTCTGATCCTGACCTCTGATGTTGCTGAAAACAGGAATGCTACTAACTGTTTTTTTTAACAGTCAATGAGAGAGTATTTAATAAATAATGACTAGAAAGAATACATTAGAGGACAAGAAGTCCTCTATTAGGTACATAAAATGAGATGAAAAGCATAGAAAAAATAAACACAGAAAAATAAGGGCTTGAGTTTCAAAACTCATCACACACTTGATCTCAATGATCTATAATAAAAAATTTATGGAATTCACAGTTTTGACCAAATCTTGACCACAGAAACGTTTCTAGGTACCATGAATTCCTACGAAGTTAGAAGTTTACTGTTCAATCAACAACAAATACCTATTTTCTTGAGCATAACAAATACAATTCAAAGTTGAAAACGTAATGCGTCTGAGAAACTTAAAGGTATCACACATTACAAATAAATGCAACAGAGTAAAAACTATGAGCAACAGTATGATGGCCTAATAATCTATCACTAGCAGCATACATGAACCTAGCTAGCTGGATGACAAGAAACACAATTAAGCCAGACCCCAAATAGTTTGGAGCTAAGGCCTCGTAAATTGAGGGTCAGAAGGTGAAGAGAGGGGGGACCGGGTCTCTTCATATTTTCATAGCTTCTCTGATGCCGAGATCATTGGAGCCTTGATTATCCTCATGCACCAGGGCTTCACACTTTACCTTTCCCACTTAAGAGTGATTTTATGCAAAAAGAAAGAATGTAAGAAGAAAAAAAAGGACCAGAAATGAGTATCAAACACTGTATGCAAATATTTCCATCCTTCCAAAGATATCTTATGGTCAAAACTGCATATAAAGATTCTACTTTACAAACACTTGACCCCCAAAAGGACATTGTTCTAGAGGCACATAAAAAAAAAAAAAAAAAAACCACAAAGGAGAAAGAAGATATTGGTTTTTCAATTACCTTGATGTTATAGTCATCCCTCTCGGTTATCTGCTGCAAAAGGTGTTGGTTTTGAGTTTGCATATCATCATATGCCTGCCCAATAGTCTGAAGCAACACAACAAAAATAGGCTTAGTCATGCTTCATATATGCATTGAAGACAGACTCCCATCCATATAATCGAGCACAGAACTCACTTCTATCTCAGATAGATAGGCCTCATTTTCCTCGTGCTTGGACTTCATGACACCAGAAAGTCTGGACTTCTCCCTGAAATAATACCAAATTAGCACTTTCATGTTTTTCTGTCAAAAACATAAGAAATGGTGGCCAATACACAAGACTCCCGTCGCTGCGGAGCCTGAGAAGAGTCAAATGTGTGCTAGGTGATAAAATGATAACAAAATATAAAAATGATAGGTGTGAAAGAAATTCCCAACTCCCAGTAAAATTTAAGTAGCTGGAATGAAATGATATGCCCATTAACCTTATTAAGTTTGCATCCTTAAGAACAGATTAAAGCAGTAAAACTTCTGCTCAAGATCATAATCCACAGGAATTTCTTCAGAGAAGTTACGTAGTAACATATCAAATCAAACATCTGGCTATAGGAGGATTAGGTGTAAAAGGAGAAGATTACAATAGCCTAACGAAACTGACCTTTTGGAAGCTTCCAACTTCTGCCTTAGGTCAGCAATCTCAGCTTCTGCTGCAGCTAGCCTTTGCTGGGACATGGCCTCAGCTTCTATTGCTGTTTTGACTCGCAATTCCAAATTGTGCTCATCAAGAGAAGACTTCAAACTCTGAACACGAGCCCAAGCCTTACACTCACAATTCCTAGCTTCTAGGACATCCCTGCAGTTACCAAATCTAAGTTAGCAAGTGCACAACTTATTGTGTTTTTACCATCAACATAGAAAAGCCACAGAAAGTCGTAGAAACCTGGTATCAAATAGAAAGGATACAAAAGCTATACCACAAGAGCAGTGTACCTAACTATGGGGGAATAAATATAGGAATGTGGGATTTACTCGTTCTACAAGAACCACCACAATTTGCCTTAATTTTAGTTCCAGCGATAATATGCCTAGTTGTAATTGCAAACAAATTTCTTAAAATACTCCGTAATCACTGGTGTAATGGAAAGACATTGATACAAGGCAGAGCCGTTTATTATGTGAAATTGCAACATCAAAGAACAAATGTACAACGATGGATTATCATGAAAAAGCAGCAGTAAATAAGCCGAATCACTTCTATTGATGCTGGTAAAGCTGCATACATCTAACCCTCTACAGACCCGCAATGGTGGGAGGTTTGGGCACTGAGTATGCTGTTTACTTCAATTGATGCTGGTAAGAAAAATGCCTTTGCTCAAGGTAAAAGTTCACGAACTACACAGTATGAAAACTTAGGTATCCAATGAGACCGTCAATATTTCCAAGGTATTCATCATTACTTCCATATATACACCGGTTCCCCCCCCCCCCAAAAAAAAAAAAAAGGTGTAGGAAGCCTAACTCCTCCGACCGCGTTTTGACAACAATCTACTTGTTTTGATGTTTATAACAAACAAATCAGTATACAGCACCGATATCACCCACAAATAATTCCAAGTCAAACAAACAGAATTAGCGTATATGAACAAAGCCCAAGAAGAGACACACTCCCCCATAGAAACAACAAAAGTTCCAGTTCTTGAGTCAAAAAGGAATCGTCACAACACTTCTAAAAATAGTTTGCAATGTCTTAACTAGTCCTTCACAATGAAGCATCAGGAACAGCAGATTCCCCAAGGGAGAAGAAGTATCAAAAGATGGACCTACTGGCATATACTGAGCTCGAAGGTATCTCAAGACTAGAACGAGACAATGACAAAACAACTGTGTAGCATCAAGTGGCTAAAATAATCCTTTCACACCATAGACCTAGTTATAATGAAAAACTACCTCACTCAAAGAGAATGTCATCCAGTATTTCTCTAAAGGTAATATCTGCAAAAAAAAGGCCTAACTCTGGATTTCAGAGAGAACAAAATGGAATCCATGTAGTCTAAGCCAGCCCACAATTATCACCGATGAATCTATGCCCTCTTAGGTAGCACACAATGCACAATGAAGTTGATCCAAAAAAAGTAAAAGAAAAGAAAAGGGAAGGAAGAAACATCAAGAACCTTGTTATCTAATAAATGTACATTCTGACATCAACATCTACAAATTTCCAAAAGGATTTACAGAGCTTTCTCAAAACAATACCCAAAATCATGTCTGAATGTCCGAAAAGCCAGTCATATGTACTCCTCAAGAAAATAAAAGGCTTAACAGTACAGTCCAAGTGTCTAATCTTTTTTTTAATAGAAGGTACCTAAATAGAGGTGCAGCGCATATACAATGGTGCATACAAAAGGAACACCCATACCTATACACATATATGTAGGACCCAAGCAGAATCCTCCCAAAACACAATGAAAGAACTATAGATCCCAAGAAGACCTAATAAAGCCAAAAGAAAAGAAGACTAACTAACCAATATTGGAGCTGATGCGTGAAAATTCTGTCGAAAGAATTTTCACATTCCTATCTCTCAAAATGCTCAAACTAAGCAAGAGCTGAATCCCTTCACTTTCAGAGAGCCTTGCTGATATTAGTTCCTGTCAGTATTCCGTATGCGTGGGATTGCATTTACTGACCCCAGCATCACCCACTCTGCCAAACCCATTTAATGAGTTCAGCTAACTAATAGAAGTTTTTTTTTTTTTCTGAACAGATCTAATAGAAGTTAAAAAGTAAAGTAAAGTTTCAAAATTTTCCATGCTATCCCTTAGTATAAAATAAATAAGTGGTCAAACACAAAACTTGAGCATTGTTCGCAGTTACCCTTGCTGAAAAGGATTGGAAGAGCAATACTAACTAGGTAAGGTGTCAAAGTATTCCTCATACTTCAAACCTTCTAGGGAAACCAGCATTTTGGATCGACTCACATTTCCCATCTTCTTTGACCTTTCAACAAAAAAGTAGGCAGTCTACTCGAAATTTCACTAAAGAAAAAAAAGTTCAATGGTAAAAAGTACAAACATCCTCTTAAATACACTCCACATGATAGCATATATACATATAAATCTATCAGATACCACTCCTCTTGGATACCACTCTCCATCCGAATGAGGAAGAAAGGAGTGCTTGTTAAAGCATTTTATACTAGTTAATCACATTTCCTTAAACAAAAGTATTGCCAAATTCTACCAAATTCAATCAAAAGAGAAGTAAGTTTAGTAATATCAAACAAGCAACTTGTCTAGATACTCTAACCTTGAATCAGTGATTTCGCGTCGGTACATTTCTAGAATTAGCTTCAACTCCAAATCACTCTCCTTCAAATCATGAACCTGCCCAAACAATTTATTCAGAACGGGTTAGAAAACCAGGAAGAGGCAAATTGGAGTCACCGAAGGACTACTTAACAAAAAAAGAGATAAAACAGAAAAGAACAAACAAATAAACAACTGACCAATGAAGTGACAAGAGACAAATTAGTAACAATCTTGGTTAGTTTCTTGCATTTGTGACTCATATTTTTAATATTATGCCTCAAAAATAAGAATACAAGAACTACATAAAGAAATTTCTGAGGCAAAGCTAAGAAGCATGCTCAGAAAGCTCTAAGCATAGAACACCTATTACAGTTCTATACGGAATCAGAGGGCAGAAGTAAGTCACACAAAGTTCACATAACTCAACAAATGTATCAGGGCAGTAATTGCTAATATTTGCTACCTTTTAGCTAGAAAATAATTAACACATTAAAAATGCATATCATACCACAGCTTGCAACTTCTGCAGTTCAGCAATTTGGTCTGCTGATCTGGCAGATAAGGCTTCCAAATCTTTAGCCTGCATTAACAAAAGCAACAGTGTTAACCTTCAAGTGAATCAAAGAATATAATATATCTATGAAAGACAAACCACCTTCTGATTAAGAACACTGGAAAGTGATCGAACATGAGCTCGTAGAGAATGAACATCTGCAGCTGACTCCTTGTATTCACTTAGTTGACTCTGCATGCTGCCCATTTGCTCAGGAAATGAACGGACCAACGACTTAAACTCCGCAATAATTTCTTGCCTACCTAAAATGGAGAATATATACATAAACATTGCAGCAAAGAAAATCATACAGAGAGGACCCATACAGAATCGGATAATGTTGAGAATGTTAGTAGTATGTTGTCATTATTTCTATTGTAATAAGTACACCTCTTTGAGGGTATACTAGTCTTTCATAGTTTTGTGGGTAACTCTAAATATAAGTAGAGAGTGAGAGGTAGGGTATGATTCTAACTCCTCTGCCTCCTCTCTCGAGTTCTCCCAATTCTCTATTTACTAAACTTAACAGATAATGATGTGAAGGAAATTATTAGATCTCTTCATACCACGATCTCTTGATGCTTCTTCCAGCTTAGTTTCCATAATATTTTTGTCATTAATTTGTTTCTGTATCTCTATCCTCAGCTCAGTTATTCTAGAATCAGCAACTGCAGAAGATCGATGAAAGTTGTCAAGTAAATCATTTTTAATAGTCATTTCTTTTTCCCGCCAGGCAAGGGTATCTTTCTCAATCTGAAATATCAACAACAGAGAACAGTCAGCATTAGAACTGAATACTGCCAGGAAATGATAGGCAACGGCATAAATGAAACTACCGACCAGTTACAACCTGCAGTTTCTCAAATAGCGCTTGATACTGGACTACATCTGCTTTTGCCTTCGCAAGTTGGTCTTTTAACAAGGCGTAGGCTTGGGAAGAGGATATACACTTCACGTTCTTCAAAGTGTTCTGTCAAGAAAGCATCCCCATTAAAAACATGAGCCGGTGAGCACAAGAGAACTAATAAGGATGGGATTCTGCAGATTGAACAAAAGCAGTGCTGATAAGTTGAACAACAGAAAAATCAGTAAGTCAACCTGCAAATTGCACAACTGCCTCAATATTTCTATCCTTTCTTCAAGAATACGCTTAAGTTCTACTAGTCGACTGGAGGCTTGGTCCTGCACAGGAAGTCAAACTTGGTATAATCACCCGCTAGAATTTATTAAAAAGTGAAATAATCAGAAATAAGAAACAATTACCAATAATTCCTTGAGTGCGGACTCCATATCTCTCAAATCTTTTTCTTTATCCTTCATCCTATCACTTGCAATAGGCTTATTCTCCACCAGGTTTAGGACAGGGAAAATTGCCCCCTTCGCTGCATCTCTCTCTGCTTTTAGAGTTGTCAATTTGCAGTTATTTTCCACCAATTCTGCAAGAGTATCCTCCAACTCCCCTTCAAGAGAACAATCAAGAGATAATAGTCACCGTATTGACCTTTTGGTCATGTCTACAACTTTTACAACACGGTATCTAGATGAAGCTAAAGTACAGCATCTTGAATTTTATTAGTTTTTTTTTTTTGGTCAAATTGAATTTTATTAGTTCAAGAAAGGGCATACAGTAACAATTTTTTAGGAACCACATAGGAAGTTTAGAAGGATGCTGTAATAAGTCAAAGTTTCAGAAATGCATGCAAACAAATATTTTAAAGACACATTTCTGAAAGTTCAAATTTAAGAAACTTCATTATATTTCTTTTCTTAATTCTGTCACTTTCCAAAGAGAAAATTCTTGAAGTTTTTACTTCATAATCTCATGCCTACACATCCATACATGCAAAAAAAAATAGAAAAGAATCTAATAAACATCCATATAACAAACCTGAACCCACTAGTTATAAGATACATATTTCCACGAAATATATACCCTGCTGTGAAAGCCAAATTACATTTTTGTTATTTTACTTTGAGCTTAGACAAGTTACTGAGTTGTAGTTTCTATGCCTGACAACATGACACTTACGCCACAGTAAAACCAAAAGCAGAAACCAACATCAATCCTTTAGTTAAGCATATTAAATGATAACAGTGATACAATCATAAAAGTGAAACAATGCCCATTGAGGAATATAGCAATTCCCAAGAAAAAGTAATGAAGATTCCTTTTAAAAACTTGACCATGCCCTTAAGCACACCCCACTCATTCCACCTTAGCATCCGGTATCAGAGACTATCAGTCAATCAAAGCACAAGTGGAACACCACATCCTAGGAGAAATTAACACTATTGCTCATCATCGAAAATAATCTCTCAAACATCATATTACATGATATATAATTCACTCTTAGTAATCAGTGGTTATCTTGGCAAGGGATAGGAAGTTACCTCTCAAACATATAAGATCAGCTTTATTCTTTGCATCAGTATCCCGAGAAATCTGCATTTCCCTTGCCAATGATTTGTGCTTTAAATGAAGATCACCTATAGCCAATCTCAGATTCTTAACTTCCACCTCTAAATCCCTAGATGTCTTTTCCCTGAAGGAACCTAGAAAGAGACGGGCAGCACACACAAATCTGAGGAAAAAAAATGAAAGAATAATAGGTTTGTAAAAGAATTTAAACAAGTTCTGAAGTTCCTAATGCCATTGATCTTACCATCTTCTGGAAGTGCCTTCAAAACTGAAGCATACAATCCATCCTTCAAACACCACAGGTCATCAATGGCAGCTACTATATTACACAAGATGTTCTTGGTCTTTTCACCAGCTGCTTGTCTGTCTTCTTCCATCTGATTCACAGAATTGCTCGTGCAGGTACTTTCAGTTGCCCCTGTTTCAAGAAGTCGCCTTAGAAAAACATCCTCTTGGAGAGATGAAGCACCATCTGACAAACCATTTAGATAAACTAAATCAGCAGGTAAATTTTGATACAGCTGAAACTTAACTTTCTATAGTCATCCAAATCAAAACTATCTAGAATGTAGAAGGTTGGTAAATCAAGATACCAAATAATACGAGTGTTGATGGATTACTTAACTAGGAAAAAGGCACATGACATTGAAGTAGATAAATATTCAGCACAATGAAATTAATTAATCAGCAGAATTAGATGAAGAGATAATTACACAGAGAAAAACAAAAGACGAAATAAACTAAAAAGAAAAATGTAGGGAAAATATATAAATAGAAAATCTACAATTATTTATTCCCTAATAGCAAAAAAAATAGAACAAGAGAACGAGTAAGGAGAAGAGCAAACAGTAACAAAGAGAGATAGGAAAAAAAGCTACGGGCTCAAATCTCAAACATTTATACTTGGTTTACCATCTTGTGTATTTCGTGGACCACAAAAAACCCTGTTTATAGGCTTCACAATAACCCAAGAACACAAACTTTCTAAAACCAGCTGCCCTCGGTACAAAAGCTATATTAGAACAAAAAATTTACTATTAGATAAATTAGAACGCTTCTCCAACAAATAAATACAATAGGATTCAAATAATCTCTCCACAAGATTATTACGTGGGCATGTGCATTCTCGTGGGTGTCAAGCCAAGCAAGGAGCACCTTACCCTCATATTTGAGAAAACAACCTTGCTCTTCTCATCCTGATAACCTCAAAAAAAGAGAACAGAAAAAGTAAATGAAGAAAAATAGAAGAGAAAAGAGACATCCAGAAAAGCTGGGAGACACTGGAATCCAAAAAATGACAAGGAAAGAACCCAAGAGGGTGAAGAGAGAAGTTTTAAGATGAAAGAGAGGAAAAAATAAAAAACAGGCAAAGGAAACCAAGAAGGGGGCAAGAGAGAATCTTTTGAATATCCATTCTTTTTTATTTCAAATTTAATGAGTATTAAAATTCCAAGGGGTTCAGCAAATTGAGGGTTTATAGAAAATTTCCTCACGTCAATCAAACTCCTAAAACTAATTATTTTCATGTCAAATCATCTCGGCTCTCATGTCAAATAGTGCGTCCACCAAGCATCCTATCCTACCTTGTTGCTTGTCCCTTTCATTTTAAAAATTCCCTACTTTACCCAAAGATTTTTCAAAATCATTTGCATTCTGCTCAAAAGTACAGAATAATGCATGACCAAAGAAAGAGAAGGGCTTAATCAACCAAAACTACTCCAACATAATTTAAAAAAAAATACTTTGCAGATGTTAATGATGAAACAAACAGAATCCATAATCCATACCACAATTTACATACTATTTATAACACTCAAACAAACTACAGAAGTCAAAAAAATGAAATAGTTCAAGTGTAAGGTAGACAATCACCCTTTGTAATCAATTGATGTCTAGCATCTTTCCCACAGCATGATGAGTAGTTTGTACGGATGGAACAAGTTTCCAAGTCATCAACCAGCTAGCAAAACCACATAGTCAAAATTTCCATTGAATAGATATACAGTATTGGATGAGTCCTATCAAAAAGTGCAAATACTACACTTAAAAAAAAGTGGAACTTTAAGAAATGCAAGGCAGCTACCTCATTCCAAGACTTATTGACCACTGCTAGTGTGTTATCATACTGCTGTTGTCTCTCCCCCAGTTGACTAAATTTTTTCTCAAGGGCAACACACTCAAACTTCTGAGCTTTAACCTTTTGAACAAGCTTCTGATTTTGAAACTGAAGCACTGCTGTGTCGAGCTACCTCATTGGGGAACAGGAAAAAGGAAAGATAAAATCCATTAGTACCCTGAAGGTCAGGACCAATAAAATGCAATCAGAAAAGAAATGGCAACCAACTTGTGAATAAAAAAGCTAAGATTATAATCAAAATGCAAGTAACTGAGAGTCATCCAATATCAGGCATGAGGAGAAGAACCAACTGGTAACAGAAGCCATTCTTTGCTAACTAGGTAGACCATGACTCGAAGCATTTTTGTAAGTCGAAGACCTCAAGGAATGCAAAACTAGAATAAGTCAAAGAACTAGGCATGCAAGAACCTCAAGTAATTCTTACTCTTTTATCATAAATTTATTTACCAATTTGAGAAGTGGAAGCAGGTAATGAACGGTCTAAAACTGTAGGATTCAAGAAGCAGCCAATTTTAAAAAAAACTAAAGAAAAAATTCAAATGAAAATTTATCAGCTAGTTTAATGGAAAGAATAAGAATGCTAGAAAAGGAATAATAACCAAAATTTCAATTTTCCTGGAGCCCACAAAATAGAATTCATAAACGATAAATTTTGCTATCCTATTCAAGTAAGTAAAATTATTTCTTGAAAATCAGGAAAGGTTGCCAACACTCATGAATTCTCACACCCAGTCGTAAAGCACCCCAAAAAGTCAACCACACTAAGATCTTGTCCCTGAAACATGGAACCTCGCTCGCATCCATAAAGGTCACAAAAATAACGATGACTAGCTGTTATGTCACTAAGACTGGAGAAGTCCAATAAAAGTTACAAAACATGTTCTTCTAAGAGCAAGTTACACTTAATCACTGATTACAAGTCAGTTGCACTAGCACATTTTTACAATTACATTGAGAACAGTGAACTTCATCAACGCCACCAGGTTTCGACCAACACTGGCAAGATTTTCCATAATATTCCAATTTTAACACTTCCATTTTGTTAACTACTGCAATCTGGTGTCAATGCTGACGAGGTGCCAAGAATGGGCGTTTCTTACTCCAACCATTATGTGTTTATAAAATCTTAACGAACTGAAATTTAGAACATTTTCACAACCACATACAAGGAATTTGAGCTTCTCAAAAATTGAATCCTCTAACCTACATAAGTTCCCCGGAAAATACAATCATGACGATCCATTCTTTGCTTAATGGATATAACACCTCATGCATAGACAATATCATATTGCACAAAAAGCAACTATATATTAGTTTATGGCAACAAAAACAAATCAATGCCACCACCTGAAAATAAGATTCTTCACTCACAAGCTTATCATATTGAATCTTCCGCTTAAAGTGGTCCAATCAGAGCAAATGTAAAGAAAGGAAACAAAGTAAAGTCCATCCTAGAAAACAAAAAAGGAAATTCCACCACATCAAAAATCAGAATTAAACCTCCAAATTTGCAAATACAGTAACACAATTGGCACTTCAAACAGACCAATAATGCATATATGGTGTTCTTAAGCAAGCCATTAAACCAAGGTCAGTATATTCACAAACCCTAATCCTCCAAGTTATACCTTTTTATCGTCAGGTAAGGGCGAAAAGGGCTGGTTTTTTGCGGCAGTAACAGTAGCAGTAGCAGCAGCTGTGGACGATATAGAGCTAAAGTGACGTCGCTTTCGGTCTGCTTCACCTGTGCTCCCCATCATACTCAACAAAACCTAATCCTCTATCGTCACTACCATTAACACAAACACACACACGCACGCACACACAAATTTTGAGTCTCAACCAACAGAACCCTATGTTAAAAAGGCTCAGTTACAATAACATAAAAAGAAAAAGAAAATAAGGCTTCTGTAAATATAAATACATATACACTGTAAAATATCGAAACCCTAGTTCAAAAAAGAAAAGAAAATTATACGAAAAGAAACCCTAGGTTCACACAAAATTGTTAGGGTCAACATTACAATTGGTGGAAGCTTTGGGCGCTCTCTCTCTCCCTAGTCTTCTCTCTCCCTCTCTAGTTTCGGTCTCCTAAACTAGGAAGTCGTCTGATCTCTCTCTCTCTCTCTCTCTCTCACGCTTCAAAAAGGAAAGAGAAAGGAAATACATGGTATAGGAATATAGGAAATATCACGGGGTTAGTTTTGTCATTTCACGAATAACTGTGCAGAGCCGTTTTTGTCGTTTTTATCGTGTAAGACGGTTGATTCATGTGTTTTTTATTGTGGGGGTAAATATAATAATTAATACTTAAATTTTATCTCATATTTTAAAATAGTCGCTAAATTTTCAATTATATCAATTTAATGTTTAACTATCAATTTTGTGTAATATCATAACTCAAATGTATCAATTACTATTTAATGGCATTAAATTACAATTTTAAAAAATTAAAATCAATCTCAAATAATTTTATTTATATTACAATGTCAAAAAATAACTCTTCAATACTATATTTATAGTAATAGTTATAACAAAAAGTTTGTTTGTATTTTTTTTTTTCTAATTACTAAATCAAAATGGAATAATAATTCCTACACTTTTGTTCAAAATGTTGAGGTGGTAGTTGAATGTAAAGTTATATTCGTCATTGACTATCATAAAGTTATCAAACTAAATTAATGTACAAGAGTAATGCGATTTGTTGTTTAGCTTTAATGGTGTTGTGGTGATGAGCTACTTTATCGGGTTAATAGCTATGACTTAAACTAGATATTCTACATTGAGAGATCCTCGTGATCATGCTCAAGGGGTTAGTAACTTATTAGTTGCCCCTTCCCCCTTTTTCCAGTTACAAAAAAAAAAATTGAATTTCAGGCCAAAAATTATGAAAAAAATTTAGGTGTAAGGGAAATACCACGTCAGTGGTCTTATGTGATTGGCTAAAAAAAAGGTATGACACCAAATCCTCTAATCTAACCATACACACGTATAAACATGAAAAATAAGATATGACGGATTCTGATATTATTGACACAGATTGAAGCCGCCAGGAGAACGAAAGAATTGATTCAGCTGAGCATATACAGTAGTACTAACAAAAAATAACCTACAACGAAAGGCAGGTTATGTTTGTTTCACTCATCTTTATTGGCAAGTTCATGTCTCTTCCTCTGTCCAACTTCCATCAGCAATGTCAACAGAGCCTCGCATACTTGAGAAGCATCTGCTTCAGACGGATCGTCGTTCAATGATGAATAAACCATCCAAGCATGGTCTAGTTTGCGTTTTGGCCGTACCACAATGGAGCCAGGGACCTCTGCATCGCGACAAGTCACGAGGCCATCACTCTTCTCGCCATACCTGGTCTGAAGCAGCTGGGCACACGCAGCCATTGCAGCACCAAGGGGCATCACCACTGGGAGTGTTGTACGTTGGCCAGCTGAAAGAGGGGCAAACATGGGTAGCTCTGCATGTGCAACATGGGATAATGTGGCCAAAACTGCAGGGGAAATTCCCGCTTCTGTGTGGAACGAAACAACAGGAAGTTCTGTGGGCAAATGGTGTTTATTCAAAAATTCCTTCCTCTTCTCGTAAGTCAAGTCCTCTAGAGCACGCATATCCCCCTTCAAAACAGGTGTCAGAATTAGAATGTTTACTTGTCATGTTAAATAGAATATAAACTGCATACTTGCACCTAACATGCATGTATTTCATTCCATGCCCCATTACCCAGTGTTGGTCCTGTTGATTGAGGGGGCTGGATATTGCATCCCTCAAATCATTTAATGTCAATTCCCGTGATATCAACATTCACTCTTACCAAGGTCATGATATTATGTTATTGTTCACTTCCTCCAACTTGGCCGACCTTCCCTTTTTTCAGGAAGGCCAATATTCTGAATATTTTGTGTTGAAGATCCCAAGGTCAAGACGCGTCAATATAGTTTCATCTGTTTGCTAACCCACTTACAAAATTTGAAAAGAGGAACTTAAAAACCATACATTTCTACTAATACTAAAAAAAACACTATTGGACATTACACAGCCCTACGCGTGCTTGTAATTTCATGGATTATGCATGGAACTACTGTGAAGGACCCACCTCCACAATGTTTTTCGGAGACACTGCAACTCAGCTTTGACCCAACTATTTGGGGTCAACTATATGAATCTTGTTTGACCATTGCACTCTACCAAAGGTCATATTTCCCACAAGTTACCATATCTTTTCTAGTGTGCCATTCAAAGTTGATTTTAGGTCAGTAAAGGAAATATTATGTGGTACAAAGAACAAATAAAATAAGATATATGTGAATTGCAGTCAAAGAATAGAAATCAGGCATGAACATCATGACAAGAAAACACGACACACAAAATGCATGTATGTACCTTCATCACTTTACAGATCATGATCTCCATGAGCTTCCGTATATTTACATAATCACCCAGCTGTCCTTCCCTCAATATATCTGAAGCTATTGGGCTACCGCCATATGGACTCTGTGCTATTGCCAACCCAGCAACCTTGTCTTTTAGCTCAGTCCAATACATGGATAAAGCAGCAGCAGAATCCACACCGCCTTTGCTATGTCCAAGAAGCAAGACACGTTTCTTGGAACCCCAATAGATTTCCTCAATGTACTCTTTTATCTCTCTGGCATTTTTTTCAACCGAAGCCTGAATATTGGATTTCAGTATAGAACACAAAGAGCACCAAGTTGCATTTATGTTGATCAATCAAAGATACCTCGCTGTGAATCTTGGCAATATGACAGACCAAACCCATTTTCGAGAAACTTGTTTTGGTATTGATGAAATAAAGTGGCCCGTGGTTGCTGAAAAGACCTGCAGATTAGAAGTTAAGCTTTTGACACAGAACCACTGAAATTTACTTATATACTGAGCATGCAGATTAAAAGACTTCCTTCCTTATCTTTACATTTAGATTGTACCAAGCTAATAGGGACATTACACACTGCAGAACAAGATTAAATTGGTTCTTTCGGAAGAGCATAAATTATATTGTGTTTCTTTTAAAAACTTGGCAAGTTCAGCTGTTTCCTGCTGAACTTGTCATAAAAGTATAAGACCTTTATTAAGAACTTCAGACTTCATTTTCCCAATCATCGGGGCATTAAAAACGATACTGACACTGAAAGGTGAACATTGTTCTTCCTTTTGGATCTTCCAGGAAAATTTATGCCTCGACAGTTGGCCTGATCATCAAATTATCACATTGGAGACTGAAGTTCAGGCGATTGGGCCATCCTTGCAGCCTCAACTCTATGAGGATACAGATGCGGTTCTAATGTGGCATTGAAGTTCCGAATTTTACTGGTCTAGTTTTGTACCTCCATGTTAAAACATGACCTAAATGATGATCTAAACCTATAGTCTTGGTATTCTTTGGCAGTTTTCGAGGGAGAATCAGAAAGAAACATCAAAAGAATAAATATTGATCTACGTACTCAACCAAGTCATTCAGCTTGGTTCAATTGGTGGTAAAATTAGAGATGATCTTTCACATAGTAGTCAACTTTGATGCGAAAAAGAAGAGAGGTGATTGCTACACATTATCATGCCGGAGATTAACTAGTAATACTAGAAGAAGGTATTTGTTGCTACCTGGAACCAACAAGTAAACCACTGAGTTTGGCAACCTGTGCAAACCATGCCTGAGAGAGAGAGAGAGAGAGAGACAGAACTCCATCAAGAATTTTATAACCAAGCTTGGCTGTTGTAGCCACAGACAAAATGGGATGCAGCATACCATACCGGATGTCATCAAGAATTTCTAAAAAACTGTCAGTTCTATCTTCAACGGGAGGCATTTCTGAAGCACGTTGTAGCCATCCAATGTCATCCGCTGAACCACGAACTGTCCTCTGTACCCGCTCAATAAGGCTACAAGGAAACATCAGTGTGATCAGTTCAGGCCCAAATGAAAGCTTTATCAATGAATGCTAATACATGCACAAAATAAGCAACAACCCCAGGCAAAAGATCCAATGAAGCCTATGCTCATCTATTGCGTTCAAGCTTTGATCCTTCCCATGCTAACAGCCCTCATGGGTGTCTAGCCTTCAGCACTTAATAAGCGGTAGCAACAGCCCCTTGTATAGTAAGGTTCTGTACAAGAAGTATACAACTCGTTCCCAAACCCAAAAAATACATAGATCTGCAATAGTGAATCGGCTTTGTTGCATGTGTAGGCTCACATATCTGGAAATTTAATCATGTGAAATTGCTTGAAATTCTTAGAGCATGAAGCTCAGTGATATCTTTTGATCTGACGCAAGAAAGCCACCCATTTCTCTGTATTGAGAATATTTTTCAGACATGTATATTCTCATCTTATAACATAATTGTGCATTGAGCTGAAAAACAGGAGCAGCGAGATAAACACCTCGAACATCTCGCGTTGGCTATACAAATCGCAATACATCAGCATATTGTCCAACACCTCCTAACTGATGTTTTAAAGCATGGCAATTATGCCTCCCTTCTTTATATTTGCACCCTCAAATAAAGAAAAGAGGGGTGTTATTGCCTAGTGCAGTGGCATAATGCTTAACCATCACAAGGTCGTAAGTTCGAATCTTTGAGACACAATTTCTACAAATAATACCAATGGACCCAATCCACCCCTTGCAGCACCCTCAATTAACAGTGACTTAACTAGCTGATAGGCATTGGGCCTCAGGGAAAGGAAAAGCAACGGAGAAGAGAAGAAAGTATGTACCAAAAATCTTCCCCAATGTTTCTGACAATATCACTTGGGGAATATTCTGCCCTCATACACCATATCTCTGTGCCATGAAATATTATCAAAATAAGGGGCTTGATTGGCCAAAGTGCTAGCCTTTTCATACTTGGAAGCTTTGCATCACAAAAGGTTAAACACTGCAGAGCGTAGACATCATAGTTCAAAGGAGGGCACAAAATGTCCTAGAAAATGGTATGGGTCCTTGGGAGGTCATAACTCATAAGACCTCAAATCAACCAACAAGAAAAGAGGGGAAAACCAAAGAACAGGAAAAAACTATATCAACTACATAAGTTTCCTTTATGTATAACAATCAATAGTACACTAACTAGGAAGAATCAAGATTGGTGACACCGTGATGTAACGTAAGCACCTGCTTCCCCACCCCACAATAAAAGTAAGTTATAAATAGAAAAAGAAAAAGGAGAGAGGAATCAAGATAAAATTGGGAGTTGGGTTTAATGTCCAGGCAATTTGTACTAAGCTTGTCCTAAATTGACAGTTAACATCAGCCAGCTGTTTTATAATTCATTCTGAAAGTATCCTAATTAACAGTTAGATTATCAGTACCCTTGAAAAATGGAAATGCCATTTTGGCTGGTATTAGTAGATGGCACAAGTGCACAAGCAGTTTGAGATGAACCTCCATCTGAGATCCTTGTAATTCCGTCGTTAACAGGTGGAGCATCAGTTGCTGTATAAGATGACACTGAAACAGCAGAAACACTTCCTCTTGAAGACCCATCACTGGTAGCCAGAGATCCTCTGGTTTCAACAGAATCAAATGTCACCATTTCTTGTCCTTCAGGGCCTCCAGCCACAGGTTCTGCTGCAGCATGGGGGAAAAGGATAGGTTCTTAAGTTGTACAAATCATGATGTTTAGTAGATTTCGATTAGACATGCACACACCCACACCCATAGAAAACAAATGAATAGTTGTACATGTAATCCATAAGAAACTCAAGGAAAACAAATTAAAATAATAGACGGGGTTGAAATTTTGGTTTGATTTCAAGCGTTTTAGATTGTGTTATGTATTGTGTAACTTGAAGTTAACTTGCTGTTGATTTTCTTTATAAATAGGATCTATAAATCATGAGGATTTTGATAACTTGTATTGTCCATGGGCAGTGGAAAGGTTGCTCGATTGTAATTTATGCGTCAAAAGGTCAAGCTACAAAAACAATCTCTCTGCATCCGGTGAAAGACTTCATACATCTAACCCTCATGCACTATGCCACTCTTTTTCTTTTTCTTGTACGTGGGAGGCTGAAGTAGTCCATATATCTCATCTGGGTCAAATTGTAGGATTGTTTCTTTATTTGCAAATTTTACAACGTTTCTAATGCTATCACTAGTCAAAAATCTTAGTTCATAAATAAAAAGTCCATGATCTATTACAGGTCAGAGTAATTAAAACCTGTACATAGCTGTGTAACTAATTAGTATGTGAGGCCAGGCATTGTATGATGCGATTTTCTAGTTAATGTGATGGTAAGGGTGAAGATAAAAATGATGGAAAGTGAAAATGATAGAAAGTGAAGTGATAGAAAAGAAAATGATAGAAAATATATTTCCATGCATGTATTTGGTTAGAATGAAAAATTTATGGGAAAGTTTTAAAAAAATTCATTCTATTGTTTGAAAGAAAGGAAAGTTATAATTTTTTTTATAATTGTCTAAATTACCTTTAATTATATTAAATCCGTCTAAAAAAATATATATGTAATTATAATTGAAAGTTAAAAAATTTAAAAAAGTGGCCTGAAACCTATTTCTAAGACAATCACCAACACAAAGGTCTTTAGGCCAATTTATATGATTAATCAAATTCATACCAAATTTTTTTAAATTAATAACTAATAAAATATTTTTAAAAAATAAGGGTAAAATAAGAAGTTAGTTATAAATCACAATTTTCTTGCATTTCCTTGTGTTTTTTACAAGAAAAAAAAAGTTGGTTATTTCTGAGAAAATTCAAGCATGAAGAAAAATTATTTTTTCTATAATTTTCCTTTTCATGCTAACCAAAAACATGAAAATTTTTAAAAGTTTCTCTTTCTTGCATTTTTTACCATTCTCCCGCTAAACAAACGAACCCTAAGGGAATTTAGGTGAGGGCGGGTGGCTATTGTGCCTTCTTCTTCTCCTCCTCCTCCTCCTCCTCTTTAGTTTTATGCACTTTATTAACGGTCAAGCAACCACATCGCACTCATTACTCTTTTCAAGTCTCAAAAGCCCTACATCGAGGCCCGATCCTTCCCTCTGTCCTAAATTTAACCCAATAACTTCAAAATTCAAATATCACGACAAGCCTATATTACTGTTCATGTTTTCCTGTTCATGCTGCCAAAATTGCCCTTGATTTGTCCACACTATAAGTTACCATTGTAACCTTAAACCACTGCCTCACCTTATGAGCCTTCTTCTAACAGTCAATGCCCTTGAAAAGGTTCCCATCCAGCGACTCCAGCATCATATCCTGAATTTCCAGCAAACAAAATCCTAAGAAATCGCTAATTGCAAGCATTTCCACTTTTCCATTCTAAGCCCTGTAATATTGACTGTACCTAACACCTTAGTCAGGTTTCATAGGACTCTGCACAATTTTGATAGCAGAGCATGTTGAAAAGTGTTTGAACTTTGACACTTGTCCTACATCATACAGTCATCTAAGAAAGCTTAAACATTAAAAATCCGCAATTGTCAACCTGGTGGGCTGTTGTAGTCCATGCTTTATAAGTATGGAAAGAAAACCAAACCCCGAGCCCAAACCCCAATCAAAAAAACCAAACACACAAGCAACCCCAAACAATTCTTGAGAGAGAAAGAGAGGCAAGCTCGATGAAAAAGTTCTGGCTTTCAAAAAAGATAGATAGAGAAGATTTCCAGACTCCATAAGCTATTAAGTTACAATTGTTTCTTGGATTACATAGACAGGATCATAAAAAAATTTCGAACAAAAATATAGATTATTTTGTTGTAATTCGTTGATCTGCACCCAATTCAAAACCACCTATTGATGGCTTTAGTTTACTTCACATAATCTGCAAAACTTCATTCTATAAATCTTCTATGATGTACATAAATAACTTATCAAATACATAATAACACATTAATTCCCCCACAAAGAAAACTTTTCTCCGTTCAGCACTACATCAATCAACAGAAACACTAACAAAATTCACATTAAAAGCAATATTTAAGACATTGGTGATAGAATAAAAGAAATTCTTCATTTCACCTAAAAGTGAAGAGATTTTTCAGGTCATTCCACCACGTCTTTCTAATTACTAAAACAAAGAAAGAAAAAGTCACAAGTGAAAAGAAATATGTGTGCGCGAGAGAGAGAGGCTCACCAGAAAAATCAGAGAAACAGCTAGTTAGATATGACGTTGTCTCAGCAAAATAAGAAGCTGCTTCGTTGAGAGCTGGTACAGAGGTAAAAAGCTGGGGGATAGGTCGGTCATTTCTAAAGGCACCAGTATTTGCCTGAAAAAGGCAGCGATTAGAGAAATTCTGAAACAAATAAGCCGCATAACCTACTAAAGTGTAAATATGATCCTAGAAACAACTGAAGGCATGAAATCAACAGAGACGGGATTAGTTAGTACGAACCACACATGTGTTTATGATCACATCGACAAACAGGAGCTTATAAATGCAGGAATTGATATTCTTCATTAATGGCAAAGAATGATAAGTTTATCATGAGCAATAAGTGACAAATAAAAGCTGTTTTTCTGCCTACAACATTCAATGTCAGGAATAGTATGAAAACAGGTCCTCGATTTTTTTGGGCAGCAATTTTTTCTTCACAGATGAATTATCATATTGCCAGTGAGGTCTCCGTGATTGAGATAAATGGAGATCGGAAGAAATTGAGAGGGTCTCTCATCTCCAATCGGCTGACAGCATGAATTTTCTCTCAACCATGCCCACAAAAGCCAGACCCCATTTTTTTTAGTGTCACTCAAACAAGACAAGAAATATCTAACCAAGCTATTCTCATTAGGTGCGATGTGCATTTCTCACTGATATTCTGGTGACTAGTTATTCTCACCAAGCTGAATAAAACCAAGTGTTCAGAGTGTCAAAGTAGTATTTGAATTCCAATAACTACCACTTTCAAGAAGTTTGTCTCAATTCACCAGTATGATTTATGTGAAAGAAACCAAGTACTTCATTCATGTTCATGTGTAAGAATTGAAAACAGTAAGATGGCCAAATATAAACATACAAGAATAAAATTTCAACTCTATAACTCCTAATTCATAGCCTGCTATGAACTGACCAACAATCAGGACTGACATCACGGTAGATTCCATCAGAACAAAAGTGTTTACTATGTCATATTATTAAATGTTGAAGGAAGAATTTACCAAAAGTCGTGCGCTTGATTCTCCAGTCTTGTGCGTTCCAGAATCCATATTTAAAATCAACTCCTACGAACACAAGGAAAAATTTAAGCTAGGTTTTGTAATTATATGACCGATGACATTTGAGATTATAAGAGAGGAAGGAAACTTTAAATAAGTAATGAAAGGAACTGTAACAAAGAATTAGAAGTTAAAGAAAAGAGCCCTAAATTTACAAAGCAGCATTATCTTCCCATGACACTAGTCCCTAAGAAAGCAAACCCTGCTATGTGAATTAAACCCATACAACAAACTGAGTTGCTTTCCAAGGAAATTTCTTATAGACAACATCACAGATAATCCTAACCCCCGTGATTTCTTTTGGATCACTTGCTGGCACTATACCACTCTACTAAAAAGGCTTTGACCGGGAAAAAAAAAGTCATGGTTCAATGAGTCTTACATTCAAAAAGAATATTGCACATTTACCGTCAAAGCAATAAAAAAAACTGGCAACACGAAAGCTAAAATGCCTAATGGGAAAAGTTGCATTTAGGATTAGGCACAATCAAAAGACAAGCAACAATAAAAAAATACAAAAAAATATGATTATTTTTTTACATATTAGAGTAATATAAATGAGCAATAACTTGATTATGAAATAGAAAGGTGAAAATACAGTCAGATGCATTATGCACTCCGTGCTCTTCTCATAAAAAGATCAAAGAGGATGGGATGGGACGATAATTACTTGAGCAATACAAACTTCAGGCATTTTGCCGCATTAATTTTTAAATTTCTTCAATTTTTTTGACTGGAAGAAGGAAACAAAGAAAGAACAGCCTTGCCTTCAGCTTAGGAGTATACCATTGACAACATACAAGCAAAATCAACTCCTTAGACATGACTCAATACAAAAGAAGAAGATTCATCAACTCTTTGTTTTGACATACAACTCTAACTCACGAGTCACAAAGATACTCCTATACGCCTAAAATAACCAATTGTGAAAGTAGATTCCAATGCAGCTGCCCATGCAAATAAAACTGACATCAGTTGCATCACAACTCTGACCGTTGAATAATATAGTACTCAACACCACATAACTAACCGCTCTCCATCTCAAAGAGTCATCCCCAACCCCCCTCCCCAGCTGGGAAGATCTACATTTACACAGAAGGTCCAGATAATACTGCACAGTGCACAGACTTCCAGGTGGTTTCCATCTGAAAGAGCTCCCCTCCTCCCCCTAAAACAAAAACAAAAAAAAAAAAAAAACACCATGGGGAAGACCTACATTACATAGAAGGCACTGAAAAACTTGACTGACCCCAACCCCCAGCCCAGAAAGCATAAAACAAACCTATAACAACACACAATGCTGTCCTGGGTTGGTCGCATAGTTGGTCATCATGACCTTATTGAATGCAGGATAAGCACACACATTAATGAATAAAATTGACAGCTGACTTTTATGAGCATTGCTATTTGGACCTAATTCCCTATGACCTTTGGATTGACTTTGGCCCCCATCAAATATTAGAACTTGCCCTTTTTTTTTTGTGATCCAAACTTGCCGTTGATCTAATAATTCCAATGAAGTCCATTTTTGGTCCAAATAGCAATATTCGACTTCTATATTCCCACGATTCAACGGAACATTGATTATAGAACAAAGATTCCTAGATCATGAATATGAGTCAAATAATAAACTAAAAACTACATCCAATAGCAAACAATACCGTCTCAACTTTCACATGAAATCCGGTTAGTAAGCAACCTATTAATCTGGATATTTTCCCAACATATTTTGAAAAAAATAAGCGAAATCATCATACTAGAACCCTAATTTGCTACTGTGAATTGAAAGATTAACATGTAATATTCTTGAAAATTTATCGCAAATTCCTAAATTGAAAGATTTGTCGAAACTGTTACCTGAAAATTTTTCTTCACTGTGGAGAACGAAACAGCAAGTTTGAAAGAATCTATGAGAGAGCTTTAAGATTGCGGTGAATTAAAGTATATCAGGGTTCTGAAAGAATCATTCTTTAGAGCAAAGGGGATGAGAGAGAAACGAGTCTTAACCGCCAAGCAAGGTAACGTTCTTTTTAGCAACTTATTGTTGCCTTTACGTCGTCGTTTTGAGTTATCGTGGTAATATTGGGAAGTGGGGTTCGATTCGGGAACCCCCTGCTATCACTGACAACTTTGTGACGTAGAGCTGAGCTATAACAGTAACGTTACATTGATTAAATTTTAGAATTAAATCAAGAATTTAAATGACACGACAATTGACTTAAATTTTTTTATTTGGTGTCATATCATTTGAGCTTTTAATTTAATTTCAAAATTTGATCAACACAGTATTACTGTATCTAGAATCTATTTTTAACTATGTATATAATTTTTCACGAGTTTCCTTAACGTGGGTGCCCAACCATCAAGAGTATTTATCTCTTCACATCACGTGGTATGTCATTTGAGTTTTTTTTTTGGTACTTAATTTTAGTTTGTATAACATTATTGTTATGTCAATCAATAGTTCATCCAATAAAAAATAATAAAAAGAGTAACATATGTCCACTTTATATTATGGATGAGATTATGTATAATATGATTGGGTAGGTATGATTTTGAGTGAGCTCTATTGATTGATTTGTCTATCTATTAATGAATTATTACACCGTAAGATTAGGAATTAGGATTCGATTCGAAAACTCTCTGCTCCCGCTGACAACTTTGTAACACAAGGCTAAGCTATATCTCAAGTCGACTTTTAATTGGGTATGTAATTTTTCATTGTATATTGATTTCCATTATGAGTCTATTAGAGTAATTTGTATTTGAAGGTACAATATAATATAAATATTTTAAAAATGAATGATGGTGATCGTTTTGATGAATTTATTTGAGATTATTAAATGAGTTTATTGAATTTTGTCATATTTTATAATATACATTATAGATACTCACACCTAAGTAGGGCATACAATTGTATCGTATTGAGTCATATTCATCTCATGTCATTTCGAATTTATGGCGAATATTAGTTAATTATAATTCAATATGTTTAATTAATCTGTGTCATATTTACTTATTTATTTTCGTATCGTGTTTGTGTTCACTCATATAACCCGTAAAATAAAAAAATTTAATACTCAATTTTATGTCTAAAATTTCATCATAACTTAATTATACGTACCTATTCTCGTACTTTTTTTATAAAATAAAAATAAAAATAAATTTAATAAATATAATAATAAAAATAATTTTTTTTGTACAATAATTAAGTTGAATGGGGGTGACTCTTATTATTACACGTATTACGACATTAAATGAGTTCACGTGAGGATAACAGGACGAGGCACGTGACAAAAACTTCAGCTACTCAGACCTAGCCGAACTAATCAATGAGAAAGAGCCCGACTCTTACCAGACCGTGTTGATCACTATGTTCTATAAGCGTAGAAAGAGGTTGGCTCATGTTGCGATCGAGTTGTACGAAACAGATAATGGAAAAAAAAGAAACGCCTTTAACTTGGGCATTCTGGATAAAAAAATCAACGAGATTATAGATTTGTCAGGATAAATTGTTGGAGAAATATCAGCAATTTCTTAAACTGAAATACTTAATTGAAGAAAGGTGAGCCACCTAGAAGAGAAAATCATAAAAATCCTAGCGGAAGAAGGATATATAAAATGAACAAGGAGCTATGGTGAAAGGTATATTGAACCCTTCTTGTTTTCTACCAATTGTCTTTGTTCTATTACTAACTTAAGCATCAGAGTGCATTTGATCGAAACACTTCGATCTTAAACAATGTGTTCGTTTTGCAGTACATAAAGATTGAGAAATCAAGTTCAAAAATTTTATTTACTAGAAATACCAAATTCAATATTTGGTGAGAGAATCTTCGATGAGAAATATTATTAATTTTTATCTCTTACATAAGTCATTATTTGATAAAATATAATAAAAAATAATATTTTATTTTTATAATATTATTTTAAATTGTTAATCATGTCAATTTCATTTTTGTTATTAATCCAACTCATTTATTATTCATATTAACGAATTGTGTTGGTTTCGAAAAAATGATCAATATTAATTATCCCCAAATCGATCTCAAATACAAAATAGTAATTATGCACTTTTTTCTCATTGACCAATTTTTTTTGGGTCATTCTTTTCCTTGTCTAGTTGGCTCGATCCTTACTCTCTCTCATTATAAAAAAATCATCCAAGTAAACGAAAGTCAAAAGTCACCTCCACTTATTGATCATTGTCGCCTACAATTCAATAATTATAATTAATTAATTATTTTAGAAATAAAATAAAAATAAAAATATTCCTACAAAGTACTCTTTGTCTCAATTACTTGGCATTATAATTCAATTCAACCGTTGTAAATTCACTTGAATTGAAATATAAAATAATATTTAGACTAAAATGAAGAAAATAATGCTAAAATGAAGGACCAAATAATATTATGCTTAAACAACGACATTCATAAACCAAAATTGTATTTTTAAACGGTCATCATCATTCATTTCAAAATTATTTACAATGTACCATGTTGTCAGACACGAATTATTCATAATTATTCATAATATACATTAATTCTCAGTTTTTTTTAAAACAATGTCATGCGGATGTTATAAATTTGACCAAAAACAGTGGAGGGGTCAATGGTACTATATTAAAATTTATAATATTTTAAGATTAAATTAGAATATTTAAAAATGTAAGTTATAAACTGTAAAATATATGAATTTAAACCTCTAAAGAGTAATTTAAGTAGTAATAGGACGAGTCGTAGCTCTAAATGTTTTAAGTTCAAATCATAATAATGTTGGGGTCCAAGTTATAAAGAATTTATTTTTTTAAAAAAAATTTATTGTATTTGATTGTATCGAAAAGAAGATTAGTCGAAGTGAGCAGAAATTGGACTGAACACCTTTAATTGTTGAAAAAAACATTTGAATTCATGATCGATCACAATATTCAGGATCGAGATAATTTTATTTTTAAAAATAATAATTTATTTTGAAAAGTAATAATTTTACCTCTAAAAAAATTTATTTTTTAGTCTCATAGACTTAGCGAAGAGGTAAGGTAATGTACTAATGTTATTTGTCATTACCACTTTACTTTATACAATTGTATTTTACCCTTTTTTCTTTTTTCCTTTTTCCTTTTTCCTTTTTCCCTCGCATTCTCTCTGTAACACCTATTCCCTACCCCAACGGCCGGTGATCTCCGGCGAGTATCACCACCACAAAACATAACCGCTCCGCCACCCAAAGCCTCATTGATAAACCCTAACACCACCAGTTTCTTCCTGAACTCACCTCACACACTCACGCACTCAGCTTTACGTACAGTTCACAAACCCACAATTTTAGAGAGAGAACCAATCAGTCAACAATGTCAGGCTTCACTTCCTCTACTAATCCATCTTCATCACCACAATTCCCATTCTCACCGTCATCATCTCCATTGTCATTCCCACCATCATCATCGTCATCTCAATTCTCATGGGCTTTTCCACAACAACCCTCTGCGTCGCCTTTCTCATTCTCAAACCCTAACCATAGCTTCGGCACACCACCATCCTCAGCTCCATCTTACGGTTTCGGATTCGCCTCTTCTTCTCCCCCAATTTCGTCAGCATTCTGCTCCTCTGAATTTTCGTCGGCGTTGTACGGAACGACGTCGTCTGGATTTTCGGAGCCGTATACTGGTTCGCCGTTGCACGGAGCGACGCCGGCTGGTGCGTATCAACCACTTTTTGGAGCTACGTTTTCTAGTGCTTCTTCGTCTCCGTTCCGTTCTTCGAATTCGTTCGGAGCTAATTCATCGATCCCGATTCTTTCCACTACTTCAAGCTTGTTCGGATCGAGTTCAAATTCTAGGACTACGAGTTTGTTCGGGTTTTCTTCTTCGAGTTCAGTCTCTTCTGGTACCACCTATGCAACTGCACCTTTGTTTTCAGCCTTGTTTGGATCGTCTTCTCCGAGTTGGGCGACTGCTACACTAGCAAGTTCCGCATCAACTACTGTTTCTTGTACAGATTCAACGGTCGCAACAACTGGTACAATTGCTTCAATAGCTAGAACTGTTTCTTTTACAGGGTTTGTGGCTTATGGAAGATAATGCTTGCTTGACTTTAAAAGAATTCAGTGAGTCTTCAGACAGAGTTTTTGGGTTGGATTGAGTTCAAGTTCCTTTTCAATTTATCTTCTCTGATATAGGAATTGACAGTTTTTCTTTTGTTTTTGTCTCTTAAGTGCTATATTAGTGAGAACTCATCAACTTATAGTCCATGTATTACCCAATAACCACAAAAAGAGAGGAAAATTTCCTCATTATCACTGGACTCCTGTGCTTCGATGTTGTCGCTGAACTAGGAAAAGAATCTGTTAGAATATTTTAACTAAACGATTGTTTTTTATGTGTGGGAACTCAATCCCACGTCGACCGAATATCCAAAAGTACTGTATATATATACTAATGTTATCTAGCATTTGAATTAAATAAAGATTTTGGGGTTCTCACGTGCGCAAGGGTGGAATTAGTGGTGGAGATACGAATTTCTAAAATTTATGAACCCTATTCCACGACCTACTTCTAAATATTTTGTTTAATTATTTTCTGTCATTACCTCTATATTAAAATTTCAGTTGCTGAATACCAAAAATCTCTAATGGCTAGTATTCCAACAGCTATACATTATCCAATTAAATATAGAAGTAATTACAGTCTTTAAACACATATGTTATTTGTATATATATACACATATTTTCAGTATAGGTGTGTGTAAAGTTTCTGCTTTATTTGATTGTACAGATCTGAGTGAAACAACAGTCAATAGAATGGGCTGTTGTATCATGGGATGACGCGTTACTATCTTTTGCGTTGTGATTCTTTCATAAGGGCGCGCGAATTGCCTTAAGAGACCGACTTAGTCTGCGCTTCATCCTGCTATTCATTTTATTTGCATCCAATTTTTTCAACAGAATCTTTTGGGTTCCAAACTTGTTTTATTTGTGTGAAGATAAAATCATTTATTTTCAGTATCTACACTAACATTTAAAGTGGTCAATTAGATCCTGAATCATTATTTCAAAGCATGTGGTATGTAAGAAGACATCCTACTGAACTACTGAGGCATTTTTTTTGCTGGTTTAGATTGAGTAGAAATAACTCACTACCTCTTCAATTCGTTTCAGGATGCCAAGACTCCATCGGTGGAAGCTCCGTTTGCTCCACTATTTCTTTCAAGTTAGCCGTTAGTGATGATGAGGAAGGGTTTGGGAATGAGGATGAGCAGGTATACTATAGGGCCTTAGAGCATATAGGTGTTCAAATGCCTGAGTGTGAGACTAAGAAGGAGGTTCCAGGGGTGACATGGGATCAGGAGAAGAGGGATGCTATTACAATGAAAGTGGCAAGCCTGCTTGATAGTATACAGCGTGCAGAACCACCTGCCATTGGTGGGGTAGTGGTGACCAGTTCAATGGTAGTCTCGTCTGGGGCTGCTCTGGCGAAGGTGCCAGTTGTGGAGGCTAGTTCGATTAAAATGGATATCCCTGATGTGAAGTCGGCTGCAACATATGTGCGGGTGACACTGCATGCCAAGGAGTTGGAAATAGGTGAAGTGGATTCATGTGAGAATCCGTCAGCTGCAACACATGTCCGGGTGACACTGCATGCCAAGGAGTTGGAAATAGGTGAAGTGGATTCATGTGAGAATCCGTCAGCTGCAACACATGTCCGGGTGACACTGCATGCCAAGGAGTTGGAAATAGGTCAAGTGGATTCAAGTGAGAATCCGTCAGCTGTATCTGAACTTGTTGCTGGATATGAATTAAAATCTCCTGGGGTTGGGAGTCTGATATCCCCCATATCAGAGATGACTGACTTGAATGAGCTTACTCTGTCACCTCATTGTGGTTTGATCATAAAACAAATTTCAAGCAAGTATGGAGATATCACTAAGGGGAGCATACTGAAGAGTATGGCTGCTAAATTTCCATTTTTGCAGTTAGTGGCACATACAGTGCATCAATTGTCCAACCATACCCAAGACACCTTAGGTTCCAATGAACTGGAACTCATACAGACATGGACAGCTGATGCAGCAGCTGTTGGATTTCAGGTGGACTGGTTACAACAAAGGGTTAACCAAGTTACTGCAGCTACCAAATACCATGGTCATCGTATGGAGTTGGATGAGTTAGGGAAACAGATAGATGCTACAATAAAATGTCTGATGGAGATGGAGTTGCGAGAAATTGTTTGTAAGGAGGAGTTAGCTTCCATAAAGGCTGAAATGGAAGGGAACGATTTCAGTGGATCAATTCTCAGTACAGGGCTATTATGATGGTGGAATAGGAGGGAGGATGGGACAGTTGATTGTATGTAATCTGCCTTTTTCTCCCCAGCTCCTCTTTGTGTGTGTATTTGACTATTTGTGTATATTTATAACTCTCTAGACCGGAAAGGTGTATGAACTATACTGCTGTGGGTGTGTTGTGCTTTTTTAGTGTTACTGTTCTTTTTCTTCCTCTTCTTCCTAGACTTGTTTGCCAGCTGTATTGATGCAGTTATTATATTCTTGAGTTAATTATAATTTGTCCCCTCCAACTATAGCCAATGTAGCAATCAACTCCCAGTAGTTTCACCATTAAAGATTTAAATGAGGGTAAAAGATGACCATTATCTTACCATTAAATTAAGGTATGAATTTGAGTCGTTTTTGATTTGAGTTAAAAAAAAATGATTCTCCCTTAATTTAATATGAGTATGAGTCTATCACAGGAGAAAATTTTTAAGAATTTTGTAAATTTGAGTTCAAAACTGAGTAGAGATTTAAGACGTTCTAACATTTGTTATATTAGGGGTAACAATCTGAATGGTTTTGAGAGATGTTGGTTGACTGTTGGACGAGACTATTTCAAAACGTTGAATGAAATTATTGAAGTTTTATTTATTTTATATTATAGAGTTTTTTAACCAAAATAAAAGAAGAATAAACAGAAATATGTGAACCAAAATCGAGAGAAAAAAATAATTGAAAGACCACAACAGTGATACTAGGCCTTGGCCCGGCCTGGCCCAACTCTGAATTTTTTAGCCCATAGCTCATTCGTGGGTTGGGCCTTTGGACTTTGACTAGTCAACGGGCCATACCGAGCCCACCAATAGAAATTTTTAAGGCCCATGGTCCCATGGGGCTGGCCTATTAGGCCAAAAACAGGCTAAATATGGGTCGGGCCTTATGGACCATTTATTGGGCCTAAAACGAGTTTTTTATTAAAAAAAAAATTATGTAAAAAATATAAAAAGACATTGAAAAATTTATTTTTTATATAAAAATTACAAAAGACATCAATTACATGAAGTTGATATAAAAAAATAAATTACAAAAAAAATATACATATTGATTGAGTTTTACAAATATTCATATAAAGTTATAATAAGTTATAATGTTATATTATAAATTGATTAATGGGCGAGACTATTTTGCATTACTAAAAATTAAGTTATATCCTAATTAGATTGACACTTACACAATTATCAATTATTTGTAAGTATCGATTTTATAAAAATTATAGATCAAATATTAAATAAACAATACAATTATAAAATATAATCTAAATATTTTATTGGACTAACGGATCAACTTCTTAACGGATCAACTTGCCGAACCCCCGCCCTAAAAAATACACGTCCTAAGCCCTACTCGAGCCCTGTCACGTGTTGGGGCGGGGCAGCCTGTTGGACTTCCGGGTCATGAGTGGCCTATTGAATTTTGGGCTTTTTGGTGAGGTCTAGATGATAGTGTCAAATTACTATATTCAACATTTTTTTTTGGTCAATGCACAAAAACAACAGCAACGAAAAAAAAAACACCCAAATTTATTCATTATCAGAAGTTTAAGTCTCAGCGTTCCTCTCTTGATGCGTTGTGACTTGTGAGTTTTAAATCAGCAATTTCTTTAGTTCGGTATTATTAAAAAATTTAAATTCGCGACGATTATTGAATCCACGAGTCCAACCGCGGATACTGGACATTAAGCCAACCGCTAATCGAGTGCTCCCAAATTTGGGGAGGTCTCCCAATTTTGGCGGTTCCTCTCTCTCTCTTCGTTGCTTTCCATTCCATTTTCCACGAAAATTGTGTGTGGTATATATGTACATATGCACACAGATATATATGTATGTAGAGAAATATTTGAATTGTTTTTGGAGCCGATGATTCTGAGCTTTGCGACGTGATCAGAGATGGCGGAGGGAACTTACGTGAAGCTGACCAAGGAAGAAGAGGCATTACAGAACGTCACGCCTGGAGAGCTCAACCAGGCCATTGATGTTGAACGAGTTTGTTCTTTTTTCCTTGGTTTCATTTCACTTTCTGTTTGCCTACTTGGTTTCCATTCATGAGTTTTTCAATTCCAGTGCCTTTCTTGAGTTTGGTATTCGGATTCATGGTTCTCTCAAACCTGATATATTGTGGGTTATATTTAGGATTGTTTCTGAAAATCTTTATAGGGAGCAGTGTCTTATCCTTGTTGTAATTCGTCTCGTGTATATCACGAAAAAAAATTATTTAATATATTACAAGTGTGAAATATTAATTAAACGAAACTTATTAGACATATGTATCAATCGTGCTGTGTTTGCGTTGATGGGTGGGATTGACACCCTGTATATAGGTATATGAGCTTGCCTTTTTAATAATTAATTTTGATTCAAACTTTTTATCTGTAATGAATCATAATATTTGTAGGAAACAACTGGGTTTTAAAGGTTATTATAATTGGAATATGTGCCTTAATATAGGAATTGGCCACATGCATGGAAGAAAATCCAACATGTTTTTTTTTTTTTATTCAATGGTCTGGGGTTTTCAAACCAACTTACGCATACCTTGATTAATCTCCTCCCCTCACCGATCTGGTCAAAAACAGCATGTCTCTTTCAGATAGCTTACTTGTTACACCTCATTTAACGCCTTTTGGTACTGCTTCAGCACTTTTATTTTTTGCCCTTAATCTGCCTCTTCACGCTCTTGCATTGAACAATGATGCCAGAACAATGAATTCCTTGGGCTGGATGAACAACCTTCTTTGAAAAGAAATAGTTAAAGTCATGTCACTTGGAATTGGTTACTTAATTTTAGTAAGGCCACTTTTTTGGTAAGCAAAATTTGATTATATAGGCATGATTATTTATAAGATAAAAAACAAGCTTCTATATGTTCTTTGCCTAGACATATAGAAGAAACAACCTTATTATCTACTTCTAATAGCCTCATATGACATGTGGGACTTGGACCACATTGGTACACTTTTCCCCAATTTTGGATTACTTCAGTTAAGTGGGATCCATCATATATAAGTAGATCTCCCACCAATATCGGGTGGGTGATTTATAACCGAATCTCAACTTTGTGTTAGTAAAATATTTTTCAGAGCATTTTCAAGGGAATAACTAAAATTCTAAAATATTAAAAATTTAGTTATTCAAAAGCAAAAAACCTACTCCAACAGAAAATGTTCAGAGTGGGTAAAATATATTTTTGCTATAGTGATGTTCTATATTTAGAGTATCACTGTAGCATTAAGTATAAATAGTTTATAATATATTCTCTCTCCTCTTGTCATTTCTCACCTCTCTTGTCCATTCTTTGTTTTTCCCTCAATTTTTTTTTCTCTCTCTCCCTTTAATAGTCCCAACAAAGGTACACGATATGAGAAATAATATTTAAAAGAAGTAGTTAATATATAGAAAATCTCTTGGAATGTGTAAGTTAAAATAGAAAGAGTGCACTTTTGAATTACTAAAATACAAAATCTTGTTGGAGATGCTCTCAGAATTTAATATTGTTTGTATTTTGAGAAGCAGAGTGTTATTTCCACCTTTTGATGTTTTCAAGATGTTTTTTGCCTCTTTTTCCAGTAATAATTGTAATCCACTTGGAAATGAAGTTGAAACAACCTGAAATTTGGTACATGTACTTAAGTTGTTGGGGAGAAACCAAAATGGTGGTCCTTATTTCTCTTATTGTATTATAGAGTCATATTCGAAACTTATTATTTTGATCTTTTCCCCTTTCTTGCATACAGAGAAAAGCTGTAGTATTATGTGCTCATGCCTTCATAATTGTCAAAGTAGAATGCCTAAATTTCCTCCTTTATGTGGAGTGTGAACATGATGATATTGATTTGTTCCATTTTATTGCTGATGGTGTCATTGAACAGCTGACTGCTAGTAGATGCATGGAATGTGGGCAAACTTTACCTCCAAACTACCAGCCCCCTGCTGATGAAGATTGGACAACTGGGATTTTTGGTTGTGCTGAAGATACTGACAGTTGTAAGGGCTTTCTTTTATTCTGCTTATCTTTAGCAAGTTAGCAATCCAATTTTCGCATTTTATGCCTAAACCCCTAAAATTAACGAGTAAAAAAATTGAAATTACCCCTTTTTTTCTTGATCTTTGTTTCCATTATAAGTTATTGTTTGAGCTTGATGTTCTTCATGCAGGCTTGACTGGACTGTTTTGCCCATGTGTATTGTTTGGACGAAATGTTGAAAGCTTGCAAGAAGATATCTCTAGGACCAGTGCAGGCATTTGTCATGTGGTATGTGTTGAAGGTGGCATGACTCTTGCTGCACTCACATCAATTTTCTATGGCGTTGATCCAAATACTGCAAGTAACATATGCCAGGGTCTATGCTTTGCTTGGTGGATATGTGGTATCTACACAGGCATGACTCGGCAATCATTGCAGAAAAAATATCATCTCAAGGTGATCTCTATTTCCTGGCAAATTGCTTGAAATTGTGCTCTTGAATATGTGCTTGGAATGCCACTGCTAATTTACTTCCAAATTTATATTATTGATGGCGAAAAATGGAAGATTATTCTTGGAAAACCTGGGTAATACTGAATCTGGAAGTGTTCTTCACAGAAGAAGTATGTTTAGAAAGTGGATGTATAATTTAATGAGATCTACTTTCTAATTTTCTCTTGTTGCTGCCATTTTTTTTTATAACTGTAGGTTCTTCTAAATTCGAGTTGAATGAGGCCCAAAACTACATCATTTTTCAGATGCTATAAGGGCAAGAAAGCAATCTTCAGAATTACTCCCTTTGTGTTTTTGTTGTCTACATTTGGACTAGTGTGAGTTGGTGTATTTCTTTGAATGAATTATGTTTTTTTTGGACAGATCTTTTGGTTTGTGTGTCATGCCATTCTTTCGACCATAAAGTTTTCATATGATCCAAGACTACTTCATGAAAACGTTATGGATGTTCTCCCTGCAAATTGGTTTGACAACCCAATGAATTTGCTGCATCTTTGCTTCAGATGCAGATTTTATTTTATTTTTGTGCTGGTTAGCTGTTTTATGAATTGCATATGTCTTTCTGTTCTGCAGGATTCACCCTGCGACCCGTGTATGGTGCATTGCTTGTTGCATTGGTGTGCCCTATGTCAAGAGCACAGAGAGATGAAGAATCATCTATCTGATAATGCTGTCTTGCCAACAACCATTGTTAACCCTCCTGCAGTTCAGGAGATGAGGGCCGGTATGAATCAAGAGAATCAATCTTCATCTGGAGAAGGTACCGGAAGCAGTAACTTGGAGATTCAGCCTTTGTAGGATCATCCCTCTGTTTTCTGCCGAGGCAAATAGTGAACTTTTAGTTGTCTACTGTATTAGAGGAAAAATCTGCACTTGTCAGGCTCAATTTTGAAATAATAGGCCCAATTTTCATCAGTCAAGCTCGTTTAAAATGCAAAATGAACCGAGTTTGATTAGATTTTTTAGCCAGTTTGTATAAACGAGTATCCAAACAATATGTTGCTCGGTTCAAGTAGGGTGATATTTGTGAATGGTTTTGACTTTATTACCCAAAAAAAAAAAAAAACTCATCTAAAGAATAAATAGCCAAAAAGTTATCACACCCAATTCTCTCTTACTCTCTTCTCTAATGAATTTTATAAAATTTAAACTTATATGATTTGATTTATGATTATTTTTTAGAATTAATGGCTAACTTCTAGTGCTTAATTTTTAGAATTTTTATAAAAAAATTGAGTTTGATTTCGGTTGGAGTTTAATTTGAGCAAAAGTTTACGATTCAGACTTAAGTATAAACTAAACTCGACAATTAAGCTCGTTGACTGAACTAAATTTTAATTCACTTAAATGTGATAAACTATACTTGATTAACATTCACTTTTAAGAGGACTTCTCATTAATTATAACGTACAATTCACAGTGTGATTTTGCATGATATATTTTTTTTATTAATTTTTTTACAATTGAGTCAATTATAACTATTGGTATATCAATTGTTCAACTCGTGTATTTGAAAATTATAAACTTGTTCTATCTATTTAAAATATAGATTTTTTTCACATAGATGGTATACTATGAGTTTATAACGTCCAGAGGGGTCTTATTTTTTGTGTCAGGTAGTTGGAGAAGTGAATAACTTGTGTACATTGTGAGTGTTTGAATTAAAATGTTTTTTAATTTTTTCCTGACCCAAAAAAAAAAAAAAAGAGTTAAAAATGTTTTTTAACCCGATTGTACCCACCAACCCAAAAGGAACCCGATTTTTCACCCGTTTCATTTGTTTTCATTGACTGATATCAAACCCCAAAACCTCTGCATCTCAACGATCCTTCCCAAACACATAGCAGGGCAGGGTTTTACCAAAAACCCTAACGGAACAATTCCAACACCATGGCTCGATCGGCTCGATCCTCTGCGACGCGTCTAATCTACACCCTCTACTCCTCCCACAAAACGACACCACCTTCATCCCCAACTCCACTAACCGCGGCCCTCCTCTCCGGGAGCTTCCACCTCCGCCACTTCTCCGCCGGCAGCGCCGCCCGAGTGAAAGATGAGAAAGAATCATGGTGGAAAGAGTCGATGGAAAAGCTCCGAAACATCGGAATTTCGGCGCATATCGATTCGGGAAAGACGACTTTAACGGAGAGAATATTGTATTATACTGGAAGGATTCATGAGATTCATGAGGTTAGAGGGAGGGATGGTGTGGGGGCGAAAATGGATTCAATGGATTTGGAGAGAGAAAAGGGGATTACTATACAGTCGGCTGCTACTTACTGTACTTGGAATGATTACCAGGTGAGCGTCGAATTGAGTTGGTTTGTTTTTTTATTATTAAGGAAATAAAAAAAGAAATTTTGCAAATGGAACTAGAAAGTCAATATAATTGAGTATTTCAAGTAATTGACTGATTTACTAAGTGGCTAGTGAGTTCAGGTTTGTGTTTCAATGTAATCAAAGCAGTGTAGAAGAATTTCAAGAGCATTAACAAAAGAATACTAACCTTTTTCCATCAATTCCGTTATCAGGTGACAATGTAGTTGGAGTGATTTTTACTATTTGTTATTATTATTGGGCTGGTTGGTGATAAGCAAGTGAATTTTCGAATCTTGCTTGGTCAAATTTTAAGTCGAAAAAAGTTGGGAACACTTTTTTTTTTTTTTTTGTATTTCTAAATTGCTTTCTTTTTCAGATTTTTGATTTTGACTTTGTTTGATAATTTCTTTTTTGTATTTCTAATTGGATTTCTTTTTTAATGTCTTGATTTTGGCTTTGTTTGGTTGATGGGAAAGTTTATGAAATGTTCAAAATTGAAAGTTTTGAACATTGAACTTGTCACTTGCCCACTTACTGGATCTGGAATAAATAGTAGGTGGCTAGGCTCCAATTGGATAGAGATACTCTGTCGGCCAGTCGGTTGTGTGGAGTTTGATTGGTGAAGAAAGTAAAATGGAAGAAACTAAAGTTTTAAGGTTTAAATTGTCACTATTTGGAACAAGAAAACTAGAACATTATTGATGGGAAGCAGCAGTAAATAAAAAGAAATTGAAAATTTTGGAAATTGAATTCGTCTATCTGTTAGCTGAAAGTATTGAGTTAGTGGCTTCTGGTTAGTGAGTAGTGAGTTGAGTTCTTTATCTCTTGGTAAACAAAACAAGATAGACGACTTATAGATAGAATGACAGATTAGATGAAATTTGAGCAGCCAATTCTTTTTGTAGCTGCATTTATTTTCCATTCGGTTGCAGTTGCTTTGTGAAAAAATCTTATGGCCCAGAGAAGTCATAGTTTTGTTTTTATGGATTTGCTCTTTATGACATCGCAGGTGAATATAATTGACACTCCGGGCCATGTTGATTTCACCATTGAAGTTGAGAGGGCTTTGCGTGTTCTTGATGGTGCCATTCTTGTTCTTTGTAGTGTTGGTGGTGTGCAAAGTCAATCAATTACTGTTGATAGGCAGATGAGAAGATATGAGGTTCCAAGACTTGCTTTCATTAACAAGCTTGATCGAATGGGGGCAGATCCATGGAAAGTTCTCAACCAGGTCAGTTCTATTATTATGAATGGTAGTAGTTTACTCTTGCATTATGAATTTTTTGTATTGCATCCTGTCTGCACGTTCCCCTTATCTCCGTGTGGTTATATATATATAGGCAAGATCCAAGCTTCGACATCACTGTGCTGCTGTACAAGTACCAATTGGGTTGGAGGACGACTTCCAGGGTCTTGTTGATCTTGTGCATTTAAAAGCTTACTACTTTCATGGTTCCAGTGGGTATGTTTCATAATCTAGGGGAGATGCTTAGAGTATCTAACTAAATTTTTACATATTATTTTTGTATTATGTTTTTCTTTTGTTGCTTTTTGCAGAGAAAAAGTTGTGACTGAAGAAATACCTGCCAATATGGAAAAAATGGCTGCTGAAAAGCGGCATGAACTTATTGAAGTGGTTTCCGAGGTTGACGATAAACTTGCTGAAGCATTTCTCAATGACGAGTCTATTTCATCCACAGACCTAGAGGTATGTTGAAGAAAACAACCGGACTTCGCAAAGTAGGCTGTATGGGCATGTATACTTCACTTAATATGAAATAGTGCTAGCTTGGAGGAATCCTCTGGCTGTCTCTTATGCAACTGTTTTACCTATCATACTAAAATTTTATTCATGAAGCAAAAATTGAAAGGGAATTTTGGGAATATTGTAAGCTACTTTTCGCTTGTATTGTGTTCTCTTTTTTTGAACATCATTTAAAATGGTTGAATGTAAAATTGATACTGGAGTTTCTATGGCAGAACAAAAGCATTGTTTATTTGATGTAATTAATATCAAGGGTGGAACACTGGTTCAGTGTTCAAAATTTGGCCTGATAATCCCAAGGTTGTGACTTCTGAATCATATAAGCAAATATGGACAAACTCGGGGGCAGATTTGGAACCCTCTCCCAGGGCCCCAAAATAAGAGGAAAAAGAAATTGGAATGTGTTCAGTGTGAGTTTACATGCTGGATGTCCTATATAATTAAATTTTGCTTTCCTTATTGTATTCTTCCGGTGTTTGTTTTAGTTGTTATGACTTTATTGTACATCTTTTTTGTCATTGGAGCATGACAGCTGATCAAACATTTGTAATTAACTACCAAAGGAAGTGGATCGATTGAACTTATAGGTAGCCATCAACTTCTTTCTCTCGACATTGAGGAGCTTGACCAGCGAGGTAGGGGAGATCTCCTATCCCAGTTCAGGCCGGATGAGGATATAGAAGTGGATGGCGGGATTGCCGTAATACTTAAATCATGCTAAAAGGGAGATATGTTCTAGAATAGGTATGAGTAGGAATTGGATGCTATGAAGGAGTCGACCAATACTTACCTTAGGTATTTGGCAAGGGAGGGGAAGAGCGCGGATTAGAAAGAATATTGGTTGTTCGACTCCCACTTGATCTGTCCTGTTGAGTGTTCTATCTATCCCCACCTTTTGGCTCATGGATTGGACACACCTCTTACTAAATTTTTTATTAGAATATCTGATGTTATTGCAACTGAAATTTTGTTGAATCTTTTCTCAGTTCAATTCTAGCTTTGTGACAGTACATGCTCATGCCTATATTTATGTTCTTGTTGTCTTCATTTTTTGTCCTTTTGAGCAGGAGGCGATTCGTAGAGCTACTATAGCAAGAAAATTTATACCTGTATTCATGGGTAGTGCATTTAAGAACAAGGTATTGAGATCCTTCTTTTGATGAAATGTATGTTTTTAGCAGTATCCCCACTCTGCAGTAAATGATTTAAATGTCTTCAATTTCTGTTTTGGTTGATTTGCAAAATTTCATTGATTTTGGCTAAGCTTCAATGCATATTGATACACAAATAGAGGTAGCAAATTGGTTACAGCATTTCTGACTGACTTTAAGCATCAAAACGACAAGCTCTTGACTTGGGAACAAAAGTGTTATTGAATAATTCGAATGTCATAGTAATTCATCATTTTGGTTTCGCTTGAGTCTTAGATTTTGCAGCGTTATTCACCTACAATTATTTTGAAGCACCTCATTCTCTGTAATTTTCTGCATGACATCAGAAGTTTTTTAAAAGAACAATGTATATAATGCATGAGGCACTTTAGTTCTTTCTTCTATTCTTATCTTGCATTGCTGAATTTTTTTTCCTTGTTGCCATGTGACTTGCTGCATATTGTATATAGAATGCTATTTTCCCCTTCATTTTGTGCTGTTTTTCTCTCTGCCTCCCCCCACTCAAAAAAAAAAAAACATACATACACATTCTCTCTTTATCTTCTTTCTCTCTCTTGACCCACAGGAGAGATGGTACCGAACATTCATGGTACTTATTTTTACAATGTGAGATTTATCTGTATCTTCTGTTATTCTGTGGTACACAGGGAGTGCAACCGCTTCTGAATGGTGTTCTTAGTTTTCTGCCTTGTCCAATCGAAGTTAGTAACTATGCTCTTGACCAAAACAAAAAGGAAGAGAAGGTATTTAGTTGAAGAGTTTTTGGTGACATCTTGTCTATTTTTGTCTTGTGTTTTGATCGAGGAACTAAATTTCTCATTGGAGTTTATTTCTATCAGGTTATGTTATCTGGAAGTCCAGCTGGACCATTGGTTGCATTGGCTTTTAAGTTAGAAGAGGGGCGTTTTGGTCAGTTGACGTATTTAAGGTATGACTAAGATGTGCTACAGTTATCTTTGGGTGCTAGTGTCATTTCTTTTCTGTCACTAGATCGCTAGTAAGTAATGGATCTTTGAACAATTATGCTAATGTCCATTTTTTGTTAAATGAAGAATCTATGAAGGTGTTATTCGAAAGGGAGATTTTATCATCAACATAAACACCGGCAAGAAGATTAAGGTGAGTTCAAGAATTTAAGTTCTGTTTGATTTGTTCGTTGCCAGTGTATTCTCAATTTCTCATGTTATTCATGTTTTCCCCCACATTGAGAACAGAATTAGCAAATGCATACTTAGGCAGGTTTCAACTGCTGAAAGCAGACCTGAAAGATCACTTTGCTGTACTTGTTTGTAAAATTTTTCAAAGTGTTTCTCTCTCTCAAGTTGGCCAGTTTGATGTATGGGACAGTCTGGAGGTGCCTATTTTATGGTTTTTTTTGAGAATAATGATATTAACATTGTTGACATGCTTGCCTTATTGAAAGGAAAAGTGCTTCTTAATACATATGCGGATGTGAGCCTGTTTTGTGTGTCTAAATATGATCACTCAGTTTGGGAGTTTTGCTAATTTATGTTTCAACTTACATTTATTACAATTGTCTTTCAGGTTCCTCGTTTAGTTCGGATGCATTCAGATGAGATGGAGGTTTGTTTCTCTTTACTCTCCACCTCTGCGGAAAGTAGGATTTCTGGAATTGATGCATTTATTTGTGGTAATGGACAGTTGGTTTACTCTTAAAAAGCAATGGCAAAATCAATGAATCCTTCAAGAATCCAAAACTATCATTTTTTCTCCTTGAAATGTCTGGATTCAGTCTTAAAACTTGTGTTTTTTCTTCAAATCATCGTTGTCTTAATTTGAGGTGGTGTATTGTTGCTTCTTTTGCTTGGCGTTTTTAATTCTACAGGACATTCAAGAGGCGCATGCTGGGCAAATAGTAGCTGTATTTGGTATAGATTGTGCTTCAGGTATTCCTTACCAAGAGACACGAGATTATGTCATACTCTGTTCTTTGCTTTATTGGTATGGAGAACAATGCCAAAATGGACATTGGCAGAGTTCTTTGGAAAAGATTTAGAATTCTGTGTGCTAGCATAATGCGCTGTTTTTAAAATTTTGAAATATGAAAATCAAGAATTACTTATTTCTCACAAGTTTGTCTTGATCTTTACTTCTTTTGTTCTTTTTATTTTTGTTTTTTAAATGTTATTATTATTTTGTTCCATCAGGAGATACTTTTACTGACGGATCAGTCAGATACACAATGACTTCAATGAACGTGCCTGAGCCAGTGATGTCCTTAGCTGTTTCACCCGTTTCTAAAGATTCTGGAGGACAAGTAATTGAAGCATACGCTTTGTGTTTGGATTAGTTGAATAATGATAACTTGTATTGTTGTTTGGATTTACTTAAATGTCAATCATTGGCCTCCCTTTTGGACAGTTTTCAAAAGCTTTGAATCGATTTCAGCGAGAAGATCCTACTTTCCGTGTGGTTTAGATGCTGAAAGTGGTCAGGTGTGATTTATAATGTCATTTTCCTCGTTTCTTGAAAGATTTTTTTGGTGCCTCACTTTGACATCAGAATTTTTTTTCATGGCCAGACAATTATTTCCGGAATGGGAGAGCTGCATTTGGACATATATGTTGAGCGTATTCGAAGGGAGTACAAGGTGCCCAGTCTTCCATTTTTTAGACACTGATATATAATTTGGTGTTCTGGAAAGAACTCCAATTTTTTTTCTTCCATTTGCTTTTATGAAGGTTGATGCAACGGTGGGAAGGCCTCGTGTTAACTTCAGAGAAACTGTTACTCAACGCGCCGAATTTGACTATTTACATAAGAAGCAAACCGGAGGACAAGGTCAATATGGAAGGGTATGTGGGTAAGTATAGAATATACTCCTTTGTGGGAAAGTTCCATCAGTTGTGGCCTTTTTGGTTAATTAGGGGTGCTGGCACCAAAACGGACCCAAAAAATAAAAAATGAAATGGAAAGAAGAAGAGAGAAAAATGTAAGAAGAATAGAACATGAGTTCCTTGTTTCTTTCTTTGTTCGTACTTCTTTTTAAAATTTTGACTATTTGTGTAAAGAGAGTTTGTATTCCACATCAAATAATTAGAACCACCCAAGGTTGGTTATATACTTGAGGGGTCACTCAACCTATTCGTTTGAGAGGGATTCTCTAAAATCAGTAACATGGTATTAGAGCTAGGCATTGGGTGGCCATTGCACAAAGTTTCTTATCCATTTGAATTTTCCGGTATGTATGGTTGTTTGTTACCTCCACGTGCAAAGCTGGGTCCCATGTGAGGGACAATGTAAAGAGAGCTTGTATACCACATCTAATAATTAAGACCACCCAAGGTTGTTTTATATACTTGAGGGGCAATTCCACCCATTGCCAATTAGTTTTGAGTTGGATGTTCTAACAATTTGTTTTGTGTATATTTTTCCTTGGTTTGTATACATGCTTAGGGTGCAACATAGACACCTTTTTCTTTTCCAAGGTCGACTACTTGGCTTGTACTTTGGTCAAGTATAGCTCTGCACCTAGGTTCGTGCCTTAGAGAACCTGTGAACCCATAGATGTGCTTGCGTTGGGCTTTTTGCGATTATAGAATTATGTATTCTATACATGCCACTAATAATGCTATAAGATTTGTTTCCAGAAAAAAAATGTTTAAAAAAAAGTCATATGGTTTGTTTATTATGACATAACTTGTGCACAGTTCTTGCTTTTACTGGCTTGACTAACATTATTTGAGCCTTTTTCCTGACAGTTATGTTGAGCCACTTCCTGTGGGATCGTCGACAAAGTTTGAATTTGAGAACATGATCGTTGGGCAAGCTATACCATCAGGTTTTATCCCAGCAATTGAGAAAGGTTTCAAAGAAGCTGCCAATTCGTGAGTGTTAATGTTTTTTTGCCAATATTATGGACTTCCTGAAGTTTAGTTCCTCACATTATTTGTCATAATATCCTTACACATATAAAAAGGGCCAAGCCATCTCATCCTGACCGAGAACTTATGTGTATCGACCCTTGATGTTGTTAGCAGCACATCTTCGCTGAAAGGTCCTTCAGATCATCTTTTCTGCGAATAGTTTTTTGATTCTTATCCCATTCTTTGATGATTTATGAAGAGACCTGTTTTTCAGATTTTAGCATAATGACCTTTTTATTGATGCTATCTTGTATTTAACACAGGTTGGTTCCTCATAGCGCAGGCTAAAATTTATCTAATTTTTAGCACCATAAAGTGAAATTCAAACCAGTGAAGCCTATAAGTATCTTTGAGATGATAGCCTGGAAAATCTGGAGGTTGCTCTAAGTGCTATTGTAATCTCTATTCAAACTGATGCAAGCATTTCACCTTAATAATCAGGAAACACAGATAAATGATTACATTAATGTGTTAGATATCATTGTTTACACATTCTTTACAATATGAGAATATCATAGCCCTTGTTGCTTACCCCAGTGTACTTTATGTGTTGGTTTTCAACTGAACTGAAAATTGGAAATGCTGTTTCAAATTATTGCTTTAAACTCTGTTTAGAATCTGATTGATGGTTGTGAGTCATATTGAGAGCACCAGATCATCTTTTACCTTGTAAAACATGTTTCTGCAGAAAACCAAAATATTTGTGAATTGTTTACATATGGCCTTGACTCTGTGTGATGCTTTGAATATAATTATTGATAAGAAGGTTAATGTTATCTGCTGTCATTTTGTCTATATTTTCTCTGTACCTTGGGGAGAGGATTCAGAGTTGAACAGTCATATGTTACTGTTTGCAACCAAAATGGTTCAAATTCAATAAAATTAATATTTCTGCTGCTTTCTTTTGCAGTGACTACTTGTTCAAGCTTTTGCTTATTGGAGATTCTGGTGTTGGAAAATCATGTCTCCTACTGAGATTTGCTGTAAGTTTTTTAGGATCATAAAGCTTTTGAATAGAAGTCTTTTGGAGAATGTATTGTTGTATTTTAGACCCCTGGGGCCAGCTTCTGCTCATAGAGGCACCTGCAGGTGGTGGACATTCAATGTTGACTGTGTATGCAATTTTTGAATTAAGGACTTCATCTGTGTTTCTGATATTATGTTTCATTGCTAGTTCACATGCGTATATTTTATTATTAGGCGTTTTAAGATTCATACATGGTTTTGGGTAATCTGATTCTTGTTCATGTGAAGGTTTCAATTGTCATTCAGTTTTGTTTCATAAGTGGGAGAACAAACTATGTTGCATTTTTCCGATGAAATTGTAGATCCCTTTTGTGCGCAATGGTTGACATCTGATGAATTACCATGCATGATCTTGGTTATTACATTGTGCAATGGAAGTTCACTATCTTTTTGCACAACAGTTATTATAAGATTGTATTTACACATTTATCTGTGACTTGACAGATGTGACAATTTATTCTAGAGCACCATATTTTGTGATTTGGAAAACCTAAATGTCATGATGGTCTTCTTAATACAAGTTTTAGTAAATTTGAAAGCCTTTTTTTTTTTTANTATTTACACATTTATCTGTGACTTGACAGATGTGACAATTTATTCTAGAGCACCATGTTTTGTGATTTGGAAAACCTAAATGTCATGATGGTCTTCTTAATACAAGTTTTAGTAAATTTGAAAGCCTTTTTTTTTTTAAAAAAAATTCGGTCCTAGTTTTCCTTTTGCTACTCAAAAGTCTATAATAATTGAATTCAAAACTTATAGAGTTGACAATTTAGACTGGAAAAGCGTTGACATGTCAATAGNTGATGAATTACCATGCATGATCTTGGTTATTACATTGTGCAATGGAAGTTCACTATCTTTTTGCACAACAGTTATTATAAGATTGTATTTACACATTTATCTGTGACTTGACAGATGTGACAATTTATTCTAGAGCACCATATTTTGTGATTTGGAAAACCTAAATGTCATGATGGTCTTCTTAATACAAGTTTTAGTAAATTTGAAAGCCTTTTTTTTTTTTAAAAAAATTCGGTCCTAGTTTTCCTTTTGCTACTCAAAAGTCTATAATAATTGAATTCAAAACTTATAGAGTTGACAATTTAGACTGGAAAAGTGTTGACATGTCAATAGTATCAATTAAATAATAGTATAATACTATTCATTATTTGTTTTTGTTTTTTTTTTTGGTCATGACTATTCATTATTTGTTGAATTTCCATATAATGCGAGGAATAGCTGACTAAACCATTGTAGCATAGTGGTAAGTGGTAATTGATGGAATGGCATGTGATGGGGTGGGGTGGGGTTAGGTCCAGTTCTTTTTTTGTTGATTAATAAGTAAACAAATAATGTCACAAAAATCTATAGAAAACCACCGCCACAACATCAGAGCTATAAATCCCACCTAAATGTTCTTGGCTTTGCAAATCTGATTTGTTTGATTACCTTTTATGGGTCCGTGTCATTGGTAATACTACACGTCATATCTTTTTTATTGCTTTAGTTAGTGTTGTATATTTTTTCCCTATTTGTAATTCTGAATATATGATATCTTACAATGTCAGTCAATCACCCATGATCAGTATTTATTGATCTTTTTCGCTCATGGCCCTACTATCTAGAGAACTCTCCATGGTCACTCCAGTATCTTAACATTCTTAATTTGGTTACATTAAAATGTTGTAAGAGTTTTTGATAGTCCTATGTTCTACTTTTATATATACATGTCTATACCTAAAGAGATTTTGTCTTGCATCTAATAAAAGTGATATAACTTAATGTGTTCAATGTTATTTTGGAAGTTTTCTTTATTTTATCCAACTTTTTCAATTATATGGGCAGTTTTTTCTTCAATCTCATCTTCCTCACATATATATCTACCAAATCCCTGATAATGACATTAATCTTTTCATGGTCCTCTCTTCATAACTTTCATGGTTTCCTCAGTTTTCTTTTCCTTTCTAATGGATTAAAATTTGACATAAATATAGGAAGCCTCCAATTTCTGATGTATGACTGTATTTACAACTACTTGTGTATTATCTGCAGGAGTCAATGGATTAGCCCTGTTATATAGGCTGTGGCTTGATGGTGTTGTTATGAACTTGGTTTACTTTCAGTTGTGAGCATATGAAAATATATTAAAAGTTTCCCATTTAAGATTTTAATTGCTCTCGGCAATGTCTCTAAGCTGGCACCAGGTTTGGTTTGTTTTACTTTCAAGATTCTAAATTTTATATTACAGATGAATTATTGTAATGTAATTTTGATTACCTTTAAAGGAGATTGAGTCGATGAGATACTTAAATACTCGCTTTTGTGGAATACTATTATAATATCTCCATTATAGCAGTAAAATAAATGATGAAAGAGATCAAAAAGAACTTTTGATTTTTATGTATGGACTAAAGAAAGGAATTCCTTCCTTATCCGGGTGCCACCTCATCTTTTATTTTAATTTATTTTTTAACTGGTGCTATTGCCCCTGGCTCCTCCCATAGAAGTTTGGCTTTATACTCTCAGTATGCCATGCCTATTCTACTTCATTCTTTGCGCAAATTGTGTGCTTTTCAGTAAGGGCAAGTAATTTGATGATAAAATATTTGTGATGGCATTTCCTAACGGGCAACATGGCTTTCATGAATTCTTTTTGCGAATGTAAGTTGAATATATGATCAAGACATCTGGATGAGTTATCATGCATATGGGATTGCTTTTGTCGATTTAAATTGTCTCCATGTTGGAGATTTCTTGATATAATGCTAATGAAACCATCACTATTTTCTTGGTTTCCCTTCCTTTTTTTTTTCATTTATGTTTTAGGATGATTCATATTTGGAGAGTTACATAAGCACCATTGGAGTTGATTTTGTAAGTAAATATTTTGCCATAAGCAACTAGATTTTGCTTAAAGCAATTATTGTGCTTATCTGTGGTCTGTTGGTACTTTTTGTTTATGGTAACATGTTTGCATTTGTAGAAAATACGCACCGTGGAGCAAGATGGGAAGACCATCAAACTTCAAATTGTAAGGTTTTGCTTGCACCACATTTTTCTTCTTTGATTATGTCTATTTATTTTATCGAGTGTTTTATGAATATGCCCCTCTTGGCATTTTTTAAGCTAGTTGGAAATTGGCCAGTTCTTACTTGTGTGTTACATTCCACTTGACAATGGTAGTCAGGTCTGTAATCTGGTTCTATTTTTATGTTTGTTCTCCTTTTTCTTAAACTGGTTTTGCTTTGATTTGATAGGGGTGACCAACAGAACATTTTTTCCTGTTTTCTTAATGACTAAATTATACCAGTTTACTTTTTCAACTATATGCAGTGGGATACTGCCGGACAAGAACGTTTTAGGACAATCACTAGCAGCTACTATCGTGGGGCACACGGGATTATAGTGAGTACTCTTCTCTATTTACCATTGTGAGTATTTTTCCTTTCTTGTCTAATTAATATGTATTCCCTGTTTGCTTCAATTAATTTCTCCCGTGGTGGCTTCTTGTATAGGTGGTTTATGATGTGACGGACCAAGACAGCTTCAACAATGTCAAGCAGTGGCTTACTGAAATTGATCGCTATGCAAGTGAAAATGTTAACAAACTTCTTGTTGGGAACAAGTGTGATCTCACTGCAAATAAAGTTGTGTCATATGAAACAGCCAAGGTAAACGAGTTGTCCATAAGTTGTTTTTTTGTGATTGAATGAAGATTACATTTGTTAGCAGTTTGTGATGAGCTTGGTCTTTCTTTAATTCCTTGTAGGCATTTGCTGATGAAATCGGGATTCCTTTCATGGAAGCCAGTGCAAAGGATGCTACTAACGTAGAGCAGGCTTTCATGGCTATGGCTGCTGCGATAAAAAATAGGTAATTACACTATGCTTAGTCGTCAGTTACAATTCTATGAAAGTGATTAGAAGTAATTTTTGATGAAGATCAACCCCTCCTTTTGATTGCTTTTACATGAAATGTGCTTTGAGATTTTGGATGATGGCATGGTTCGTTGATAGATTGCTAGAAATGGGGACCACCTATCTTCTAGGGGAACTCACTTAAAGGCTTCACAAAGAGGGTGAATAGAAAGTTATTTAATTAATGTTGTGTGCTCGCCATTAAGATCTCACCTAGGGTGGCAATTGTGTGGTGTTCATGTCCAGCACTAGTCAATCTTAATTCAATTCATTTAATTAATTGTCATACTAAATTGACCTATTTATTTTCATATCATGTTCGTGTTGACTGTTGACCTATATAACCATGAATAAAAAATTTAACACCAATATTTTATTCTAAGATTCTATTATCTCTTAATCGAACTCACACTCAGTTTTCTATAAGCTGAAAATTAACTTAAATACATATAATAATAAAAATAAGTAAAAAAATGTTCTTATTGTATAAGGATTATGTCAATATTTGATAAAAAAAATAATAAAAAATTAATAAATTAATAAAAATTTAGGCATTTTATTCCTACAATACTAGTTAAACGTATTAATCATGCCAATTTTGGGTTATCCATATTTGACACTAACTCGATCTATTTATTATTTGTATTAATAGGTTGTGTCATTTTCAGATTCATNTAAAAAATTTAACACCAATATTTTATTCTAAGATTCTATTATCTCTTAATCGAACTAACATTCAGTTTTCTCTAAGCTGAAAATTAACTTAAATACATATAATAATAAAAATAAGTAAAAAAAATGTTCTTATTGTATAAGGATTATGTCAATATTTGATAAAAAAAAATAAAAAAAAATAATAAATTAATAAAAATTTAGGCATTTTATTCCTACAATACTAGTTAAACGTACTAATCATGCCAATTTTGGGTTATCCATATTTGACACTAACTCGATCTATTTATTATTTGTATTAATAGGTTGTGTCATTTTCAAATTCGTGTTAAGAAATAATTATGCATAACCTAATACTTTCGTGTCAATAACGAGGAGTGGTTACATGTTATGTCAAAAATTGTCACCCCTGATCTCACCCTTCATCTTTTAATTATGACCTCTCATTTGGTTTCTTGAGATTTCAATGAATTGCTCAGACACTTAGTATATAAACTTAGGCAATTAGATTGAACAATATAATTTATATGATAATCTAGCATTCCATATTAGTTGTATTAAAGTTTCTTAAATTGTGGAGTACTTTGATCCATCTATTTCTAGCCTNATTATGACCTCTCATTTGGTTTCTTGAGATTTCAATGAATTGCTCAGACACTTAGTTTATAAACTTAGGCAATTAGATTGAACAATATAATTTATATGATAATCTAGCATTCCATAGTAGTTGTATTGAAGTTTCTTAAATTGTGGAGTACTTTGATCCATCTATTTCTAGCCTTTTAATGCAATCAAGATTCCTTACTACTATTGCTTTTGCTTGGGGGTGGTAAATGATCCAAGCTACTTGGGCTTGGCACGATTCGAGCTCGTTCATTCGGAAAATGAGCTGACGTCGAACAATTTTTTAAACTTGTTTAGAAAACAAAGCCCTATAGTGAGTCAAGTTTGAATTTTTTAGGCTTATTTTGAAAAACGAGCTCGTTAGGCTCGAACTCATTTGTTTGGCTAGTTTACCACTCCTTTTTGCTTCTTTGTTAAATTCTGCTAGTGCTTTATCCTCTCAATGTTCTTCCCGAATGCAGGATGGCAAGCCAACCGGCGGCCATGAACAATGCCAAACCTCCAACAGTGAATATTCGTGGACAACCTGTTGCACAGAGTAGTGGCTGCTGTTCTTCGTAAGGAGCAAGCGCGAGCTGTTATATTTATCATCACGTTGTGTCGTCTTCCATGGGTTGCTTAAACAGTACCTTGATAAGGGACTAGTTTGAGATTGTTTCATTTAGTGGTTCCAAAAGCTGTTATGACGACTCTCCATTATTTGTATGGGAAAGGGCTGTACAAATCATGTGAGCAAACATATGGTACTCGTGTTATTTAGCCTCCTTTTGCTTTCATCTTACTTACAGCCAAGCCACGTAATACTATTGAAACTTATAAAATTGATCTAATCATGTCACAATATTATGGTACAATATATTTGAAAGAAAAGTGATGAAGAACCCTTTCCCCCGTATCAACGGCATACAAATCATCTCGAGCCTTTGCTGTAAAAGCAAAGAAATAAAAAACCTCCCACCAGCCTACTGTTCTCCGCCTCGAGGGCAAATCAGAAAATGTAAGCTGGTTTCACACTGCAGTTGTGGTGTAATTTCACCTATCTGCATTAACAACGAATCTTTCACCGAACATCACCCTTCAGTTTCCAACAAACAAAGAACTAAATAGTCTCCAACCCACGCAGATACAAAATGGAGCAAGAAATATTTGACGTCATAAATTGATTTTTCATGTGCCCCAAAAATCTAAAACAGTGACAGCACGGCTTTTGGTAGACCAAAAATGCTACAGGGAACACATGAAGAAACACAATTTACAATTTTTAAGGCAGTAACTTGGGAGAGACTTTGTGATACAGAAAATTTCATTATTGTCAATTTCCTGCCCACTCAGGAACTGGAGTAGGGAAGAACTCAAACAAAGAAACATAGCAGGGCAAGACAGAATCTCACTTGGCACCTAAGGTTGGGAACTGCCCTTGATCTTCAATGGCAGGTGCTTCCACATTGCTCGTTCTACCACCTCCACTGTAGCTGCCTCTGCCACCACGTCCACGCCCACGACCACGACCACCAGGACTATAGTAACTCTTCCCTTCCGCAGGCTTCAAGAACTCGTTGATACTGACAGCCTAGAACAACCAAAGGGGAAAAAGTTAAAAAAAAAAAATCACACTTAAAAGATAAATGAATTCACTTGTTAAAAATGCTTCACCAAATTGTTTTCATTTATTTATGTACTGTTGAATACTTGAATGAGTAATTCTATGTGCACCAAAAATGTTCACCAAATCATTGTCATTGGATGATAGTCGGTCCCACTTTTCCAAAGGCTGACAATTGCACATTTTTTGTGCACATAGCATGACTCTACTTGAATAAAGCAAAATGCACTGGTCTCAAAAGTGTCTTCCTCCAAGTGCAGGCACATGGTTACAGAACATAACGAGTTTTTTTTTTTTTTTTGTTTTTGGGGGGGAGAGGAGGCGAGGAGATTTTGCTAAGCACATTGGGTCTAGTGCCCAAATGTACTTGGTCTCCTCGTCAAATGCCCACCGAGAGCTAGTGAAAAAGCAATTGGAAATCCAAGGGAATAAAAAGGTCCAGATATTTAAAAGGTATGTTATATTAACTTCACAGTACAACGGAAAAAACAAATGAAAAAAATATTAGGCTCCATAGGCTGCAGAGAAAGACGNACATTGGGTCTAGTGCCCAAATGTACTTGGTCTCCTCGTCAAATGCCCACCGAGAGCTAGTGAAAAAGCAATTGGAAATCCAAGGGAATAAAAAGGTCCAGATATTTAAAAGGTATGTTATATTAACTTCACAGTACAACGGAAAAAACAAATGAAAAAAATATTAGGCTGCAGAGAAAGAAGAAAATAGATAAATAGGAGTCTTATATTATGACAGAAGGGCCAATAGGCATGGAAAATTTGAACTATTGGGGTGTGATGCCATCATCTTATTATATAGAATAAGTGGCATGGCAAACAGCAATTAGGGTTGGCAATTTCTGGCACGACACAAAATTAACGGATTAGAGTTGGTCATTTTTCGACACGAACCCCGTACATAACAAAACCCGTTAACACGGAAAATAAATGGACCGGGTTAGTGTCAAACACAAACACAAAATTGACACAATTACCATGTTTAACTAATAGTATANGGTGTGATGCCATCATCTTATTATATAGAATAAGTGGCATGGCAAACAGCAATTAGTACACAAAATTAACGGATTAGAGTTGGTCATTTTTCGACACGAACCCCGTACATAACAAAACCCGTTAACACGGATAATAAATGGACCGGGTTAGTGTCAAACACAAACACAAAATTGACACAATTACCATGTTTAACTAATAGTATACAAATAAAATTCCAAAATTTTATTATATTTTATCAATTAATAACCTAATACTTGTACAAAAAATATATTTTTACTCATTTTTATTATTATATATATTAAGTTAATTTTTAGTTTATAGAAAACATGAGCATATGTTTGGTTAAGTGATAATAAAATTTTAGACTTAAATCTGTGCATTAAATTTTTTATTCATGGGTTATATGAGTCAACACGAATACGACATAAAAATAAATAGGTCAAATCAACACGATTAGTTAAACGGATTAAGTTAGAATTGACTATTGCTCAACACGAACCCGAAATAACACAACACAATACGATTCAATTGCTACCCCTAACAGCAATGCTTATCATGCACCGCTGCTTGTGGCAGGCACTCCTAACTTCAAGCATATTAGCCACAACTGGACAGGCTTGGGCAGTAGTAAATCAGGCGCAAGTATTAGTCAGCATTAAAAAATGATCCCTCACCATTAACATGTTTGCTTGTGTCAGTCATGCAGCCTCAAAAAAATTGATGGCTGCATCTGTACTTATACTGTTAGTTCTAGTACACTTGAGAATTCTTAGTTGGCTAGTTGTAAAAAGTGCCCCCAACCATCGAACAAAGGATTATCCCGAACCCGCACAAAATATCTATAATGGAACATGATAATGATGAGTTAGAATGCCATAGAAACACAGAGACAGAATGTGTTACCTACTCTTAACTCAAAGCGAGCCAAAGCAAGTGGGTAGAGGTTCTGTTGGTCTGATGTACGAATGCAAATTTCAGTAGCCCAAGAATAATTAATATGATCGAATAGAAAATTTCAGATTTTTAAACGGACATTTTTTGGCAAGCCATGTCCAAATTTTCTCAATAAGAGGTATCATGTTCACAATCCAGTGGGCAGGCCAAATTTGACAACTATGATCTTCCTATATAAAATGGTGAGCAGAAAACACTCTGCAAACATAACATACAAAGATTGAGTTTCAGATTCTTGGTGATTTACATCACTCATGGACCAGAAGTCAAACAAATGAAGAACCATGAACACAAATATAGAGCAAGCAAGGAAGATTAGCGAATAAGCTGACAAAACTGACACAGACAGTGAAGTGCAAATATAAAGAAATGGAATGCCAATGGTAAAGGTTAGAGCACAAGCAATATGTATATTTTGAATACAAGGTCTGACAGAGTTCCTTGGAGTATCCAGACATCCCAAGCATATATAATAATGCATGTATAGCAATAAACAAGGGACGGGTAAGTAGCAATACCTTCTTGGCTTTTTCTTCTTTCTCGGCTCGCTTATCCTTGTCAGAGCCCTTTTAAACAAATGAAATGGAATATGATCAGTACCTCAAAAAAATTCTTTGAAATAACAAGTACCTCATATAATTGCATTAGGCAATAACAAGTACTAGATAAGATTGTCATTACTAACTACAGAGTTAACCCTTGACGAGTATGTAGAAATGCTTAACGAGTGCATGGTATCTCACCAGTTTGATAAAAATGTCATCATTGTTCTTCTTGTTTGAAATTTGTTGCATGGATTCAAACTCCTTGACATCAACCTTCCTTTCCTGGGTTTTAAGTGTTTGAAGAGCCTTCCTCTTCTCTTCGAGCACCTTCTCATACTCTTCAAGAGTCATCTCCTACATTATCACGTAAGAATTACGATAAGCAATTATAAAATAGCACCAATGTTATTTAAGGCGTAAAGCAAACCGGTCTCCTGAGGGCCTAGGCGAGAAACGAAGCGAACCCTTCATCGAAACAAAGCGAACAATATAAAAAATAAACAAATATTTTAGTTTAATACTTTGATTACTCTTAAATATTCAAGTTTTAACTTTACAAATTCAAAATATTTAAATGCAACCAAAATAATAAACATTTACATATTTTAAATAGGAAAGATATTAAATATTGAACATTATTGCACTCACAAAATAATCAATTGACATAATTACGTCATCAAAATAGAAAGCTAGCAAATGTGGGTTTGACTCCCACCGTGATTGATTAATATCACCACTAAACA